TCTCGCTGCCGGCATTGTTCCACTCGTCAAAGAGGTTGACGTCCATGTTGCCGGCGCCCGAGGCGTTGCTGTTGTCCGCCGCCGGCGTGGACGGGCCGATGGACGAGGCGCCGTGGTACGGAAAGTTGCCGGTCGAGAGGTCAAAGGGCGTGGCAGAGATGTTGTTTGCCTCGGTAGTGGTGTTGTTGGCGGTAGGGGTCGGCACTCGGTCTACAGCAATAAGTTAGTTAACGAGCAAAATCTTAGTATATATGGAAGAGTTTCAACTTACAATGTCCGTTGAGGCCGTCCCGAAGTCTCTGTGCGTGGCTGCCCACCCAGGCCGCGCCATTCTCGCCAGTCTCTCCGTTTTGCACCGGCTGCACGGCGCCCGCGTTGCCCGCCTCCGGGACGGGGCTCTGTGCCTTGGCAGACGGCTGCTGCATCGGCGCCTGGATGAACCGGTTCCGCAGCCGGCTGGTAAGAGACTCCAGCAGGTCGGCGAAGCGGATGCCTAGGTGCACGTCGTCGACGATGCAGTTGCGCAAAGCCTCCACTGTGGCATCCATCAGCTCAATGCTCAGCTTGACGTCGGAACGAGGAGCGCCCAGGGCAAACGTCTTGAGCAAGAACATGGCGCCGCTGATGATGCGAAAGTACGTCCGCACGGGCGCATGCTTGAGGTAGCCTCCGGGCAGCAGTCCCTCGACAACCGTCCGCAGGAGGTTCCGGCTTCCGTCCACCACTTCGCGCACGTACTCTTGGTCGTGGACCGTGAAGCCTCCCAGCTGGCCCAGAGGCAGCTTTCCGTAGTTAATCATGGTCTGCGGAGACAGATGCGTTGGCTGGACCCCGTTGCCAGAGCTGGAAGTGTTGCCTGCATTGTTAGTGCACCGCTCGACGACCGCCTGCAACGAGAGGGAGTTGATGTAAATGCGGACATATTCGTATTCGATGGTCAGAATATGCCGAATGTACTGCGGTAGACGGAACAGCTCAAACTCTCGATACCAGTCCTTGAGAAGCGGTGTAAAGTCCCGTAGCAGGTCAACGTATTTGCCGGACTGGATAATCTCCGTCGTGTGCTTGCGCGTCTTGAACAGCTTCTCGTTGCCGAGGTGCATAGCATTACTGATGCCCGCCCAGCAGTGGATGATTTGGTCGTCGAGCTCAAGGTCCGGGACATAGTTGAATCCGTTTGCCAGAGAAGAAGGGTTTGTTGCGGGCGTGCTACTGTCGTTGGTCAAGGGTCTCTGGCGAGCAACGGCAGGGTCGGCTTTCCGGAGGTGCTCTGGTGTCATACTAGTCCAGCCCAAACGACCTGCAAGCTGGCTCGTGTAGATGAGCAAAAGCCGCTTGATGCGATTGGCTCGCTGACGGTACACTTCATCCTTGTACTCAGGACGAGTGATGGCATCATCCTTGAGCAGCTCATCAATATCATCAAACACACCCAGCTCGTAGGCCAATCCCATGGCGGTGCTGAGCAGCATCCAGCACATGCGATCGCTCCTCCATGCCGGCTCTAGCCAGCTCTCGATTCTTTTGCCGCCAATACCCGGCCCCATTGTTCTGTGCAGCTCATCCTCAGACGCCATCAGCGGTGAAGCTTCCGCAATAGGCAGCACCAGCTCATCAGTGGCCTCTTGCGGGGGGAAATGCAGTGCTCGAGGATGCCACTCAGTCAGAATCAGTAAAGACTCGATGGTACCCAACGTTCTCAAGCTGCCTTTGCGGAGACCTCGCCAGGGCGCTGTGCTGCTCGTCTGAGACTCTTCTGTAATCATCGAAGTTGAAGCAGACCCTGATCCGCAGAAGCCACCTCCAAAGGCTTCCTGTCCCCATAGACATCTCTCAATCATGCCACGCAGGTAGGTCCATAGCTGTTCCGGCACCGCGTGAGATCGACATATGCCACCAGTGCCGGGAAGCTGGCAGTATCTCGATGAAATCGTAAGCAAGGTAACCGTGAGAATAGGCTCCTCCGTTAAGAGGGTCAGGTGAGACGAGGGGTTGCTAAAGGTAGGGGGCGAAATCGGTGTAAGCGGTGACAGGTATTTGTAGTAGCTATAGGAGAAAGTACAAGTCAGCTTCTTCATCTAAATTGGCAATGTTGTGTGTAACAAAAGGACGAGACTGGAGCCTACTAGTCAATGTATTCGATGGCTTCTTGCGCAGTGAACCATCCAGCACGCACGAAGCGGAACCTCGACCAGGCTCTCAGGGCATCCTCATAGCCGGGCTGAGCTCTCAGCGTCGGACGAGACAGGTTGGGATCGATGGACTGCTCAGGCCGGACGGATATGGATGGCCCCCTCGACCGGGCACGAAGGCCAGGCTCGTCCGTGGCCTGGGCCTGCTGAGGCGGCCCCGGGGCAATGGACGCCATGCTCGGCTGGCGCCGATGTGTATCCGCAGCCGGGCTGGACTCGCGGTTAGCAGTGCCATACGCAGCAGCCGACGAAGGCATGACAAACCTATCCGTCGCGGCCTTGTAGAGGAGGTCGAGAGCATCGTGAGGCCCGTAGACGCCGCGCCTCATGACGGTCTGGGCCTCGAGGTTCTCCAGCGTCTGGTTGGAGTCGCCATCGCCGTCGAACTCGCCATCGTCGTGCCCGCGGCCGCCAGCCTTGCCGTCCGGCCTGCGCAGCGGCTGGGTCCTGCCATGGGATCCCCCGGGGGTCAGGGGCGTGTCGCTGTACTGGCGCTTGTCGAAGCGCGAAAAGGGCGGGCTGTCGGCGGCGTGCAGCTTCTTGCGGCCGTTGCGCACCACGTACTCGTCGGCGTCGCTGTCGTCCTCGTCCGTCTTTCTCTTGCGGCGCGTAGCACTAAAGAAGCACTCCTTGCTCTCGCGGCGGCAGCGCACGCACGGCGGGTCGTGCGGGTTGTCGACGCTGCCCAGGTCGCAGCGCACCTTGCGGCGACGGCACGGGATGCACGCCTGGTAGACGCGCTTGTGCTGGGGAACCTGTGATTGTCCCGACTGCGACTGTCCTGCCGACGCAGCCGTGGGCTGTTGCTGCGCTGATGCCGTCGTCGCCGTCGACTGGGCGGGACTGGCCGTGCTGGCATATTGGGCCATCCTATCTCTGTCTGGCTTCCCACCAACCAACGGGGTGAGATTGTGGTTGCTCGAGCGGTTTGCGGCGGGATGGCGAGGCGTAGGCCGAAGTCAAGCGAACAACGAAGCCTGCGGGGTCTGTCTGTCTCGCAGAGCAAAAAGGCAATCCGAACGTATAAAAGGGGCAAAATCGAACCACCTCTGCAGACAAAATGGCAAGCCAGGTGTGAAAATCCCCCAGGATCTTGTTTTATTAACTTTCCCTTCGATCCTCTTTTCCCGTCTCTTGCCGGCCCTGGCTTTGAAAGATGATTAAAAATAGGAGAAAGAAGAGACAAACCGCTGCGGAGAAAAAAGGTTAAAAAAAAAAAAAGAGAGCCGGGTTTGTTTGTAAGAGGAAGAGGGAGAGGGAATGGCGGCAGCGCCCCGAAGCCGAGTAAAGAAAAAAAAGACCAATTGAAACCGAAGCCCAGGCGCAGATGAAAGAAGAACGTAACAGTTTACCAATTTTTTTCTCCCCTCTCTGTCCCCCTTCTCTGAATCGCTTCTCGATTTTTCTGATTAATTCCAGACCGTTTTTAGCAAGCACTACTCCGTACCGTTCTGGTACTTTTTTTCTTCCCGTCTCCTCTGCTTGTTCTCGGCCCCAGATAAACGAACGTGCCCTCCTTCCCCTCTCTTTTTCAATGGTTCCCCCCAGAAAGTGCCAAAAGCCACGAGGCGATAAGAGCCGGCCCAGTTAAGCTGCACTGCCTACACTACACTGTTGCTGTACTCGTACGAGCAAAAGAGGACAGAGGGAAGAATAAAAGGTACCAGATACCGCTGCTTCGCTACCCGCTTCGTACTTGTACATGCCGCTTCCCTCTTTCCTTCTCCGGGCCCCCGCACCTCACTCCCACGCGTCGGCCAATCAGCGCCGCCAATCAGCGTGCTATTAGCCAATAAGAGCCCGCTCTGACCAATCGCGACGGCCACAGCTGCGTCTCCTGGGGCTGGGAAGGAAGGTCACGTTGACGCAAGGACTTGCGCGGTGCATAGGTAGTCCGGTTCGTCAGTCCCCAGGTATCGTGTACTTTGCGAAGCTCGAACCTGCGAGTTTGTACCGTGTACTTCGAAGGCTCCCAAGGTGCTATAACTGCAACCTGCGAGTTTGCCTCACCGAGAGTCGAGTCCAGAGACGTTTCGTGAGCTGGCGTCTCGGTTAACGCAAGGGGGCTCTCAAAGCTTACGTTGTTTAGGCATCAGCATCGGCGTTTCCAGCGTCATGTGAATTACTCGTATACATTTGATCTCACCGTCCAAGACACGGCTGGCTGCTATTTATGGCGTCTTAATCGTTGAGCTTGAGGTTATCCGTTACTTAATCGAATGCAGCTCGGCTCATCAATCAGACGGTCACGCAACGATGGTATAAAACATCCATATCTGCAGGCATCAAAGCTTCCAATCGAAGGACCATCAGTATCAATACCTACAAGAAGCAACAGCCGTACCTTACAGACCACACGGCCAAGAAAAGAATCATGCCAATCCAATCCAATCCATGCAAGCAAATCTTCTTTCTGTACATACTTACTCAAGTCATCCATATATCCATCCCATCCCAGACCCAATAACGACCCTCTGATAAGGCTGCTCCAGTCCCCCTGCAAGGGACCATCAAATGTCACTCTCACATGCATCTCCTCGCACAGCACCACGTCATCAATCCGCCGAGACGATTTCACAGCAACACTTGCTTCTCATTGGCTTCGATTCATCACTTTCAAATTAATACCAAAATACAGTTCATCACTTTCAAATTAATACCGAACTACAGCACCCTAGAAATAAAAGCATCTCCATGCTTTTTTCCCCTCCAACAACAGTCCAAGAGTTTCTTTCATCCCAACACGCCCCTCGTAAAAAAGGAGAAACCATTGCAATGAAATTTCCCCAGCCAGCCTTCATATTTTTTTCTTTCTCCCCCGAGCTAATGAATTCTTTCTTGACGGCTTTTCGATGCGAGAAACGTCCTCCTGCTACCAGGGGACGGGGGTGTTAAACCGCAGAACAACAAGAAAAAAGAGGCAAAGAAGAAGAAAGAGCACAAAAGGTAATTAGTTTCCCTCAAGTAAAAAGAGAGAGAGAAAGCGAACGAAGAGAGGATATCGAGTAGATTTCGTCGTGAAAACGAACAAACAAAAAGACGTGACCGATTTCGCGGTTGTCGTTTTTAAGCGAATTGTTGTTGCCAGGGGCTTGTTGCCGCCTCGTCTCTGCACCCCTTTGCGTACACATGTCCAAATTACTTCCGTCGTATCGATCGATGCCTTGTGCGTGTTCTCGTAATTGCTCCCTGCCGTGACAAAAAAAAAAAAAAGACATTGCTACTCTCGTCTCATCGGCCAGTGCCCTGCATTCCCTACTATTGGGTCTCCAAGACCGGCGGCATTTGAAGACGCGCATTCTAGGCGACCAGACCCTTCTTGGACTATGTGATTTGAATCTGCGTCAGAACTCAATGTAGATGTCGTTTCATCGGGACAAACTCACCAAGTGCTCCCAGAGCTTCGTTGTCAACGCATCCGGCATGGTGTAAAGATCGATGGAGAATTCGCCAGCTTCAAACAAGTTATTCACTACAATTCCAAACGAGAGCATCAACACAGGGGTTGGATAAGTTCAAAAGGAGATGGGGTAATGGAGTAAATCAAGAAAAGAGCAGGGAAAATGATGCAGGTCCTTAAACTCACCTTCCACATCGCTTCGGATATACGTATCCGGGCCCTTGTTCTCGTTAATCAGCTGGATGACGCGCAGCAGATCCTCCTCCTCGAGCTTCTCCAGGGCCTCGGCAATCTTCTCGTAGTCGTACTTTTGGGCGCCCTTCTTGCTCACGAGGCCCTTCTTCTTAGGCCGCTCTTCGTCGGAAGGCAGGGGCCCCGTCTCGCGAAGCCTCTCCTGGAGCGCCTGCGAGGGGTTCTTGAAGACGACGGTGTGCGTGACCTCGTACTTTTCCTTTTGGAAGTTGAGATCGTGGATGATGGGAGCCAACTTGGTCTTTTCCGTGGTGTAGAGGTCGATGCCAATCTCAAACTCACCCCAACCCTCGTTGGAGCAGATGAAGGGAGGCTTGGTGAAGGCTGCAGTGGGGGATTCATGTTAGAGAGCTGTGGAAGGGCCTCCACGGCAGGGTTCAGATTAGAGGCTCAAACTTACTCTGGACGGGGTTCTCGAATGTGGGGTGCAGGTTGTAGACAACCTTGGTAAAGACGTCGGCGGGCCGCTCATTGCCATCCTCATCTAGAAGGTGAAGCCGCAAGCTCCATTGCCGCATGGGAAACTCTGCCACGGGAGAAGGCTTGTCGCTGCAGCATTAGGTCAGCACGAGGCACTACACGGGAACCAGCAATCTCTTGTGAAGGAGAAGTAAAGAAGGTGGAAAAGTGTGCTGGTGAAGGGAACATGATGAATGAAAAAAAAAAAAAACTCACATGACGTGCTGGTCCGTAACGACCTTGACTTTCCTCTGCTCATCGTCAGCCCCAAGCCTCGCAGTAATGGCCAGCTTCGCCGCGCGTGGCGCTCCACGGCGAATCGGCATCGTAAAAACAGCGCTGAGAGAGCGGTTTCAAATCAAAAGCGGGAAAATGAAGGGTAAGCAGGGCACTGCCTGCTGCGTAGATGGGCAGAAAGCGAAAAGAGAGGCTATCGTGAACGATGGAAAACGCGCCGAATGAAGCAAGCAGAGAGAGGGTGCGTATGTTGGCGAGACAAGGCGAGCTTCAGCCAGAGACGAATGTGAAGAAGAACCACGGCATCGCGTAAGAAACCAGACGAAGAATGCCCATTCAATCGAGTGCCCCGGCGTCAGGCAAAATCCAGCCGGCTGGCAGTTGGCGAAACGGGCCTCCATCTCCAGCTGGCAGCACTTGTTCGTCGTCCGTCACGATTTTTCTTCGGCCCGCCGCCAGTCCCGTCGCGATTCCCAAAAAGCCCTCCTCTCACAAAACCACATAATTCTCTCTCTGCGAGCTGCTCCGGGCTTCTGTGCCTGTGCTTCCCTTCCACGGTGCTCCAAAAAAGGAATAAAAGAAAAAGGGCATAATCGAATTGCTTCCGACGAATTATAAACCCGTGTCCAATTGGACAAAGCAAAGCACCGGGAGAAAAACAAGAATGGGAACGAAAATGAGAGAAAAAACACTGCGTGTAAAAACTCACCTCGACCAACATGATGCAATCGTTCTTCCTGGAATCCGAATCCCTCCCTCGAAAAAACGCCTATTACGGGAAATAGATAATGGAGATGGTTGCAAATAAAAAACCCCGGGGCGGAAAAAAAAAATATGGAGGATAGGATGATACAAAAAAAAGTATAAACTACAGAGACAAGCCTTACAGTGGCCCTTGTCCTGTCCTGTCCAGTTCCTGTCTTGTTCCCTTGTCAGACACAACACACACAGCAAAAAAGCACAGCACAGCACGCACACGGCACAAACACACGCAAGCAAGCACACACAAACACGCAAGCCAACCGAGAGAGGGAATAAAAAAGGGGTGCAGAAACAGGGCGAAAGGGGTGCAGAAGAAGAAAGACCAGATGGGACGCACTTGTAATTGTTTTCTTGGCCGAACTCGCACAGGCTGCCGGGGGTGGGAATCTCTCTCTTTCGTTCTTCCTTGTTCCAAAAAAAAAAAAAAAGCTGAGTGAAGGGGAAGTAAGTAAAAAGACAGACTGGGAAACCGACTAAGGGAAAAAATGGCTGGGCTGGACTTGGGCTGGGCTTAATTGAGGCTGTCTGTCTGTTCTGCCTGCCTGTCTCTGTCCCTGCTTTCCCGCCAGCTTAAGCCACCCCGACCGACTCTCGCTGTGCCGCGTCTTCCAGCGCCAGGCTCTCGCTCGCTCTCTCACTCACCTCTTCCTGTCCTCTCTACCTAACCTAATTTTTCCTCTATTTTTTCCCTACAGGTTCCACCCTTAGGTATCAAATAGAGAAAAACTTGAATCCGTAGCTGAACAGCCCCGGCCATCCGCCCATTTTCGGAGCTAAAGGCTGGTTAGGCGGCCCCCTCTCTTTCTCCCTTACGGAATAGAGTTGGAGACTATGTATGTGTTCTGCCTGTGATTGTGTACTTTGCTTGGCCGGTGGACAGCACGAGCTCGGCGTACTCCGTCATAGTTGCGAGAGATCGGACGGAATCGTGTTTGATCTCTTTTTTTGTTCCGTCGGCGCGCTAAGCCTGGACCGAACAGCTCTACAATGCAGACGGACTGTCGGAAATGCCGCGTATCCAAGTATTCTGGGTTCTAGATTCTACTTTGACCTCATTCTTGCTATATTCTGTAGTGCCAGCAATCACCGCTGTACTCTCTTATCCCGACTGCAAACATGACCTCTACACTCCTTAGCACCGGTGTTGCCATCTTCTGAAGCATCACACAAGGCGTAGAAAATGCCCGAATACACGCTCTGTATTGTAGCTCAAGCATCTACATCTCTTCTCATGCTCATCTTCCACAGGTGCCAACTTGAACATGTGGGATGGATCATACAGCACAGAAAATGCCCGAATACATCTCAGTTTGACAAGTGTCAACCCAATCTCTGTGTAGCATCTTCAATCCATTCTCCCACCCGGCATCTACATCTACAGCCGGAAACCATATTTACTGTACTACTAGAGGTAGGTAATATACCACTACCACCACCACTGTCACTACTTCAAACCCGAAATAAATGTCCGAGTTTTGTTTGCACAGCATCTCATTCCGCACGGTCCTGATGACTGCTGGCGTGGCTGATACAGTGCGAAATAAAACCCCATCACAAAGTACACCATCTCCAGACTACCTTGTAACTAATAACAGTGCCTGTAGAAATGGATTCTGTGTTTCTGTGAAGCCAGAAGTCGACCCTTTGACCCTTCCCCCTCAAGGCAACCATCCTACTAAGTAAGGTAGTTGGCTCTGTCTGGGTTGGGGTTGGGGTATGCATGCAGCCGCACAAAATAGAACCATGGCCTAGACTTGGGGCATCTTGGGATGACCTCCATAATTGATGCTGATTAAACAGGGAGGTTTACATACAGCAATAGCTCTTTATATTCTAGAGCGAGATAGCTGGGTTTTCCCTTGCTATTAAAGCAACGCCCCTTATGGTGATCAAAACGAGGTACTCATTATTCCACCTTTGGCAATAGTCGCAGTATACGTCCAATCCTCATCGTCAACAACGAAAAACACCCCCGAGGCCGCACTCCTCGTCAAAGAGTCGCCGCCACGAGGCCAAGCAAGACCATACAAATCACCATACAGAGCGCCATTCCTTTTCGTATCACGGACCCACTGGTAACCCCAGAACGACTGGTCCCTAGTATCGCGGATCATGTCCAGCACCTTTTGAAGCTCACTGTCCAAGGCGTTTCCAATCTTTGTGCCCAGGGGGATACACCCCCATCCATGCATTCTTAGCACAGCCGTGTGCTTGTCGTCGGCGAGGTTTAGGACGGACTGGCTTGGGCTTATTTGGGAGCTTTCTCCTTGGACGAATTGGATGACGGCGCCTTCTTTGTGGCTCAAGTTGCATTTTGCAAACAGGTCTTTATCCTCGTTGCCCTTTTTCTGGGGGTAGTAAAGGACTAGCTTTCCGGAAGTGTCGAATTGAACCGCGGAACCTGGCTCGGGAATATTCTTCCAGTCTGTCGAGCTGGAGATGATGCCGTGCGGTGATAGACCCCGAATAGTTAAATAGCGTCGATGAACAAGTTTGTGACTGCCAACGACGTTGAAGGTAAAGAAGTCCTTCTTCTCAGTGAAATCTCCACCGATAATCTTTCCGGCATGATTGACATCTGACGAGCTTTCTTTCTTGTACTGTGTGACTTTGACTTGAGTTCCATCAATTGAGAGATGAACAAGGAGGATAACACCCGTCTTTCCTCCCTTGAGAGTCGATTTCAGAGCGTCATTGAAGAAGAGCACTCTGCTGACTACTTCCGAGTTCCTAGATGCGTAGAAATTGTGCAAGGACGATTGGCCTGAGAGGTGCATCCCTCCAAGCCCGACCAAGAGCCCAGGTGCGGGCGTTGCGGCACCAGAGGCAATGCCGAGAATGAAGAGGAAGAGGCCAGCAGCGGCCACTGCTTGGCTATAGGCTTTGGGAGAATATTTGTCTATAATGGAGCAAAAGACTATTTCTTTCAGGTCGTTGATGAGCGTGATTGTGTTATCGCCATTACTAGCTAGAGGAGAAGAACTCATTGTGCCGCGTAGATTTGGTTTGATGACTCTCTAATATTCGTATAAAACTACGAAGAAGAAGATGGACTGAGGGGAGAATATGAGGGGAAGTATTCTTGGTACACGTTATATCAAGTTGTACTTGGAATGAGGTTTGATTTCGCACTATATCAGCCACAAGAGCAATCAGTAAAGTCCGTGCGAAATGAGATCCACGGAACTGTATCTGTTCTAGCTTGGTGTCTTGTATACCGCCTCTGAAGGTTGAAGGCTGCAATCAACGCTTCATCATATATAAAATCAACACATCATGTCCTCTCTCCTTTGATTAATTCACTCTACCTCATACATCATACATCACGCATCACGCATCACAAACTGCCTCTCTGGTATCAACTTTTATTTCTTTCAGGGTGCTCTACTATCAAATGCCATTATTCGCTCTCCCCTCAAGGGCATGCACCACTTGGTGCTCAATTCCCGGGGCTTTCTTCTCTCCAGTCTCCGTGATTCCAGATCGACTTTCTCTGGGCTACATCGACTTGTGTTACAGAGGCTCGTGTCGATCCATCTGTCGCGTGCGTGTGTGTATGTGTATTGGTGATGTTGTCATGTTGTGATGTGATGGGGCGTGGGGGGCGTCAAAAGGTACAGAGCATCGCCGTGTCGTTGATCAACGGGCTGATGCGGCGTAAGTGATGGGGGAAAATTATGGTTCGAGAAGCGGCAAGCATTGATTGGGGGGTTGATGGTCGGGGGTTAAGCCAAGGAAGTATCAGTTTAAGCAGTCTTCTCCTCCTCATCCTTCTTCTCCTCCTCCTCGTCAGCGGCCTGGAAGAGGTGGGCGCTGTCCTTTTGCGCCTTCAGGAAAGCATCCCGGAACTGGTTGGCGTCTGCAAAAACATTCATGTTAGTGGATATTCACGTCTGCTGGCATTAAGAGTTGAAATCTTGACATACTGTCGGAGTTGGCGAATCGGATGGCAAGAGTCACGGCCTCGGGCTCTCCCTCGCTGACATCGGCGGCAGCGTTCCACACCCAGCTTCGGTCAGAGCCAACGTTGGGCGACAGAGTAATCTCGGGGACAACTGCGCGCACCTGTTAGTAAAACTGGTCTCTCTCTCTCTGTAGCAGCACGAGTATACGCCCGATCAAGCGGGGCGACAGGGGGATACGTAGATGTGGGGAAGATAACGTACTGTAGTGGTTGGCGCAGACCTTGAGAGTCTTCTCGCGTCGCATCACCAGGCGGACCTTGGCGTTCTCCTTGTGCTTGAGCAGTCTGACATCACCAGTTCCGCGCTCCTTCCACTCGCCAGCGGCGGCGGGGGCCTCCTCGCCGTCCTTCTTGGCGGCCTTGACGAACTTGAACAGCTTGGCGCGCATCTTGAAGAGCTGCTCCTCAGACTCCTCGTTGGTCTTGACGTCGACCTTTTCGGTCAGCTTGACGACGGGCTCGAAGTGGACGTCTTCGCTCTCGGGGGCCTCGTCCTATCAGAAAAAGCGAACACTCTTGTCAGCCGATCATTTGCATCAAAACGTAGATGTAGGGAGTCTCTGAGCTTACCTCCTCGCCCTTGGCCTCGCGCTGGGCCTTTGCGCTTCCGGAGTTGTCGCCACGGTCCTCCTCCTCCTTCTTTTCCTTCTTTTCACCACCGCCAAACATGGAGAAGACGGAGGAAGCAGTCACAGAGGCGGGAGCCTAGATAAGAAAGAGCCCGCGTGTCAGCACAAAAAATCACGGTCGAAATATCGCGCAGAAGGCATCATCGATCGATCGGGTCGGACACTGCAGCGGTTTCACGCGAGGGGTCGTTAGTTACCTCAGTGCTGGTCTGCTCGGCCTTGGGCTCGGTAGCGTCGGTGGAAGACATTTTGAAGAATCGGTCGGATATCTAAAAGAAAAAAGGGACTCTGTTGTCGTGAATAAAGGAACCGTTAGTCGTTTATCGCAAAGGGTAAAAAAAAAATGATGCCGTGCCAAAACAGCGTTTTGTCAAGGTGGCGTAGCGGGGTGAACAAAGGCAAGGGCCCGTTTCCCCCTCCTGACAAACAAAAACACGATCGCTTCACAAGCGATAAAAACTCACCAAGAGCTCAGCAAAGAAAAAAAGGGAAGAGACCAAAGTATCGCTGGCGATGGGAACCTCGTCGCAAAAAGAACCGGTTATTGTATGTTTCTGTAAGGTACCTGGGTCTTGCCTAGCGGGGGATGGAGTTTAAAAAAAAAAAACAAGGTGGTGGTTGGTAAGGTCGCGCGAGGGGCTTTGCGGTTCTGCCTGGCGCTGTGTCTTTGGTGCCCCTCCCTTCCATTCAGTTCTTGAGTGGCGGGGCTGATTTTTTTATTTTTTCATTTCCCTGGCTTCACTACTAGGTAGGTACCTCTAGCATGTAGCGGCACCTGTTCTTTTTGGTGCGAGGGTACCTGTAGTTTTGGGCTCTACTTTATTGGTAGGGTTACTTGATAGAAGATCCCTATTACTAGGTAGTATTGCTTTTCGCTGCTAAAGCTGGTGCTAGAATTTCCAAGACCCCCTTTGTCCATCTATTGCGTGCATCTGCAGTACATTAGAGTACTACCTAGGTAGACAAGTCGGGTGGCGACATCTGTTGTATATCCGCCGTCAACGGAGTATTACTGCCCCTCACAGCCTAGGCGAATAAATGCCTAAACATCCTCCATATGCAGCTCTTCTTCACAGCTTTAAAAGACATTACAACCCAAGCTTACTACTAAAGTCCTACTAATGCGAGGTACAGAATTAGTGAACAAAATAGACGGCACGTGGTCCTGAGCCATTTAACGTGCGAAATCACGGGCTTGCTGACTGCTGGTGTGATCAAGTGACACGACACAGACTATCGAATCCCTACGAACAAGATGTGCCACCAAATATACATACTAGCTGTACTAACCTGATAAGCACGACAGTCTACATGTATAATGAATGTATCAGAAATAAGGCAAGGTAAATGGTATTATAAGTCTCATGTATATAAGATACCAACGACATAGGCAGGCACGCAAAGTAACATACGGTAGCTCGTGTATTTGCGTTTTGCCATAGAACGAAATCCCATTTCCCCTTCGTGCCACAATCACAACCTCAAAAGACAAAAAAAAAAAAAAGTATGATAAGACAAGCAAAGGTAAAAAAAGGTCAAATCCATAAACTCCGTCCATCCATTCCAACCGGTTTCTGTTCATTCAAGTTCATTAATACATATACCAAATCCTTGCGGATCTCCGTGGTTGCAAAATAGGAGAGTTAAAAAGAAGACAAAAGAAAGCAAGCCTTCCTTATGGAGCGTCGTTGCACTCCTCGTGCGAACTCTGTCGGCATGCAGACTTGCCCCTTAGCATAGACCACAGCCGTGAAGCAGAGTCGGTCAGCTTCTCCTGGACTTCCTTTTTGGCGTGCTTCAACTTTGACTGCGCGGCCACTGCGTGCTTGTCGGCAGAGTACGACTTGGCCTTCCGCAAGTATTCTTCATGCTCCTCAGCGCTGCCAAAGGTTTGCAGCCACAAAAGCTTCGCTGATAATTGAGCGTCAAGAAGCTGGAGCTGAAGTTGGTTTTGCACATCCTCCACCGAGGGCAGATTCTCTGCAGCTTGTTGCGTAATCTTATCAATCTTGCTGGCGATGCCTTGAGTGGCCTCATCAAGCTGAGTCTTGGCTGTTGACACGAGGTCGTCCAGTTGCTGCCGAACATCTGCAAAGTTGGCAAAGCTGGCGCCAAATGTCTTGGAGACGGTCTCGGTGACTGTTTGGCAAACGTTTTGGCATGCCGAGCCCAGTGACTGCTTCGCATTCTCAATACGCCGCTCTGCTTCCTGAGCAGCAGCAGGTACGAGACCGGAGAGATCCTGGGCAAGATGGGCGAGATGCTTGGTCCGCTCTAGAGCACCCTCCATCAAGCCCTTGCCAAAGTGGACCTTAACAACTTTGTGAATCTTTGGGCGGCACTTAGCCTCGAGAATGACGCTGACGACGCCGTGGGTTTCCCTCTTGGCAAACTTTAGGCGGAGACCCTCATCCTCCAGAGACATGGTGGTATCAACGGGGACTTCTCCTCTCTTGGCAGTCACAGTCAGGCAATCCTTGGCCAGCCATGTCTTCTTGATGCTGTTGGGAATGTGAATTAGGATATCATTGTGTGCTTCGGCAGTGAATGACACAACCGGCTTCTTGGCGCCGAATATCCAGTCATCTGATTGCGCTTCGCCAATGGGCATTAACGCCAGGCCATTGGTAGCCGAAGGAATCAGGCTGCTACTGCTGGAGCTTGCTGACAACGACGTCGAAGTGGTGAGATAGGATGTAGTTGTGACAGTCGCGGTGACGGATGGTGGCATCTGAACGTTTGGTAGAGCCGACTTGGATGCCGGCCCGTAGAAGATGGGTAGCACCACAAGGACGACGACGACAAACACGAAGCCGGGAAAGGCGCCCCACGTGTTCTCGACCAGAAATTCCTTGACCTGAGATTCCAATTGCCATAGCTCAGACACCTTCTTCTTGAAAGATTTCTTGTCATGGTCGGCAGGCCTTTCAATGACTCGGCTCGCCTCGGGAGTATAAGATGGAGTCCCAAGACTCTGGTCCGTGTATTCGAGCAATTCTTGCGATGCATCGTTCTTAAATGGAGGAAAGGGTTCAGTCTTGTTGGACTCGTCGTGTGCTATCTGGGACTCGGTCATGACGGTGTCTTCGTGAACCGAGTCCTCATCGTCTTCCTCGTCCTCGGTCTCGTCGCGGTCAGACGATGCACCGTGCGTGTCGGCATCATCATTGTCCGTCCCGAATGAATCGTCTGTTCCAGCCAGGCTCCGGACATCGTCTGGGCGATGAATGTCGAGCGAGCCGACGGACTCGCTCATGGAGGCGGGGTAGTGGTCGTCTTGGGACTCTTCGTTGTCGGTGCTGGGGCTCGAGACGAGCTCGTAGGTTGATTCGGCCATGCCGTTGTCGTCGGCTGGCGGAGGCATGTCCATCATGTTGGGGTTGCTGCTCGATATCCAATTCGCAAGCTGCGTGTTGCCCTGCGGCCTGGGGAATCGGAGAGTGGGCTCAGAGGCAGAGAGGCCTGGGGCGTCTGCAGTTGTTGTTTGTGTTGTCGCCGTTGGTGAAGGCGAAAGTGTCGAAGGCGGCGGTGCTGGCAGAGAGTTCGAAGGGTTGCTCAGGCGTGCAAGCAAAGTATCGCGACGGCGAAGCTGCGTATCATGCTGTTCCATCACGAAGTGACTGTGGTCAGTTCGAGGACCATCTCACGCTCCCAAGCAATGACTCGTCGACAGGCCCATGAATCAACAGGGCGCGGGTAACTGTTTGAGGGCGGCGAGGAGGACAGTGGCAAGTGGCAGTGGCAGTGGTTCTTGTGTGAATGGAGATGGAGGGGAGAAGAAGGGCGGCGGGGAGGGGTTGAGCTTTGGATGAATGGAGAGTGAGGTCAGAGGCCAACAGCTCGCAAGGTGAAAGAACTAACCACTGTGGAAGTGCAGAAGCAGAAGAAGATGTTTCCCGAAAGAAGAGGGAAGAAGTAGAAAATCCAAATCACGGAAAAAGCTTGACCGTGAAGGCAAAGTTGCACGTTGCAACGCAAGGAAATAAAAAGAATAGGCCCGAGTGGTGAAGCTGGATGTGGTAAAGCCGTGCACCAGGGATAGCTTTGAGGCTGAGTTGATGCCTGCGGGAACCCGGGGCTGCCTGATGGCACTGTGGATATAGCGGTTTAGCGGTTTGGCAAGCTCCCTAGCAGCTGCGAATAGCGCTGGAAGAGGTGGGGTTGGGCTGTTGAATTGAGCTCTGGGCAGCGCCGCGCGTGACCTGGAAGAGCGACGAGGCAATTGTTCAGTACGAGTACAGGGTTGTAAGATGGATGAAGATGGAGTGGAGTTTGGGTTGATGGGTGAGATGGTCGTCTCACGTGAAGATTATGCAGTCAGTCTACGGGAGTTGAGTTGATTCGCTTCGATTCGATTGGCAGCCGGGCTGCAAGAGAAGGACCAAAGGGACGAGAGAGGACGGAGAGAAGGGCAAGAGGGCGAATGAAGGAAGCAGAAAAAAAGAGGTGCTGTACAGTAAGACGAGGCTTCATCTGCCTTGACAAAGTGTCCGATAACTGAGATGGATGGTGGGGTCGGTGCTTGAGTGGCGGACGAGGCTTTTCACGGTTTGATGGGATCAAGGCCAAAGAAGAGAGTTGGTTGGGCCGTTGTTGTCGTTGGCTTTGGGTTTTGGTCTAGCTTTGTGACAAGTGTGTTTCGTGTTGTTGAGACATGAATATCTTCAAAGAAATCGTTATTGAGAGTGAATGGCGAATGCACAGGCACCAGCCATGATGGTCTTCGATATCAAACATGCGGAGACCGAAGCTAGGCCAGTTCTCCATCCGTCTGCAGCTTTGGTGGTGAGGCTTGCAAGGGACCAAAGTGTCATGCGTAAGGCAATGTAATCCCAAGTGAGGGGCCACTGTGTGTATACTATACTACTCAGAATATACTCTACATGCATGTCTTTGGAGGCTATTTCAAGGTAATTCGCCATCTATAAACTCAACATTGTCTCCATCAACCCAAGCCAAGCCAGCAAAACATCATCTCCAGCAGTTAGAAACCAGCTCAGCTCAGTCCAAATCAAACCAAACCAAACAAATAGACAAACACCTGCAATTCCCATCTCACATATCCCACACATCCCATCCCATCCTCGTCGTCGCATCCCGTCCGGCATGTGCTCGCTTCATACGTCAGTGCCTCTCTTCCCACTGTGGACCCTCTCCAATCTCCATTTTCCATTCCCGCCATCCCGAGCTTCCAGGTCTCCGCCAGGCGGGGCCCTTTTGTCGATGCGGGGAGCCCATTAAAAAGGCGTATTTTGATTTTGGAAATACATTTATAGCACCGTCGGCTACCTACCAAGGTGTTTCTTGTATCTTGTTACTATTAAATCTAGGTAAATTTCAGTTCTCTTATATGATTTGGGACCTGTGATATATTCTCATCAAGTACATGAAAAGTATGTAAGGCGAGCCGCTCAACCCAACGAATTCTAGCCTGATCAAGAACAAACGTTGAGGATAAGCCCATTCTTATACCATCGAAGCTTGCCAGACCTCATATGCTTTAATTAAATCAGTAAGTTGCGCCACGGTCCAGGCGTCTTGTTACGCTTACGTGCATTTCCCACACATGTAGCATCTATACAATCACTGCGGCTGGCATAAATCAGAATGTGCAATTGTGATTTCATATGTATTGGCCGATATCGCTTCGGCATATAGACAACCCTATCTATCTACTACCCATCAATGCCCCCCGTCAAAACCTGTCGTAACCATCGCCCCCATCCATAACCCGTCGTATCCTGGCATGTAAGAAAAGCAAACAGAACAAAATAAAAGCAAGAGAAAAACGAGTAGGCGTTCCGACATTCCGACATTATGCGCGTGCCGCTCCCCGTCTATAGTTTTTATTTCCCATCCCCCCGTGTCCGCAAACTCCGTGTTGGCCGAAGCAAAGACACAACAAAAAATAAAACACAAATGCGGAAATAGACTGAACCAGCTCCGATGGCAGGGATCTTGGCCGGCTGTTGGGGTACGAGTACGGCAGCCATGGCAAGCCGCCAAGGGGTAAAACCCGTCCCGAGTCCATAATCCCAGCAGCCAAGAAGAAAGAAGAAGTGGGGTATCTTCACAAAAAATGTTGTGACACGGATGATCGTGCCGGCAGCCGGGGGCCAGTCAGGAGGCTGAGACAAGCAGACGGCGAATTTCCAAAGGATGATGCTATCCGAGTAGGCTGCCTTCTTTCTTCTAAGCGGAGCAAGCCCGTCTGATTAATAGTGGTGTACAAAAATGAAGAGATAAAGAGGCATGCGAGATGCAGAATGATTTATAGTATGCAAATTATGTGCAGAATCAGCGCTCACAGCACGCCGTGCTTCTTGAGGACCTTTTCCAGGGACTCGGGGCCAAAGTGTTCGTCATCTGGCATCATCTCGATAATACCGGTCAGGTTGGCAAACAGGTCTCCCTGGTTTCGGTAGGCCAGAATGGCAGGCACTGCGGCATTGTCGAATTCAATATCCTCGTAGTGGACCTTGACGAAGTGAACCGACGTGTTAGACTTGACCAGCGGCACCAGCACTGATTCGATTGCTGAGGAGACCTCACTCTAGACAACTAATGTTAGAACACTGTCATATCAAGCTAGGTACGGCAAGACTCTTTACCTCGTGATCGTAGACAAATACAACAACAGTGGTATCTCTGTTGACCTTTTCGATGGCGTCTAGGTATCCCAAGGCGTCCACCTCATCCATGCGGCCGTATATCCGCGTGCTGGGGCTCGTCCTTCGGGTGCGAATAGATGCGCCGGCGGCTTCCTTCTCGAGCTCCTGTCTCCGAGCCTCTCTCCACTGGCTCAAGAACTCTTCTTCGTCGTCGTCACCACCGCTAAAGATGGCCTCTTCACTCTCGCTCTCGCTGTTTTTGTCGCTTGAGCGGGGGGCACCAAAGACGCTCTTGCGAACGGACATGGCTCGGTTTCTCCATTTGGTCTTGCGGGCAGATTCATAGCTTCTGGCATCGGCAATGACGCCTTTGACACCGGTAGAACGGCCGCTGTCAAATGACACGGGGGGGAGTCTGAGCTCAGCAGCGGCGGTAGGCATTCTCATGGCTTCTTCGATTCTGGCGTTGCGATATTGTTCTTCTTCAGAGACGTCGGATCCGTGGTGGGAGTCGGCGTCGTCACGATCTTCAGGGTGGAGGGTTTCCCGATGGGTATTGTTGGCGACAAGCTTGTCGAATTCTTCTTGTGCTTCAGTGGTCATATTGGGCAAAAAGGCTCGGGCACGAGCGGGTGACTGAGGGTGGTTATATAGATGGGATCGTTGTTGTCTTTCTGTAAGCTCAAACCAGCGGGTAGAGTAGAAACGAACTTGGCCAGTCCTGTCGAGTGAGCCGACGACGTGTGAGTGAGGGAGGGGCGTGTGGGAACTGTTGACTGGCTATTCGTGCAGCGCGTTTCTCGAAGGAGCGGAGCAAAAGCAGCAAGGGGGTGAGACGACAAGAGTCGTTTTCTTGGTCGTGATTAGTTGAGACAGAGACGCTCGGATCAAGCAGCGAAGAGGCGCGAAGAAGTGAAAGAAATAGAAGCGTCGGCGAGAGCGAAAGAGAGCGTCGAGTGGACGGCAAGACGGGGCCCCTGACAAGACGCACGCCCCCCTTTTTTGATGCGACAAGCGGTTTCAGCAGGCAGATCCAGCATGCGAGCTGCCAGGGGTTTTTAGTAGAGGATCCAGAGGGCCAACAGGGCAGGGCTCAGCACGAGATCAAGCGGTCGCAGTGCCGAGTCTGGCGCGGGTTTGGAGGCGAGGACGAGGAGAGGACCGGGATGGTGATTGGCGAAGTCGGAGTTGTGGTGGATAGAATGTGCATAAGGCACGATACTCGACAAAAGTGTGGGCAGAAGGTGGTGTAGAAAAGGTGGCGCGCGGGGGGTTGTTGGCGCTTGGATGGTGCTTTTGGTGGCTTGATGCAGCGATTGAGCCCTACAACACCAACAAGTTGATGGAGGCTTCAGTTGATTCTACAGCGACAGCATGATAACATCTTCTCACCCCTCAAGCTGAATTACGACGAAATAGCAGCTACATGGATACTCATCTCTACTAATCAGCTGAATCAATACCAAGAACATCACAGCACTCAGCTCCGAATCCCTTGCTCAACTCCCCAACGTCTAGACTCTCTACGGACTACTCCGTCCTCATGGCAGCATTGATTCTCGACGAGGCTGAAGAGTGATCAAACGCCCCCATTGTGATGACAGGGGCCATCCTTGCCCTCTTCGCCCTCTCTTGCCATCACTCGGCCAATGCGGTCATGCCAAACTGCTGAATGACGCCCACGATGCTCGCACTTGTGCTGCACCCCAGGAGCTGCCATGCTCTTCTCCTCCCACAGCCGGGGGTCCGACATGTGGCTCCTCGTCGAACCACCGGCGCTAAGAAAAACGAACGACTGACGGCTGAGCCTCGCACCGAAGCCAGTTGATTTTGCCTCTCTAATGAGTCTTGTGTTGCCTGTCAATGCTACGATGAGAACCGGATCTGCGACCAGCCCCGGCCCCAAATGCACAAGCAAGCATTGCACTGACGGAGATGACATTTTCTCCGCTGATTTATGCGCCTTTTGGGAAATCACCACATGGCTCAGGCTGACTGGATGGAAAGCTGTCTGGAATGTTTGGAAGGATCTTGGGACCCTCCCCGCATGCCACGTCTTGCATGGCAGCTTAATTTCGAGTGGTGTGCCTATTCCTGGGCGGACAAGGATGCCCGAGATATTCGTGATTGGGCGGCTGAGTCTTGCTCGCTACAGCCTTTTCATGCGCATGACGAACCAGCTCGGAGGAGGCATACCAATCCGATAGCCGTGTACGAGATACGAGTAGGCCGGCTAGCAAAAGCCCTGGAGGGGGGCTCAGACAGGCGGTATGTTTCGACTGCTGGGCGAGCCCTACAGCATCTCCATCTTGGAAGACGGTGAGAGACTCGGTTGACGGCAATGCTGACGTGGTCCATTGGGAGCAGCAGCTTACTGGGCTTGTGCCTACGCACGGGATGACTGCTTGGATCTCTGCAGTGGTAAGCTGATGGCCAACAACACATCTGCAATACCCTCCTTGGCATCGACATCTCGACGGCAGACAAAAGGAGAGCACCCACGTTGAGCTTACAACTAGATGCTTGTGCTCGCGGTTTCAGGCCGTATTCAACAATTCATCTTATCTGCAATTCTCACCGCCACCTCCAGGCCATCTCACTGCCGAGCCATTCACATTAGCAGTTGATATTAGTCTTCGGCACTTCCCAGCCCAGAGCCAGAGGCAGGACCAGGACAATGCCGGGATCACGACGTCTGTCTTACGCTTAATCCATGCACATTCGACTAGGCTCCATCAGGCAAGGCCAACTCATGCCTGCTGTTTCAGAATCCGTTTCATCTTTCTCGTGCAGATCAGAAGCCTGTTTAATTAATCTCGGCCCCTGGTCCAGTTGAGCGCGTAATGTGGGCATATCTAAGCTGGTGCTGCCACGATTTCCAGGCCCCCCATTGGTCATTTTCCGGGCGACGACTTGACCCTCGTCTTTTCCCATCTTTTATTTGTATTTTCTGCTTGTATTTTCGCGGCCAAGAAATAGAGGATGGAAAAGGCAAACGCAATGTGGCGCAGCGCAACGACTTTTCTAAATAATGATGCCATTTTCACCGTTGGGGGCCAACCAGTATCGACTGTTGTTTGCATCGGACAAATGGAGATGCGTTTCTGCAAGAGTCCGGATACGAAAGCTTCTTTGGCTGCGCGATGTAACTCTTGTTTCTATTGAGGACGATAGCATTGACTACCGTAGGCGTGACGCCCTCAGATACTTGGCTGCTGCTTCATCCTGATTTCTTCGCTTGCTTGTTTTCTTCTGTGCAAGGCGTTTAGGACTTACATGCTACCAGGCTGTGACTCGCAGTGTCGGATCCTGATTGAAGGAAGGCATATTGCTCTCGGTGTTGAAGGCCGAGACTATTCAGCTCGGCTAGAGATGTGAGGCGTCTTTCGTGTGATCTTGTACCTAGTACGGGTCGTGCGTTGATATTGTGAGTTGTGGGGTTTCATGATGCAATTCTTTTGTCGTAGTTGGAACGCTTCTGACTTTGAGGTGTTCATCGCTTATAAATGGACCAATCGATGTGGCTGGATAGGAAGACTACTTGGTAAGCAGTCTCAAGTGCAGTATGAGAATGAGGGAAGTGAAGTATCTTGAATTCTTCTCTGCTTATATCGTCTAGCACCCGATCACAAACGAACGTCAGCAAGACTGTTGTTGATTTACAGCTGTTTCTATGCCCCAAGAGGGAGCATGACGTATTACTTTACATTTTTCTTAACAAGTTACAAGCTGTTTTGTTCATATTTTAATCCACTATCTGGAATCATATCGTGTAAATCACCCACGACTTCATAATGACACACCCAAACACCCTGGGGCTATATTGAGTCAACTTTGTGCCATCTCGATTTAGTGGTAGATTAATACCATGATACACAGATCACTCTTACGTTTACTAGAATTACATCATTCTGGAGCCTCTATAATAATTGTAAAGTCCGTGTTTGATCACCACAGCACTATTCGCCAATCGTCATCTCCATGTCCAACACCTAACATCTCTATATATAAATCCTTGCCACAATTCCACATCTTCTAATTGTAGGCCTACATGTGTCAATCCAAACAACAGTGCTCTCTCTTCTCAGCACTAGCATCATCAATTTCGTCATTTCCTACTCCGACACTGCCCATCCGCTCAACGGATCAACATCCAAAACTTACACGGGCCATCCAAGGATCCCAGTCCTTCAACGCGCGTTTTGAGCTTCTGTCACAAATCAGCGAGCCATATTTAGAATGCCGTTGGGAGTTTCTAGAATTTTCTTGGTCTGTTAGACTTGTTGTCCATGCATAGGTCGTCCGTAGTCATCTGATCACTGCTCACATATCGATGATGCTCTCTGCTTCACGACGTGTTACTCATACGGTCTGTGGAAAAAGACAGTGAAATAATGCTACCATAACTTAAACTACATCTTAATACCACGATCTAATTATTACACAAACGGTTATAAAATTGGCAAGACAAATAACCACTCTCGCAGCATACTCACACAATACCTTTGAAAACAAAGTCTCTCTCAACACAGGACGCAGCAAACAAAAAAGTAAACTCTTGATTCATATCAAATAAACATATCAATACTCTACTTCCACCCTTCTCTACTCTTACCCGATTATCCTCCAAGAGAGATAGCCTTAACATCCTGCTCAATCAAGATACTTCCAAAGTCCACATCCCTATATTCTCAACCTGACATCTAACAACATCATCAAGTGTCAACCCTTTCAGAATTTTGAGTTTCAGCCCAAAACGCATTCCTTCCTCACACAAAGTCAGCCTAACTGGTTCTACTCCATGACAAGAGTTAGTTACATCATCAGCTCATTCAACTCACCAATTACCAATGAACATCTCACTCGTTCGCTCAACAAGTCGATTCTCTGCGTTTAAACTTCCATCAAACCTCCTGTGATCAAACTTCCATCATACCAATAACCATAAAACGCACCACATCAACCACAAACTTGCAGCACATCAATAGCCATAAACTCACACCAGATCAACCACAAAACATATCCTGTCAACAACCACAAATCACATCACATCAAGCCAAACCAAGACAAATAATATTCAACGACTTTTATTCTTCTTCTTCAATCCCAAATCAAAGATCCCTCATCCAGCACACATTACAACAAATGCAAGAACATCTCATTTCAATAAAAAAAAACCACATATTAACAAAACAGCATAATGACAAAAAACACTTTCAGCCCAACAAATGCAAAACATATAAAAAAAGACGAACCCTCCCCAGTGGTATCGGCGTGCCCTCTCCTCCAACTGCTCCCTCATCCTCATTCCAATTCGTTTCTCCCGTTCCTCACCTCGCTCTGTGGTTTGCTTCTCAGCCTTCGCACGTGGTCATTAAATATCCCAGCAGAAGAAAAAGAAAATGTGACCCGGTCTTGTTGAATCATCGTACTGTATTATCTGGAAGCTTGATCTGCTCCTTGTTATAAGTCGCCAACATCCCTACCATTCCCTAACCACATCAACATCCCTCCCTTCTCCCTCCATCACATTTAAGTCTTCTCCAAAAGAAGCCTCTCCCCCCTTACTCTCCAGAATTTTTTTTCTCGTAGCTCTGTTATATGCGCGCCCTTCTAAAAACACTAAAGCTCGCTCGACCGGCATATTTAAAGAAAAAAAAGGTGTCCGCTGAGGGAGCCGGAACGCGGTACAGAGGCAACTGAAGACATAGAAAAACCATCAAGTAATACACCCAGCCCGTGGCCAACAATCCAGAGCTTATCAGAAAACGCAGAAACTATTGTGCAAAGAATTTTTGGGATCAGAGGCGGGAGAAAAAAAAAGATAAAGAAAAAAAAGGAAAATAATAACGAGAGAGGGAAAAGGGGAAACAAAAGGTATCAAGTCGGCCGGTTTCCTTTTCCGACTGTCGCCGAAAGAATCGGGATTGAGATGCCTCCACGAGGGGCTCATGCAGCGGCCAAAAATAAATAAATAAAAAGAGTTAATGGTGTAAGTAGGGCACGTTTCGTCACTTCGTCCTGCGTACGCCAGTATTCGCAAGCCAGATATGCGTAGTCGGGTGTCCGAAATTGGCGGGTAATATAATCGTTTGAATGCGGATGGTGAAGAAAAGTCACGGATTAGACTTGAATCGGCAGATGCGAAAGAAAAGTCCATCTGTATCACAGTCGCAGGCAATTTAATAAGCCCAAACCTTGAGCTGCGGAGGAGGTTAGTCACGTCGAGTTTGGAAAAAAAGAGTTGCAACTTGGCCAACTTACCAGAGAATCCCATGAACCTGTGCACAAGCTGATGCCGTCGTTGCTGACACCCAAGCAGCTCACACGGTTCTCGTGGCCTACCAGCGAGCCAACCTTTTCGCCTCGTGTAATGTCCCAGACCTTGATTGCACGAATTAGCATCAGATGTCATCGGGGGAAAATAAGGTTTCATCGCGATGTAAACTTACCTTGCACTCAAAGTCGTCATATCCGGCAAAGAGGAGACGTCCGGACACGGAGGTGGCAACGGATGTGATGCCGCAAAGAATGGATTCAGACTAAATTGGCATGTTAGCATTTCAATTGTCAAGGTTCCAAGGCAGCGGGATGTTACGCACTCCATAGAGGTTCAGTTCGCGATCGGCGCGAATGTCAAACAGCCGGCAGGTGGCGTCGTCGGATCCCGTAACGAAAGAGTGGCCGTCGGGGAAGAACTGGATGGCGTTAATGTCAGACTCGTGGCCTGCAAAGGTCTGCACCGCCTTTCCGGCACGGATATCCCAGAGCTTGGCGAACGCGTCGCAGGCACCAGAGATGAAGGTGTTTTGGTTGGTGGGGTTCAAGCTGATGCTCATGACATCGCCAAGGTGGTCGGCGAACTCGGTGACCTTTTGGCCAGTCTCAATGTCCCACTTCATGCAGGTCATGTCACCGGAGGAGGTGAGGATGCTGCGATCGTTGATGAATCGGCAGCAGGATAGGTAACCGGCGTGGCCAGACAGTTCCCTGGCCACTCGCGTGGGGCCGTCGCGCTGCTGGTTGAGGTTGTAGATGGAGCAGATGTTGTCGAGACCACCGCAGGCGACAAAGTTGCCGCTGGGGGCGTAGGCGCAGGTCATGACCCATGATGAGCGGAGGGGGATGGCGTGGACTTTGTTGGTGGTGTAGGCGTCCCAGATGATGAGCTTTCCGTCCTGCGAGGCTGAGACGAGGTGTCGGCGGTCTGTGGACCAGTGCATGGCGTAGATCTTGGCCAGATGGCCCTTGAGCGTCCGCTTCGCCCGCATGAGCTGGTTCTTGGGGATGGGCTCGTGAGCCTGCTGAGCGACAGCCCGGACTGAAAAAAAGCATCGAGTTAGCATCGCGAAATCAGGGGGAAAATAAAAGAAACAACCGATTGAGAGAGACGCGGAGAGAGAGAAAAAACAACATACGTGTGGTGTCGGCCAGCTCATCCTTCTTCCGCTTGATCCTATCCTTGAGCGTCTCGGCCTCGCGACGCGCTTGCTGGATGCGCGCCTGCATCGCCTCGGGCGACACATCGTTGGGCTGCGAATTCATGGCGAAATCGACGGTTTGACGGGCGACGACAATCGAGAAATGGGCGGGCGATGGCGATGGGGAGCAGCTGCGGGTTTTGGCGGCGTCGTCGTCGGGAGGGAATCGAATTGACGACGGTTGGGATTGTGGAGAGCGGAGGGAGAGGAGAAGGAGAGAATGCGCTGGCTCTGGTTGGGTTGGGGGGGAAAAGCCAAAGGGACAGGAAGAATGGAACTGGACTCAAGTGAGCTACAGGTACAGCAACGTTAGCTCCTATCCCAGGGGGGTTGGTGCGCTCTAGTCCCGGGCTGGGGTGCCTGGGGCGGGTTTTTTGGGAAATTGACGGTGGGCTGCGCTGCGAGGTGAGGCCCTGACTTGATGAGCCTGAGCGGCAGCTTACACTGGACTGAACCGAACCTGAACTGATCGGGGTGGAGCCCTGGACTCAACTGTGCTCAACTCGCTGGACGAAGAGACGAGAGCCTGGCACTGGTACCGCGCTTTTTCAGGGCCGGGGCGAGGTGCTAAGGCCAGTTGAGCCCCAGCGCTAGGAGCTGAAGATGAGGTGGGATTGATGGTGTGTTGGAAGAATCGAGACACTCTTCAGGTTGGCCGGGTTCTTTGTTAGCCAGCCTCTATCTAGCAGCATGGAGTACTATCGCTGTGCATGACCCGATAGAGTACAGTTTTAATTGATGTCCTGTTGCCTGATAAGTAGTTGCAGCATTTGATCATTGTACATATCCGTCCAGATCAGACTACGAAATTGAATGGCCTCAATCAATTCATTGCATGCATCCGCTCTCTTGCTAATGCCCGCACTTGTGCTGTAAGGGGAAAGGCAGGTCAGAATTACTAGCGCCCGCCTCTTCAGAGTCTGTCTAGGAGGTACTTGCTCTCCGCCTCTAGCGACGCAGCCGGTCCAAGTATCGAAGCGACGCAGTGCAAAGGCAGCTCAGACACAATCTGACTGATGCGCTGCCCGGCTCCAAATTGCCAGTCACTCCATCCGTGTGACTTTTTCCTTTCCATCCGGGCGTTTCCATTTCTACTCCAGCGCTTCCATTTCTATTTCTAAGCGCGTCATGGCATGGCCCGCGGTTCTGGTTTCTGGGAAATAGCCCAGGGTCAATGCGAAAAAGAGAGTCCAATGTTACAGGCTGGCGGGATGAGATGAGACGGGCGGCCTCGTTTCTGCGGCTTGAAAGTCAGGTGTCAGGTAGTGCTACCTAGTACTGTATAGCCTCTCTCTGTCTGTCGGCTGCATCCGCCTCGTTGTCTTCAATGCATCGTACCTCACATTCCAAGCATTCAATTAATTTGATCACGACAACCACAGTACAGTCCAGACAAACGCAAAAGGGACGCCGTCGCCGCTGCTAACGCTCCAGTACAGTACCGTGACGCGCACAAGCTGCCGAGCTGCAGGATGGCATTGAGCACTAACAAGGCGCTCATGTCGTGAATCCGGCACAGTGGCGGCCGAGTGCGAAATGCCACTGTGTTGCCTAGGCGAGGCCCTTCTCGAGATGCAGATTCTCCGTCTCTTTAGGCTGGCTCGTAATCATTCATGCCTGGTTATTTAACATCAGGGGCAAGGAGACCGGGTGGAGTCGCGTTGTCCCAAAGAACATGTGCAGGCTTCCATTGCCTCTTCGTTTCTGGCCTGGGCACAGAGAGAGACGGACCAGGGTCAATGCGATGCTCCCTTGCCAGGAACAAAAAGACGCTTCGCTACACGAAGAGCGTGGACTCCGTTTGGTCTGGTGAATCGTGCTTCCATCGTACATTCTGAGATGCAGCTTTCCGCGGCCTTTTTTGCTTGCCGGCCAACCAGAGCGGGCAATCTATTCAAGGAACAGGCCAACGGGCTTCTCATCTCTTCGATAACGCAGCATTAACGCATCGTAGTTCCTTTAGGTCCGGTTGACGCCACTGGCCGTGACCCTGCAGCTCGCCCCCCCTGAGCAGATTAGCCTGGACGAGGCCTTGATACGGGGAATTGCGAGTAATATTGCTGGGGCAGCGTACGAGTGAAGGCGATGGAAATTCCATCCTTTATGCGCGCAAACGGCTTCCTTACAAGGCGCACAGGGCAGAGCAAGACTGGACTGGACTCATCCTCCATCCCGCGCTCTCGCCATCACCATCACCCTCACCCTCACCTCTGCTCTCCTCATCCTCATCCTCATCCTCATCCTCATCCTCATCTTTGCTCCTCCAAATCCAAATCCCAAAATCCTACTTACCTGCCCTGCTAGCCCAGAACTGGCCAAGGACGCAATTTACGGCGACCCGCTTCCCTGCTCCGGAGCCCACCTTCTACTCGCAGCTCTGGCCCGGCCTAGTACCAAGACGTTTTGCTCTGCACTAGCCGATCCGCAACTCATCCTGGACCCCGGCCTGGGGTGAAATCATTCGACTTGGGGGGGAGAGCCCTGCGAGCAATTAACAGAGTACAGTACGAGTAGACAGAGGCGAGAGAGCTGAAGTTGTCGACAAACAGCAATTGCATTGGAATAGAGCATACAGAAGAGATGTACTCGTATATACGCTCACAGTTGTGCCACTACCCATAAGATGTACAACAAGTAGAGCCATACTAAAAGCCACAATATGTTGATATACTTGTTACACGTTAACCCCGGACCTTAGAGCCAAAAAGACGCAAAAGCACCGAAAGAAAACAGCACATACGAGTACATAGGTACCATTACACGCAAAACCACCTTGTACGAGTACAAAGAAACAGGAACAGGCCAAAGCCATTCTTTTCTTGGCCCTTGTCCGAATTGCCGTGCGGATACTCCAATTTCATGCTTTCCCTCCAACACGGCCGCACTGTGTTTCCAAGACGGGAACGTACCTTTTTTTCTTCTTCCTTTTTTCTTTTGGTGGTGTCTGGGCGTTTTGTTCGTGTATCGCGGGATGGGCTGTCTTGTGTGTGTGCTTTTTCTGGCTTGGGGTCAATGCTTTTGTGTGAATAGTTGGTCTGTCTTTCAATCGGCTGTCGACATATAACAACATGGAAATATGCCGTCCACTCTTAGTCCTGTATTACCTCCATTGCTGCCACAAGACCAACTTGTACTGTGTATCTTCAATACTCTTCGCGCTTCTCTCGACCCTCTGTATGTACGGAGCACTGCAAGTCAATCTTACGGCCAATATTTCCGGTCTCCCCACGCTCTCATAAGCCCAAGTCACGCCCTCTCGGTATTGTTTCCCTCTCCCCCTTGTGTCCTATCCCGAATCCAGCAGTCCGCATCAACGAATCTCGATGGCCCTCATCAGACTAACCACCCGTCTTACCATCCCTACAAGTACGAGTACACACAGACATTCAGACAGACATCAGACAACTCATCATCGTAGTACCTGTAATACTGTGCTGTACTGTCTCGTATATAGGTAGAGACCTGCCCGTAAACACACTCGTACCGTACCGTACGTACATGTCCGAGATGGATGATTACCACTCCATCCTCAATGCCACCATTCTTTGCCCCCCCGTATCAACGGCGAGTCGCAGTGCAGTAGTGCCGCATTCAATCCGTACAAGCGCCGCGGCTTGGTGCGGTGGCATCCCGTGTGTACATGTACCTGCGCTGTCTTTACATGTACCTGCGTGTTGTCTGTGCTGTCCGTTCACTCGTCCTCACTTTAAACATGGCACGATGTCCTTTTTTCCCCTCTTGTTCAATACCAGGGGTATTTTGCGCTACTGGCAGCGGGAGGTTTTTGATGGCTGCGTGATGTAATTATAATTAATCGGGTCTTCTTGTTCAGAGTTTGGGTGTTTTAATGTAGGATTTGAAAGATCCTTATACGTCACGAATGTGTTGTACGAGGTGTGATGGCTTTTATCTGCCGAGACTCGCGGTTCAAAAGTCAATTGACTCTCTCAAAGACAATAAATATGCCATTCAGCAAGGCGGTCTCTGTGTTTGAGATGTCCTCAATTTGAGCATGTTATATCATCCATCATTGTTCCCTCAATTCCATATCCAACGCTCTAGTTCATCCAGCTCTTCTTCTTGGTATACTATTAAGCTGGTCCCGGAAGGGACTCGCCGTCTCTATCTCCTCTTTGCTCATCATGCTACGGTTCAAACCAGAATCCAACTTATATCATGCTTCAATCCCATTAATGCGTCTTTGCCCATTCCTTGAACCACTCCAGAGCCTCGGGGTTTGCGACACTAGCGTTCGTCTTGATGCTCATGCCCGAAAGAATCTGCTTCACGGCAACCTCGATCCTATGACAATGTTAGAAAACGAACCATAATGTTCTCAAATTGCGAACTCACTTTTTGCCGTTGCCCGTCTTGGGGATGCCGCCTCCGCACTCCTCCACCACGCCTGGAACATGACGCGGGCTGAGCTCGCTCTTAATCTTTTGCTTGATCCTATTTCTCAGGTCGTCGTTGAACTCGTGACCGGGTGTCGGAACAACAAACAGGCAAACTGTCTCGTCCGTGTCCGTTGCTCGTCGGCGCCCTACACAGACGGCATCCTCAACCTCGGATGCAAAGAACCGGATCAAGATGTTGTAAATCTCGGCTGAACCGAACCTCACGCCAGCCGGCTTCAGGACGCCATCGGATCTGCCCAACATGAGCAGGCCGCCCGTCTTAGGGTCAGGAATTTTGACAAAGTCGCCGTGATGCCACACGGCACCCTTGACGCCGCACACGTCCTCGAAACGCTCAAAGTAGGCGGCCCTGTACTTGTCGTCACCTTTGGCGCCAAAGAAAGTCAAAGGCTGGCAGGGGAAGGGCTTGACGCAAACCAGGTCGCCAGGCTCTCCTGCAAGAACATCCTCGCCAGTGACGGAGTCGACGGCCTTGATGGCCATTCCGAGGCCGGCACACTGGATTTCGCCGACGCGAACGGGGAGGAGAGGAGAAGGAGCGCCGAATAGAGAGATGATGTCGGTGCCGCCAGTGATGGAGGCAAGATTAATGGTCTTCGGGAAGGCTTCGTATACGAAAGAAAAGGTGGACGGCGGCAGTGGTGACGCTGTAGAGTATATGGCTTCCAGGTGGGATAAATCAATGCTTGAATCACGAACAGGATAGACTCCATTGGCCTCCAATGCTGTGAGGTAGGCTGCTGAGGTGCCGAAATGGGTCACCTTGAGGTCTGACAACACGCGGGGAATGGACATGTGTGAGTTGGGTCGGAAAGGTGACCCCGAGTACAGAATCAGCTTGGCTCCGACAGCAAGCGCTCCGACACTCCAATGCCACATCATCCAAGAAGTGGTTGTGTAGTAGAGCATGCTCGAAGACGAGGTCAGGGAGCAGTGCAGCATGTGCTCCTTCTTGTGCTGGATAAGTGTTCCCAGTGCAGTGTGTACGATTGCCTTGGGGAGACCTGTGGTACCGCTTGAGTAGAGGATGTAGAGGGGGTGTGATGGCGGCAGCTGTTCAAATGTAAGACCATCTGATGAGGCGCTGGAGAGGAAGCTTTGGTATTCAACAGCTGCGATGCCGTGAGCCTCGATTTCCTTGATGCCCAGATCGCCCTTGATGTTGTTGATGACAATGACCTTTTGCAGGCCCATCTTGCTAAGCTCCGCGGCAATGTCTGTTGTCTTGGATGTGCTCGACCACTCCTTGCCATTGTACACTGTTCCGTTGTCGGCGAACAGAATGCGAGGTCCAATCTGGCTCAATCGGTCCAACACGGCAGAAACGCCGCTGTCAGGGCTGATGCCCGTCCATATCGCGCCGAGAGAAGCAGCCGCCAACATCGCAACCACAGCCTCTACATGGTTGGATACATAACCCGCGACAATGTCGTGAGGCTTCAGGCCTTCGGCTCGCAAAGCATTGGCGCATTGGCGGACCGACTCGCGCAGCTCAGCCCAGGTGGTTGATCGCAAGTCGCCAGGGAGTTCGGTGGTGGTGATTACGGCGGTGGAGGAAGGGTCAAGAGGCTTGTCCGTGGGAGGGAAGAGGAGGTTTTCGGCAAAGTTGAGGCGAGAGTCGGCGAAGAAGTCGGGACGAGGGAACATGGGCGCATCAGCCGGCAGGACCTGATTTGGTCAGTTAACTAACTACTCAAGCTTTTCGTTCAACGAGGCTGAAGATGAAAACGCACGTGTGAGTATGGCTGGGATGAGACGATGCCGACAAACTGCCACACCTCGTCCCAGAACTGGGCGACATTGTCGACAGACCACTTGTACAGGTCTGGGTATCCGGTGAGATGCAGATTGTGCTTCTGATTGACCGTCTGGAGAAACTGCCACATGGGCGTCGAGGCAGGCTCAGCGTGTCTCCAGAGCTCCTTTGCCTTGGGAGTGACGCCTACGAAGGCATTGTCGCGGTCGATAGACTCCCCCATGGCGTCCGTGTCTTTCGTCTTCGAGAATCGAGATGGTTATCCGCGTAGCCAAGGTCCAGGAAGAGAATCAAGCACGAGAAGCGAAGAGATGAAGTCAATTGATGATTTGGGTCTCTCCTTGTTTATTTTCCCCAAGAATAATCAAATAGTTCTTTCAGGGACCGGAAAACGGTTGGGGATCTCTAGCCCAACTGCCGAATCGGCTGCGTTTGCGGTCCCCCTCCATCATGGCCCGTTGCAACCCGCGGGCACCCTCGGTTCTATTTTGGAATGGTTGCGAGGCGATTTAGAAGCCGAGAATCTGTGGCTGGAGCAGTGGCTGAGCAGAGTGAGAGATGACTAAGGATCAAAGCGTGGCTGGTGCGGAACTAGTCAAGTTTGGATGGATTTAGGGGAAAGATAAGAGAGAGAGGAAGAGAAGATTGATGGCTTCTTCCTTAGCATGTGCACTAGGCTAGGACTTAATTTAGCGGAACGCAGATGCCGAGGCCAAAGTAGAGATTTGAAGATTTTTATCGAATTTTTCTCAATGCTCTTTTTTTCACTGCCGGCAATATTCCGGAGAGGGCAAATTGCTCAAGCGTGGGCTGATTTTCTCTTGGTGGTTTGTGTTTCCCCGTTCCGTCTCAAACTATTACCTCGGGCACAAATTACCAGGATGAGGTGATAGGACAAAAGTCAAAGACCCATAAGGTTAACACTGTTGGCGTGGGTGACAAGTCGATTACACGTAAAGCAGAGGGAAATACACGTACGGAGGACCAAGTCCGTGTGTGTCACTTCAAGGTCGCACTGCATGCTTCGCTGGCACTTGTTCCGTCTACATACAGTATTGCCATGTACAACTCGGATAAGACAAGGCAAGGCAAGGCAAGGCAAGACACTTGGAATTAGAGTAGAGTCCCTTGCTCTTCTAGTCAAAAGCTGGGGTTGAAACTTTGAAGCGAATCTAAAGCGACAATCACTGCCCCATGCGAGAATACTAATTGAAGTTGTCGAGATGCTAAAGTAGCTGGAGTACATACCTAGGTATCAGCTGTTGCGTCCGGCATCTTCGGAGAGTTTTCTGGCTAGCATCACGAAACTCGGCTTCTGTGCTGTGCTGTGCTCCAACAGCTCTCAGCTCGCAGCTACTGGCAGCTCTGCTTTTGGTGTCAGCGCCCCCTTTTTTTGGGGCTGCTCTCACGGGCGAGAGAAATCGCGGCAAAATGTCATCGCGCGGCTGCCCCCTTGCAGATCGTTGAGGTTGTAATGCGACCTTGCTTGGACTGCGACAACGGAGAAGCATCGAGCCACTCATCTCTTTAACTTGACTTGGAGTCTATGCTGCCTTTCAAGAGACCATCTCGGGTGGCAATAGTCCATGTTCTCGTATGTAGCTAGTCAGACGGCTTCACCCAGGGCCGGCAACCGTCGTAGAGGCAAGGATCCTAACGGTCGTCGCTTGGAGGATATCGGCTCGAATGACCTCATCAGCTGCAAAGACGCATCGGCCGAGATTCGCATTGTCTACCAGTTAGTACTCGTTGTAGCACCAGTAAGCCCGGGCGATCCGACGTACTTGTACCTGTAGTTGAGTAGCAGTAGGGCCCATCCACACTTCTCGGCAGAAGAGTTGCAGAGGCCCAAATTAAGTGCCCGTGGACAAGCTAGACGCCCACTTTTGCCCTTGTTCGAGACGGATCGCTTGGGGGCTCCTGAATTCCGGCTTGGCTGTCCCGGCCCTCGTTGGTCCCTCTTTGGTCCCTCTTTGGATCCTCTTGGTCTGGCCGCAGGCGCCGCAGGTTGTGCCCAGCGGAAGAGAAGAGATCAATGCAAGGGAATCGGAATCCAAGCGAGCGAGTGAGAGAGAAAGTCAAAGCGACAGCTCCGGCGAGAGGGAAATAAAATAAAAAGCGCTCCAACGGGCTGTTTCCGCTATATCTTGGCGGCCTGTCTCTCTATTTCCCCCCTCCCTTGCCCGTGTGGCTCCCAGGTCGCGCGGCCAGGACTCGATTTTATTGGCCTTGTGGGTTCGTCAAAGACCCCCTTTCGCCAATTCATCTTACCCAGCCGAAACTCCCCCCAAGCCCAAACCTGTCTTCTTCAACCTGCTTCTTGCTTTTGCCGGCCCTGCGATCGTGGTCATTTCGTCTGTCGCGTGGTGTCCTTGTGCTGCATCTCCACTGAGCTGGGATATTGCCCTTGGAACAACAATTTTTTATTTTTGTTGGGCCACAGGGCTACTGCTGCTGCTGCAAATCAGTCCACCTGCTGAGCCGAGTGCGAGGCATTGAGCAGATTCAAGAAGGCGTCGTGTCAGGGCGAGAAGCACTGCAGCACCATCTTCGGTGTTGTTTCTTGTTTCCTTGATTTTCTAACTGGTAGGTTTACGCTGTTATTTGTTTCAAATCCCGCCAATTCAGCCTCACATCCAATCCGTCTCTTGGGGGGGCTTCAGTCCCATCTTCTTCCCCAATTCTCAAGCCCCTCCTCCAAAGACCTCGTTCCAGCAGCTGGCCCATCTATGGCTGCAAAATCGCCTGCAATTGGCATGACGCGAGCCTCGTTGGAAAGCTTGTTTCGATGCTATCGAGACGCTTTACCGACGGCGGTTCGAAGCCTAGTGGCGCCGCCCGGTGAAGCCCAGCAGCAAGTTGTGGCCACACCGCATCGCGCCGTAGCTTTTGAGTTTTGTCGCAGCCGCTGCCAAAGGCCTGAGCTTCCAGCGAAGCATGGCGCCTAGGAATTTGGGCGAGGGAAAAAGCAAAAGGGAAAACCCAAGAATCTTTGCACACACATCCCTCGATCCACCATCACGCATTCATCTTCGCCCCAGCTCGCTTTTTGCTCTCATTGGCCATTGAAGCTAACCCGCCTCGTTTTTCCTCTCTCCAGGCGCCAAGTCCCCACGAGCCGGCTTCTCTTTTTTGAGTTTGCAAAAGCCTCGAGGAGATCATGCCGCGACGGCTTGCAAATCCCTTCTCCTCCAGCCAGTCTGCCATGTCAGCGTCCGAAAAGACTGGCGAACGACGTCTCTCAACCTCAAAGACCAACCGACTGAGCCAGCTCTTCTCGTCCAGCCCAAAGTCCAAGGACCAGGCCACCATGCATCAAAGCCAGATGAGCACCATCTCGCCGTCGACGGTGTCGCTACCCACCATTTCGCTGTCCACTGCGACTGGTGAGTCCAACACCGTCGAGCCGACCACAACGCTGTTCAAGCCTCAGTCGGCCGAGGAGGTGGAGCGACGGCAACGCGTCGAGGCTCAATTTGGCCCGCTGCTTTCTCCTGAGCACTTGTACACCAGCCAGGCCGCGGGGAAGCCCTTCGAGCGGCCGATTGAAGACGAGCCTCCGTACTACTATCTCTTGACCACCTACCTGAGCTACTTGGCGCTCATTCTGTTTGGCCACGTTCGTGATTTCTTTGGCAAGCGGTTCGGCGACCGCAAGCGCTATCTGCCTCTCAAGGTTCACAATGGATTCGCTCCCCTCAATGATGATTTCGACAGCTTCTACACCCGACGCCTCAAGACGCGTCTGGACGACTGCTTTGCCCGCACCACTGTCGGCGTCCCCGGCCGCTTCATCACCCTCAAGGACCGCAAGTCGGACGACTACAACTACACCTACCGCTACACTGGCACCTACACTGAGACGCTAAACATGAGTTCCTACAACTATCTCGGTTTTGCTCAGTCTGAGGGTCCCTGTGCCGATGCCGTCGAGGAATGCGTCAAGAAGTACGGAGCTACCTTTGCCAGCCCCCGAGCTGACAGCGGCACTTCTGATTTGGCTCTCGAAGTTGAGCGGGAAATTGCGTCCTTTGTTGGAAAGCCCGACGCCATGGTCTTCTCCATGGGCTACGTCACCAACTCCAGCACGTTCCCTGCACTAGTGTCCAAGGGTTGCCTGATCATCTCCGACGAACTGAACCATGCCTCTATCCGAATCGGTGCTCGTCTTTCTGGTGCTGTCATTCAGTCGTTCAAGCACAACGACATGGGCGACCTCGAGCGTGTTCTTCGTGAAGCCATTTCCCAGGGCCAGCCAAGGACTCACCGCCCCTGGAAGAAGATTCTCTTGGTCGTCGAAGGTCTCTACTCGATGGAAGGTACCATGGTCAACCTGCCCGGAATCCTGGAACTGAAGCGCAAGTACAAGTTTTACCTGTTCATCGACGAGGCTCACTCCATCGGTGCCCTGGGACCCCACGGCCGTGGCGTTTGCGATTACTATGGCGTTGACACCTCGGAAGTCGACATCCTCATGGGCACTCTGACCAAGTCTTTCGGCGCCAACGGAGGCTACATTGCTGCGGAGAAGCACATCATTGACAAGCTCCGCAGCACCAACGCCTCCACCATCTTTGGCGAGGCCCCTGCCCCCTCGGTTCTCATGCAGATTCTTGCCTCCCTCAAGCTGATCAACGGAGATATTTGCCCCGGCCAGGGCGAGGAGCGCCTGAAGCGCATTGCCTTCAACTCTCGCTATCTCCGTCTCGGACTCAAGCGTCTCGGCATGATTGTCACTGGTCACGACGACTCACCCATCATCCCCGTCCTGCTTTACAACCCCGGAAAGATGCCTGCCTTCAGTCGCCAGATGCTTGCCCGCAAAATCTCCGTCGTCGTCGTCGGTTATCCTGCCACTCCGCTCATCAGCTCGCGTGCTCGCTTCTGCGTCTCTGCTGCCCACAACAAGGATGACCTCGACCGAATGCTTATTGCCTGTGACGAGGTTGCCGACCTTCTCCAGCTCAAGTACTCCACTGGAATTGCCGGCGGTTTGGACCCTCTGCCCGAGGGCGTCGCACCAGAAGACGAGGCTGAGTGGAGAAAGAACACTGGCACTCCCATCAAGGCCCCCCGATGGAAGGTTGAGGACGTCATTCGACGAGGTGTCGTTGACTGCAAGCTCCCTCTCCGGTGAGCGGTTTGTCTTTTGGTTCTTTTTATTCTTTTCTTTTTCTACAGCCAATGACATTTGTGGGCAACTCAATATTGAACCCTCCCTCCCATCAAAGAAAAGACACATAGAACGGGGAGGAAAAACCACGGCTCGGTGTTTGAGGCGCAAAGTGTTTTTTTTTGAAGCTCATGTCCGGCTCCTGGGAGATGAACAAACGGCGTCTCTCTCTTTCTTCCTTGTTTTATCACATATCAAAGGAAAAAAGACCAATTACTATTTTTACTCCAATGTTCGACTAATTGAGCTTACGATGCTCCAGAGTCTTGTGGTCAGCTCTGGTTTGGCGCGAGCCGTATTATTACATAATTAATGTGACCATGCCCGACAAAAAGCGGCCATGATTGAATGTGAAGCTGCAGGGATCATGACTGCAGGGCGAATTCTAATATACCGGAACGGGGCTCGGAAACGACTTGCCTAGGCTGCCGGCTTTAAGTCGAGCGGCCAACGGGTTGGGGATATTCGGGCGGGATTGCGGGATATATAGGGCGGATAAGGTGTTTTTTTTCTGGGGGTGGGCTTGACAATTGTAAATATATAAGTGTGCAGAACGCGTCTAAGATGGTTAATGAAGGTGAACGTGGAGAATTGACGGCTCGTCTTATCAGTGTTGAGTGTGTTGTCATTTGTGATTTGTGATGCCCCGGAGATGTAGGCCACGAATGTATCGAGCTAGAATGTGTCCGAGCCTTGTTGCCCATCTTCTCAGTGGAAACAGGTACGAGCACAGGTTTAACGTCTCCAGTATGTCAATTGTAGCTGCAATGCAATGCTATTAATAGACGCCCCCATCACAGTACAGCACCGAGAGAGAAGAAAGAAAAACGAAACGATGGACGGCTTTGAAACGCGACGGTGCGGGTGCGGGGGAAAACATGAATCTTGAGTGTTTTAGTATATACGAGGGTTTTGGGGTTTCATGACCCATGACCAAAGGGGGTTGGAGGATGAAACGCGTGTTGGAGGTGTTTCTTGTTTGCGAATTAGGTAGGCAGTAGAGATGATACGAGTTACGATATGTGTGTGTGTGTGTGTGTGTGGTTTTACTTGTTTTTTTTTTTTTTTTTTTTTTTTTTTTTTTTCGTTTCGGAACCGCTCGGGATGGGGGATGTATGTGGTTACGAATGTAAGACAGTTGAGGATGGGGATGTGTGTGGTGCTGCAAGGGAGGTTTTCTTTTCTTTTTTTGGCTTTTGGGTTTTGCCCTTGCATGTAGTATTATGTGGCGGGTTGCGGGCGCGGGGTTAGGCGAGATTTGCAGTTTCTTTTCTTCTTTTTGACTGAGAAAGATGCTGTGGTGTTTGTTTGGGGGTTCAAGGTTTGGATTTGCTTTTTTAGGCGAGTGTATGAGGCAGGGGTTGTGTGTGTGTTGGAACTTGGCGGGCTCGTTTAGATGGGATGGGCGTTGGGATGGATTGGATGGATTGTGGAGGAGATGAGATGAGATGAGATGAAATTGACGGGGATGTTTGTGTTGGTTGGGGGTTTGTATAAGTGCGAGAACCCAGACTGAATGCTCAATTGATTTGATTGTAGGCGTGTTGTAGCTGAGGTGATGTTGATGTTTGATGCCGGTTGGCACATGTTTTTGTTACCCTGCAGTGGGTGAGGTGTATGCATTCAGGTACGGTACATGCTCAATTGCTCAGTCCACACGTTGCTCGGTGATTTATTGGCTCGGTAGACGCACTATGAGGGCTAGCAGGCAGCTTAAATCCTTAGCCGGGCTATTCACAGTGGTCTGACTTGGATATCCTAAATGCAACCTCATGCTGGTGGAGTTGAAGTAATTTGGTGTACCTTTGTCTGCTAAGACTGGGTCGTGTACCTACCTCTCCATCAAAGGAATTCACGATAAAAAGTAAAAATAGAACAGAACACAGGTCTATGCTATCTCTTGAAAGACCAATGGATCAAATGCTACTTCGTATCAACAACACCTGCACGTCATGTGCATGCACCTTGATAATAATAACAGCAGCAAAACATCCAAATCCATTCTTTGCCCGCGGCTCAGCCACAAGACAGGAGGTTCGCATGGTACGAGGCCAATCCCCATCGGGCTAGAGGCGCCGCCCAGCGTTCGTGCCCTGGCGCAATTAAAACGGCTGCTTTGCTTGTAATGGAAGCGGTTGCAGTACAATGGCTGCCGTACCTCGGCCGCGGCGGCGCTATGGGCAGTGACAAGGCCGTGGTGGGCGGCGCTTGTACCTGTCGCCTCTTGGTGTCCGATGTCTCGATGGCCCTTCGCATTAGTGGACTTAGCGCCTGGCTCCAGGGCTCTCTTCCAACGGATTTTGTAACGGACACATGCCTCGTCCCGGGGGGGTACCTGTACTTGCGGCTGCACTGACGCGCGCCGGTACCTGAAGCTGTGGCGGCTCCCCGTGGGCGTACCTGGTACCCGCAGCCCGCCGCCCGTGCTGGTGCCTTCTTTGCTGGTGCTTGTGCCTTGTGCCTGTCGGCTGGCATTTATTGGCCGAGATTTGACACTTGGGCTTGTTGCGAACTGAGCCTTGGGGGGTTCAACGCGAGTTCCCGAGTTTCGTCTTTCCTGGTGCCCCTCCTCCCCAGCTTGCGACGATCCAAGACCAAGAACCCACGAGGCTCTGCGAGTATTTGTTCGACCTTATCGCCGCCTTGTCCAGCTTCTGCTTCGGCTTCCCTCTTGCTGCTGACTGGGGTCTTCTTGTGTCCGGCCACCCACTCGGAGCGCCTTGTATCGATCCATTAGCCGCCCGTTGGCGCTCTGCTCGCCTCCGCACGCCTCGTTTCCCCCCCATTCGAACCTGGTGCCTCAATTTCTACGCAGCCCTCAAAACTCCCCTGAAAGCGAAGCAGGAGAAACAAGGAAAAAAGAAGAGGGCATCTCGCAACGCAACTCCTCCATCGAAAGAGTCGTAGCGGCGACGGGACGGTTGGACAAAAGGGAGAGCAGCGTCAAATAGGGGACGAAAACGAAAACCAACCTGCGCCCTGAGAGGGGAGAGAGAAAGCGAGAGAGAGCGAGAAGACGCTTGGCCACGGCACCTCGCGCAGCCCTGCGGCGTCGCCCACGATGATGAGCTTTGAAGGAGGCACGGGCTACGCCGAGTCGGACGCCGACGACGAGTACGAGCATCACCTGGGCGACCACTCGCCCGTGGGCGATTCCGAGACGTCGCCCATGGGCTCCGAGCTGTCGACGTCGGCCGAGCACACGCCCACCACGTACGGCCATCGAAGCAGCATGGACCGCCTGCCCGAGACGATTATTACCGAGTGGACGGCCGAGGAGTGCGCGGATTTCATCAGTGCCATCGGGCTGCCGCAGTATGCCGATACATTTCTAGGTATGCATGCAATTTGACGGTGTGATTTACAGTGCAAGAATGATGATGACGACGACGACTACGATGACGACGGCGTGGTTTCTTCTTTTGCTTGGGGACATTGGCTGATTCGTTATGGTGTTATACAGAAAACGACATTGTTGGAGAGGCCCTGGTTGCTCTGCTGCATGACGATCTCAAGAGCATGGGCATCGCCAGTGTGGGCCACCGTCTAACCATTCTCAAGAGCGTCTACGACGTCAAAAAGGCTCAAGATATCCCAATTGAGAGCGATCACTACCTACCACTTTGTAAAGCCTCCCATCTTGCCCTCTGGATAATGGGAACGCCCATGACTGACTTTGCTGGACTTGTGAATTTGCAGCCGCCGATGCCGAAGCCCAATACGCCACAGCAACGCTCAAAGACATCAGACACCTAGTGGAACAGCTTCGGCTGCGAGACGAGCGGATGAGCCTACTGGAGCAGGACCTGCGGCGGATGAACGAAGACTTTAAGCGCCTCAGGGAGGACATGCTGCCGGCGCTGCGGCTTGTCAAGGACGTTCAGCACCCGCTGCCAAACGTTTCTGGGCCCAGCCAAGCATACACATACGAAGCCACCCTCTCTCCGCCCGCACCAACGCCTCCTGGAGCCCAGCCCGGCGATCGAGGCGTGAAACGACAGTACTCACAACGACGAATCCTGATAGGAGCTACGCCCAAGAGCAACTCGCCGACACAAGCGACGCACGACCAGCGGATCATGCCGGAACAGACACTGGACCCGTCCAGCGCGGCAGAGAGGGCAGTCATGTCATCGACGCACCTGGCTGCCATGAACGGCGCCCCCTCTGTCTCCACGACCGGATACCCCTCCCCTGTTATGCCATCACCGACATCCCCAATGAACCACATGAGCGGAACCACTCTTGGTTCGCGATCCTATAACTCGACCCCTTCTGTACGATCGACATTCATCGAACCAGATCTCGGCTACAATTCACGAGACAAGGCCGGTGGCGGGTCGATTCGACGACGAGAGACGCCCGTTCCCGAGACGCCCAATCCTAAAGACTCTGTCGAAATCTTCAAGTCGTTCCGAGTAAGCATGGACGACCCATGCTACAAGGTGTTACCGGCTGCGCTTAAGAAGTATCAGATCAATGCACCTTGGGACCAATACGCTCTGTACATTGTCTACGGCGACCAGGAGCGTTGCCTCGGCATGGATGAGAAGCCTCTGATTCTGTTTAAGCAGCTGGATAAGGAAGGCAAGAAGCCCATGTTTATGCTGCGCAAGACAAATAGTGCCCAGGTAGACGGCGACCTTCCCGGCATGAGCATGAACCCAGCAAGAGGAGCTTCAACGGGCTACGATCCGCCGGGAGGCATCATCTGAAGAGGAAAATAAGGCACGCTTTGGTTTGATGGGCATACTCACAAGTGTCTCCGAATGACACTGGTAGAGAGGCTTTTGTTTCATTATCCGCGAGTTGGGCTGTTGTGACATATACTTGGAAGGGGGCGCATTGGAGTTGGTGGGGAAAAGGGAAAGCAAAAAGGAAATTCAGGCCGCGGCGAAGAGAAGTACGAAGAAAACGACATGCCCTGGTAATGTATGCTGCGTGCGTTTCTGCTGCAGCTTATTCTGACGCTGCAAGCGGCCGGAACGGGGCTGATGCATAAAGGCCAAATGAGGTGAATTCACTACTACCCCTTTGGTAAAGCGATATCAAGTTTTACCAATCGGGAAACTCTTGAGACGAAGGACGGAGTAACACTTGAGCGAAATGAGCTTGAGATGCTATGGATTGGACGTGAGAGTCCCAAAAATGAGAACGAGCTATAATGGGAAGCTTGGACTGAGGGTTCTCGAATTTGGATTCTCGTCATGGACGATTTTCACCCCTTATACTATCTTGGGTGAGATATATTTTCTTTTGAATATGTTGGGCAATGTGCACACACACGGAGGAGGGAAGGGAGAAGGAAGGGAAGGGGGGGCAAACAAACACGGCGGGGAATTTCGGGTGTACGGCAACTTTTTTTGGGCAAAAATTCTGGGAGGGGAGGATGTATATTATTCTTTTTTTTTTATTGTTGCTTTTATATTGTGTTGGATGTGGATGGATGGATGCGTATCTGGGATGCATGTAGTATTAAAGAGCGAGAACCTATCTATGTAATACTCTATATTGAGTGTCTTTTCTTTACTTTTACTTTTCTCTTCTTTCTTGTAATTGATGAGGGATGAGGGATGTTGAATGTTTGATGTTGATTGCGGTAGTGTATGAATAGACTTGTGATGGAATGAGGAGTGCTTTGAAGGGGATGGGCTGTGAGGTGGTTGGTGTGAATGAGGTGTTTTGATAACAGAGGATGTAGACTGACGATGAGGATGTTGGATTGATAGTAGTGATGATGTAAAGAGCGGCGGAAATGCTACGGAGATGTACTAGGTTGGATGATTGAGGTAGGTTGGGATAGGTGAATGAATGAGGTGTTTTGATGATAGTGGAAGGTGTAAACTGACGATGAGGATGTTGGATTGAGATTGAGGGTGAATTGGGTGTTGATGATGATGTAAAGAGCTCCGGAAAACGGCACGGAAATGTAACAGGTTGGATGGATGAGGTAGGATTGGGATAGTTGAATGACAGACAGGTGACGCTGGCTGGATGCTTGAAGGATTGAAGGAGATTTGAGTAGATATTTGATTAGTCGCGGATGGTGTCGAGTGATCTCATAGACTTGATCGACATGTCTGGTTGGACTGGTGAACATGCAGAGTAAAGAGCTCATCCGGGTTGAAAGACTGCTGCAAAATGGCTCTGCCTCAATTAGGACGAAGAAATACAATAAAGAGCTCATCCGAGTCAGGAGACAGCAAACTGGTCCTTGAAATGGCTCTTCCGGGTCTGAGGCTGAAAGACGTCCGCAGGTCAGATGGGCTTAAAGAGAATAGAGTAGAGCTATGCTGTGTGGCGCGTGGCGTGCAGGACGGCGCATTCGATGGGCTGGATTCGCTTGCATTGCATTCAGGCTAATCACCAGGCCGAATAGAGTTTCTCGTTGTTTGCCTAGATTAGTGAGAGTGAGAGCTTTCACGGGGATAGTAGTGGGTTTGAGGGAGTGTGCGTGAAGAGAAAGAGTTATTCAATAATATGGGGGATTTTAGTTTGCTTTCTGGAGGCTGGCTGGGTATCCAATATGATTCCATTCTATCGTGTTAGTGAGGCGGTCAAGATATGTTACGTAGACCATTAAATGGGGATTGGGTGTCGTCAGAGCTGTTGGCATATGTACCCGAGGAAGGATTTGCGTCGTTGCCGATACTGCCTGATCTGCTCTGTTTTGCTACTGACTATAGTATTACTCGTATGGAGGCGTATATGCCGGCGTTCAATACGGGATCCAATGGGTTCGGTGTGCGGGCGCCCAGGGGGGATTGGGGGTTTTGCGTGCTTATGTGATGAAGTCTATTGTACGGAGAATGAGTGAGGATGAGAATGGGGAGCAATGGTTCTAGGTTGGGGTGTGATTTTAAATCAGATCAGATGAGGGTCGGGGAGGGGCTTAGATCATTCCTATTAATGGGAGAGGAGTTTTCGTTTCGGGATTGTAAAGGACAGCTGAAGCCGTTGTTTGTTATTAGAAATTGAAGTGAAAAAGATGTTTTAATTCCGAATGATTTAAAGGATCTCGGCACTCGTTCGATGGGCCGTGTGTCACCCACGGCTGTCGCACCCGAGAGAGGATCGAGAATCTGGTGTCCGGACACCGACCAGCGACGCGGCTTCGGCTTCGGCTTAGCCCCCTCAGGACCTATAATGCGCTCGTAGTGGCAGCAAACCATCAGAGCTTAGCTGCCTATCCCGCTACTATTCAGTACCTAGTAGTTAGTTGGCGCTTGACGTGCCCATCTTTTGCTAGTGGAGGTTGCCCGTTTGAGTCATCGCCGGCGTTGACGCAGCTTAGCCAGCGGCCTTGAAAGGCGTCCAATGGAAACCCGATGCGCTGGGGCTCGGGTGCGTAGCCGATTGAGCTGGGCTGGGGTAAGAAGGATGAATGACTCTGGATGGAGACGGCGCGGACCAAAGTTTGCGACGTGCTTATGATGGAGCGAGTGAGTGGTTCCTAAATAGCTCTGATGGTTTGTATGGCTTTGGCTTTGTATAGGGCGTTAGTCAGAAGGTGATGTGATCGGTTGACACTTGGGACTGGACTGGAGCTATGGGCGGGCTCTGGCTGGGCTCGTTTTGCTCGGGTTGCGTGGACGGAGGACGTGTGTTGGGAGGAGAAGGATTTTATGGCTTGTTTAAATAAATAGTTGTTTGGTGCCTTGGATTTTTGGTTTCTTTTTTTTTTCCTTTTCTTTGTTTCCTTGATATCATGGCATTTCTGGTTCGACAAAGACTTACTCTTTTGGGAACGAAGCTATAAGCTGCTCGAGAATAATATAATCCTGCTTTGTTTGTTTGTTTGTTTGTTGCCTTGGCTCTGGGCCTTTGCATTAAGCACCGTCATACCTACACCTTTACCTGTATTACATTGAGTGACTAGAATGGAGGAGAGGATATAGATCCTGCTTGATATTGATAATCGCCGTCAAGGTATGGTGTACCGCAGCTCTTCATAATCGTCACGATTCCTTTGGAAATGAGCTGACAATGATGGCTACAGATGGTCGTAATACAACGCTTTGGGGCTGATGCCAACCCAGACTATCCCAAAAACTCACCTCCTCGTCCGACACCCGTCTCCAGCGCGACTCCCACTCCCACCGACATCATCGCTAGCATCACCACAAGCACAGCATCTCCAACATCATCTAGCACATCAGGTGGATTCTTGCACATCGCCTCAGATGGCAACAGCGGAGACAAGATCCTCCGCGGATTCCTCATTGGAATGGCCGTTGGCATTATACTGAGCTTCGTGCTGTGCTGCTGGCTGCCGTGCTGCAGGAAGAAGCGGCGGTCGCGGCTGCAGAGGCGCAACGATAATATCCGGCGGCGGCTTGTTGTTCTCGAGGACGAGGCGTGGGTGAACCAGAATTGGCCGCAGAGGAGGCCGTGGGATGTTGGTGAGGATGAGGGCCAAAGCCATGTGAGCCACGACTAATACGAACGATGCTTGGCGAACGAACAAGTATTGGATGATGATGACGACGATAATATCTGGTTATTACGGAATCTTTTGGGAGCAAATTGCAGGGAATTGGAATGAATATGGTATGTAATGGGAGTTTGAGGTGTTTTGGTTTATTGGTAATACTATCGGTATCTGCTTGTCTGCTTCTACGTGGTTTGGCAATGCAAGGCGGTTTTCAGGGACGGAAATAATATCAGTCGTCAGCTAGTGACGAGACACAAGGATACAAGCGGAGATAATCTGGATGGCTTACGAATAGAAATTCTATTAATTGATCAATCAGCGAGGCTTCTTTGCACCAAACCGGCAGTGATGTGCGTTTTTCAGTGACCCATAAGCGGCATCAATGTCGCGATGCTTCAACAATGGGACGATTCCCGGCTGTCGCTCATCTTGGCATCTCAGCAAGTGTGCACTGACACAGCCACTCTCTTCTGGGGGCTTGTGGGCCAGCTCGCGCGGCTGTGGCGCAGCAGCCTCCAGCAATGACGTTGGCGGGGAGCCACAGTCTCGGCGCGCCAAGCTCTTGAATCAGACTGTTCGGTCCATTCATTGTCGTTATTTTCAACTATCAATGCTTCGAATTCCTTTCACTTGCACGATTGCATTGCCCCTATCCTGTGCCTCAGATCTAAACAAGGCGCTCTAAACGATAACGACTGCAGACGACATCGCACTACTGCGGGCCTGATCCTGCTCCTGATCCTTTCGATTGGCCTCTTGTCTCAGCTTGCCGCAGCCTCACTTTATAGCCGCCAGCCCGTGACCCCTCTGGCCAAGACTCGAAACGACATGCAATGACCTGCTGATATTCGCCACGGCTTGAAGCTTTTATTTCTTCTTTTTTCTTTGCATTTTCAGTTCCAGCTTCTCAAATACACATATAGCCGCCATGCTTGACGACAGCTTCCCCACGTACCGCATGCACGCTTCTGCGGAAGATGCTCTCCAGACGACTCTGTTTTACACATACAACGGCTCGGATCCTCAGCGCGCTTACACCCTCCAGAGACCTGCCCCCGCATCCTCGGCGAACCAGTATGCCATCGCCCTATTCGACGCCCACTACCAGTCCGTCATCTACGGCGAGGTGCTGGTGAAGCCCGAGTTCCAGCAGCCCACGCTCTCGGCCGCCGAGATTCGCAACCAAAACGGCTCGCCGCCCAACGTGCCCATCACGCCCGACTCCTTCTCCGTGCTGCTGTATAACCCGGACCAGAACATTGTCGTCAAGCGCAATGCCGGGGGGTGGAATCGCGCTGATTCGTGGGGGTTTGAGATTCCTGAGCGCACGTTTAAGCTGCCCAGTGCCAGCAAACTGGACCAGGAGACGGGGAGCAACGACGTGGCGGATCAGTCGCCGAAGATTATGTTTCACTGGAAGCGGGATGGGCGGCTTAATAGGGACATGACGTGCTACATGTCGGGGAAGAGCGTGGGCGGCAAGAAGAGCAAGGAGCCGGATATCACGGTGGCCATGTATCGTAGCCAGAAGCAAGGGGATGCCGTGTGCATCTACGAGCCCAACATGGCTCGAGTCGAAGTCGAGGACCGAAAGGGTCTTGAGGTCGTGCTGTTGCTGAGTGCTGTTGTCGTCAGAGACTTGCATTTTGCACCGAAGCAGGATCCATTCAACATCTCCGGCGCGGTCCCTGCAGGGAGAAGAGGCTCGCGGCCGTTGGCACCGTCGCCAAACGACCCGACGCTTGTATCCGGTGCATTGGCGGATACTACTCCATCACCGGGGCCGACAAACACGCCACCGGCAAGACCCTCTGCCGCGAAGCAGGCCGAGATTGATGCCGAGACACGCCGGCTGAAAGCAATGGTGGCCGAAGAAGAGCGACAGCGCCGGGCGCGACTTGCTAGGGAGGAAGAAGAGAAGACGCGGAGGATGCTCCAGCAGGAGGAAGAAGCTCAGCGGCGGCGGAAGCAAGCCGAGATCGATGCCGAGACCGAGCGGCTTCGTCGAGAGTACGGCGTGCCGGCCCCTCGGCCAACGCAGGCATCTCCTCCGCTCCCGCAGCGGCCTTTTGGAGCACCGGCGTCGACGGCGGCCATGTCTGGTGCTTTGGGTGGCGGCGGCTGGTATGGCCCGCCCGTCGTGAACAATCTCCAGCCTCCGCCTCCGCCGCGGCCAAACAGCGTAGGCCCCGGGCCGTCTACGCAGCAGCAGAATGGGCGCAACAAGCTGAGTCCTTATTCGGGACCGTTGGGGGCGCGGGCGAGTGCTATTAGCTTTTTCGGGGGAGGCAAGACGGATGAGGAGAAGAGGAAGAAGATGAAGAAGAAGCAGAGCGTGCATTTCTAGGGGGGCATCATCATGGCGTTTTTTAAGGGGGGATATACCAAGGATATTTTGGGATAGACTATGGGCATTATGGGTTATGTACTTTTGTTACTTTATGTTGCTCAATTGAGGAATCATTACAAAAATTGCATCTTCTTCTTTTGAATAAGAGGTAGTTGGCCATGTTGTTCACTTATAAAGTGTCACTGCTAAGATTGGTCATCTACAAATATGTACTTATCATTGCTAAGGTGGTGTGTTTTGTTAGCTCACCATGCTATTCATCTGAAGTAGCATTACTAAGGATCCATTGCATCTTTCTTCAGGCATGCCACTACTATTCGTTCTCAGTGTCATTACTAAGAATTGAATCCTTGAAGCAATGCAATTCACTTTAAGCATCACTTATTCACAACCAGAAAGCCAGAAAAGTTGGGGAATGAGATTATATATTATTAAATTGTAGTGTGTATATGTCTTAATCCACCTCTCTTCCCTGATACCTCCCCTTTCTGTAAGAAAGGTATCCCTCGCGTTTCTCTCGAATCAAATGGGTATAGAATCTAATACTCATAAAAACTTTTTGTGCTCCCAGCCTGCCCGTGTGTAAAAATCCATGCCCAAAAAAAAAAAAACTTGTGTGTAACAAAAGAGAAGTCAAAGGTAGTCGAAAAAGCAAAAAACTTTTGGTGTTGTAGTTCGTAGGTCGTCGTCTCTTAAGGAGTGTTTTTTTTTTTGTGTTTTTTGTGTATTTTATTCCATCGTGCTGGGCATAGACCGATATCCATCCATTCCTCTTTTCCGCAGTTCAGGAGCACAAGTTTGTTGTAGTTCTCTTGTTGGTGTGAAAGATTGTCCAATGTTTGTTGTTTAGGCAATGTTCATGGGCAGCTTCATGCCAGCACCGACATTGGCGGCCTTGACACTGGGGCGAGGGCGGGAGAAGAAAGAAGAGAAACGCTTCTTCTTCTTCTCCGAGGCGAGGGAGCGGTTGTCTGGGGTGTTTGCGGCGGAGGTGGCGGGAGTAGTAGCCGCTGAGGGGCAGAGAATCATCTCGTGGGTGATGCCGTTGCTGAGAGCAGCGCGGAAGTGGACGAGGTCACCGACGAACATTTTGAAGTTGTTGTTTGTGGTTGTTGTGTTTTTTTGAAGTAGAGAGAATATTGGGTTGTGTGAAAGCTGGAGCTTTTGGAAGCTTGTGTGATGCTTTTTGAATGTTTGTGTGTAGATGAGTAGTTGTCTGTGTAGCTGATGATTGCTTGATGATGATAGGAATTCCTCTTGTTCAAAAGCACGGCCCAAGCCTCCTCTTATATACAAAACAATCGCTCGCCTCCATTTCAATCCCAGGTACGTACTTCTTTCACGATGCCGTGAATTTCCATTCCATGCCGTGTACGTACCCCTATGACAACTCCTATGACTGCAAATTTTGCATTCTAAAAAAAAAAAAACATGTTTTCTGTAGCTCTTCTTGGTCATTTGCGCATCACCTGCAGACGGCGGATCCGTATCGGCTTCGGTCTGCCGGGGCTCGGGGATCCACAACCCGATCGTAGCCAGGCGCCAGGGGGAGCTCCGTTTTGGGAAGAACGAGGAAAAAAACTTGAGGCATCGTGAAAACTGGATTGGGGAGTGGAGTTTACAGTGGAATCAATAGGAGTTTAGGGCGGAATCATTGGGTCGAAACAGTCATCGAATGGAGTGTGTGAGTCTACGGAGCTTGTAGTGTGTGTGTGTGTGTGTGGCTCAGCTGGGCTGGTGCTGGTGCCTTGCTTTTCGGCACTGAGTCAGCAGGGGGTGTTGGGGTGTGGGCTGAAAGAATTTTCTGATTAATTGGAGCTTTGGGCAGCCTTGGATTTTCAGGTACGGGAGGGGAGAATCAATACCAATACGACGGTGATTGAAGAGCCGGTAAGAGGCGGGTTAAGGCGCTCGGGCCGAAAATGGGCAAGGGTAGGGGAGTAGGGAGTGTGGTTTTTATTGAATTAATTTTTTTTTCTTTTTCTTTTTGTTTCGTTCGGCATGAAGCGAATGATGATGACTGGACAACGTGTGGCGCGTGATGGAACGTTGGTTGGCTGGTTTTGATGTGTTGATGCAGGAACTGTGAGGCTGGTGTGGATGACGAAGCAAGGCCGAAGCCGAAGTGACGGGAAACGCGTGGCTGATTCCATCTCGGCTTCGGGTCATGTTCTTCCAGAGGCTTCGATTACATACGCAACACAGCACATGCAAACAATAGGTATGCAGATACGACATACGAAGTAGATGAAGCTATTCGCAAGGCTGTCATCGTCGTCGTCACTGTTTACACGTAACTCGCCGTGTGAGCAATTCGCGGCCAATACACGTATTCTTTGTCTCTAGCATCAATCCATCCATTTGCTCACTCAGCGACGTGCTGTCCTGTGCCCCCCTTTTCACCCTTTTCGATATTCCCAGGTTCTTCAAAGCCCTACAAGCCTAACGCAAAAAAGAGTCATGAAGAAAGAAAAAGCTCTTCCCAGCGGGTTCCCAGCGGGCGACGACCCGCAAGCCGGGGATCCGTTCCACCCACTTTTCCGTCTCCGCCTCGAAACAAGTCACAAGCAACGAATGGATACATACTAACAATACTACCCAGTCAACCAGTAGCAAGCTGTAGCTGAGCCAGCTGCTGCCAAAATTACGTTGCAGCACCAAATATTACACGTATTTCTTTCATCTTTTTCACTGCCGAAGTGGATATTGTTTGCGGGAAGAGGGCTGAAAGTGCTGAAAGTGGCGTGTGTCGTGGCGAGATGGAGCCCCTTCTCTCTCGTAATAAATTAACCACGGCGGGAAAAATATGGATCTCGTGGAATGAAAATTTACAAGAAAAATTATAGACCATGGTTCTTTAATTGGCACTGCTTTTTTTTTTTTTTTTTTGTTGGCAAATACTACGTCCATACGAGTAGCTGGGCGGTAAGTTTCGGTTTGCAGGGGTGGTTTCCCGCACGTGTGATTCTCTTTGGTTGAATGCTTGGTGATGATTTTTTTTTTTTTTTGGGTTTCTTTTTACACAATAGGTGGATACGGCACGGCCGTTTTTTTTTTCTTGGAAGTGGAAAGGGGGCTTCGCTCGCTCGTGTGTAGATCGGGTGATGGGACTGGGTTTTGAAACCATATGACTTTGATGATGCTTGTAAAACGACATTGCGTTGGATGTAAATTTTTCATGCACCGAGGGTAGCCGACTGTGTTGTTTGTTGACTGTTGAGGAGGAGGCTTCTCAGGACAAGATGTTGCATCGTGGCGATATTGTAGGTTGTCGTTGCATGAAGAGCAATATTGACCTTGTACAGGATGCCCCTTTTGCGGATTTTGCAGCTCATGGGTTATACATACCACAATGCTGGCTGATGGGGATGTTGAATCGTGTCTTGAAGCAATTCTATATGCTCATCCCCATGTTGGATGCTTCTTCGCCTGAATAGGGTCATGTAAACGGGTGTGAACAGCTATAGATCCACCAGCAAGCCCAATTGACTACTCACGACATCATGATGCAGTTGAATATAGATAGAATTGGTGTTTCTAGAGAAAAAAATGCCAACGCCCATGCCCGAGAAATCTTCTCCACCTCTATCCGGCTGCTGCCATCCCCTGATGCTGCTTCAACTCTTCCAAACCGGCAGTTGGCATCTCTTGAAGACTACTCCGTATAGTCCAGTGGGTATCCAGCGGGTTTTCATTCCATCCTCCATGCATTTCCATCGTACTCCACCAGTATCCTCTATTCCCAACTCATCAACCCTCACAAAGAGCCGTAAAATGACATCCTCCTGGGCAAACTACTCCCAGCAGACGAACCACCTTCATGAAACGCAACGCTACCATCATCACGAGTCACATCACCCAATCCAACCCAGCATCCCCTTCCATTGCCAAAATTCCCTTGTACGTTTCCAAGCTTATCACAGCCGTCTTTTCCACCGCGTCCAATTGCCCTGCAATGCTCTACAAGCAGTCCATCGGCGAGCTGGGCCCTCCCAACTCTCGGAACAGGGCCTTCTTCACCTCGAAAATCACTTGCGCGAGGGGGATGCGGACCGTCGTTGCTGGCTTGTACCGGGCGAGGAGGCTTTCGTATCGATCTTGAAGAATCCTGTTCCATCCGGCGTAGCAGCGCAGGCCCGTCTCGGCGAGGAGTATCTGGTATACCCTGACTCGAGCCTTGGCCCTTATCATCGTGAGCAGTTCTAGTGGGAATTGCTATTAGTATTGCTTCAACGTGGCGCCTTGGTATAAAAGGAGAAAAGAAGGGCACCCACTGATTGCTTTCTGGGACAGTTCTTGCTTCAGAGGGGGCCATGCCCAGAGTCTCTCAAAGGGCACCGTACATATGGAAATCAACTCCCACATGCACTTCTTAAACATGGGTTCGTCCCAGAACAAGGACGCTGCTACCATGTAGCACCCCGATGCCATCGGGGGATCAGACATGTATTCCCGGTTGTCTCTGCCGTTGAGAAGCCACTGCCGCGCCGCGAGCGTGACGGCCCTTTGCAGGCCGTATTTGTTCACTAGAATCGCCGCGCCGAGAAGCATGGATGGCCTGAATGACCGCGGCACCAAATGGTTTTGGAGGTGGATGATGCGGCAGATGATGCGGACGATTTCGATGTTCTCCGGGTCGAGCACGAGGATCCTTTCGTGGTCACCGGACGCGCACATGATGTCCTCGACCAGCACTTCAAAGGATGCTGATGCGCACATGAGGGTCTGCGAATAGACTAGGAATGCCGTGTTGGAGCCCTCGATCGCCAAGATCATGTCGCCGCCGGGGGAAATGATTTCGGTAACATCTTTTTCTTCTTCTTTGACTTCCCCTTCATCATCTTCTTCGCTTTCCCCTTCATCTTCATCTTTGCCTTTCCCTTCATCATTTTCTTTGCCTTTGTCTTTCCCTTCGTCTTTTTCTTTGCCTTTTTCTTTGCTTTTGAGTTGTTCTAACATATCGCCAACGTCGCATTTGCCCTTGAGTTTGCTGCTGCTGCTACTGCTGCTGTCGCCGTCACCGTCTTCCTCTGTAGGGCCGAGAAGCAGCTCGACTATGTCCTCTGGTTTCCATTGACCCCTCTTCATCTGTGATAGAATGAGCTCGCATAAGAGCTCGCTGTGTGACCGTTTCTTCCTGAGCGGAGGGGGAGCTGGCGGCGAAGGTGATCGAGGCATCTTGGAGATTTTCTCGGCGAGTTTGGCGAGTTTCTTGTTGTTGTCTGCGATATCCTGTCGGTATTTCGCGTTTCTTGCAGCTCTGTCGGCTTTTGCGGCTTCTAATGCCGATAACTCTGCTGGCTCGGACGTGTTTGCTGATCCTGATGGCTCTGATGAATCCGGCGGCTCTGGTGTTAATGCCAAGTCTGTTGGCTCTGGTTCTTCTGCTGGCTCTTCTCTCTTCAACCGCAACTCTAAGTCTACTTGCATTGAGCTATCCATTGTCGACGTGATATCAAGGCCGTACTATAAGAGGTAAGAATGGACGTAATTTAAAAGACAAGAATGAAATTGGAAATCCAAAAAGCGTAGTGTGAGAAGCCTTGGTTACAGGCTGTCATGAAAGATACAACAATGTATTTTCCAGGTTGAGCGGATGTATGTTTGTCTCGCCTGACTGGGGAGTAGCAACTGCTTCTGCTGTGATACATCTGTTGACTTTGCATCTTGTACCTGTGGTAGGCGTGTAAGTGAGCGTAGAAAGCACGAGGGAGGATTCCAAGATGCATTTTGTGTATGAGTGACCAGCTTGACTTGGGCATTCTTAGTAGCGAAGAGTAAACAGAGATACTTGGATGACATCTCGGCTTGCAACAAGCTGCTTACAAAGTCGACAGCGAGAGGATGCACAGAATGCCGTGCATAAAGCTCCAACCCACTTTATCACTCAATGTAGTATAAAACTGAACTAAAGCAGGAGTTGCGCATTAGTCTTCAATCTAGCCTCACCTTCGAACATCATCGCATCATCGTCTGTCTACATGATCATGAGCCAAACCTATAAAAATGAAACCAATCGAATCACCACGCACACACACACGCAAAGAGAGATACATCTCATCATAAAAAACGTAAACAAAGGCCCTTGACATGCATCTAGGCTCTTCAAATCATCACCCCTTACACTGTAGCCGGCTTGCCAAGAAAAACGCCGCTCATGCAACGCCTCCCCCCTCCCATCTTGATCCGTTTATTTCATTTTCCAGTCCCAAATCCAGCTGTCCTTCTCACACGGCTCTCGTTGAGTAAGTATATATATTGTATATCGAATTTGTTTATATGTGTTTTTTTATTGTTCTGTGTCTTCTTAGTTATCTTCATCAACCTTCTCCAGGTGCAGGTCGTTGACCAGCATGTATCGGCTGAAACCGAGCCACAGGTAGCGGAACCAGACCATCTGGCTCTTGTGGGCGGTGGTCATGGCGGACCAGGCGGTGCCCAGCTTGGGCTCGGGTCCAACGATGTTGTTGGTGTAGATGAGCGTCTCGGGGTGCTCGGGGTCCTTGTCGCGCGTGAACAAGGACGAGGCGATGGTGGTGAAGAGGTCCATGCCGCCCGAGTACTTGCGCAACAGGTTGACCGTGTTTAGTGTGTAGACGTCGACCGGGCTCTTCCACTCGGGCTTGCCCTCTGTCAGAGCCTTGGCGAAGCCCCGCGCGCCGTGGTAGAGGGAGATGTGGTTGGGATGGGACGACACGCCGTGGCCGTCAAAGGTGATGAGGGCGTCGATGTTGGCCGTGGGTTGCGACACGTTTTCGGCTCGCTGGTGTGCCAGCTGCGGCGCAAAGGCCTTGGTAAGGAGGTTGGCGATCTTGGTCTCGTCCCAGTGCGTCGTCATGGAGTCGGGAAAGTCCTTGCTGTAGGGCCCAATCGTGTTGGTCGTCTTTTGCCTTGAGATTGTGAGGGATGGATGCGATGGTGGCACTTACGGGTTGTCGACGACAAAGACGTCGGACTCGTCTCGCAGGCCCAGGGCCAGGCCGCTCTGGACGAGCTCCTTCTTTCTGGTTTCGCCGAGGCCTTCGGCATTTCCTAGAAACCCCAAGTCAGCCGGTATTCGCGCATGTTATCCTTTTCTCCGTCTTTGTCTTCAACGTCCCCATCTCGTCCACGTTGTCTATCCGTCGGCTTGTCGTACCTGCGCTCAAACACAAAATCTTGACGTGGTTGCCCGTCTCCGGCCGCGCCAGCGCCAGCACCGTCGGGGCAAAAAACATGGCCTCGTCATCCGGATGCGCAATCAGCAGGCACACGCGCTTCTCTAGCAGCTCCGGGAAGCGGTTGCGCACGGCGCCGGCGGTGCAGATGTAGATGCATGGCACGGCGGCGACGAGGGACGCAACCACCACGAATAGAGCCTTGGAGTCGAGGTCCAGCTTGAAGGGCAGGTTAAAGGGGAGTCTGAAGGGAAGGCTGAGGGAGTTTGGCATGGCTGCGGATTGAAAGAAGAGACGAGAAGAAGAGACGAGACGGCGATGGGACGAGGCTGGCGGGATGCGGAGTGTGGCCGGGGGTTGCCTCGGTAGAGAGAGAGATCTGATGTTGCTGTGCTTTGTGCTTGTTCGTCTGGGGTCTTGATTCTCGGTTGCTGGTTTTGATGCCTGTTTTGGTCGGAGTTTGTGTGGTGGTGATGCGTCTGGGTGGTGTTTTTGTTGGGGACCAAGTGATGTGGGTTCGCAAGTCCAAAGTGCGTGCGTGCGTGCCTTTTTGCGAAGGCGGGAGGAAAAGGCGGGATGGAGTGGGGGAGAGCAGCAGAAATGCGGCCCGCAGCGAGGCGCCGAACAGCTGATTTGATGCTGTACAGTAGTCAGTAGTATATTTAGGTAGTTTAGCGGCAATTGGCCCGAGGGTGAAACGCGCCAGAGGGATCGAGGCTGTGAGATTGCTGCAAGGGATTGTTGGAGGGCATCACGGGGGCAACGATGCGGTGAGGGAGAGCGTTTCTTGTTGGTTGGAAGCTGAGCTGGTGGTTTAGCTGGCAGCTGTGTTGAAGATGCCGAGGGACACGACGGGTTGATTTATTTCATGTGGCTTGCGGCAAATGGCGGCAGATGGGGATGAGTTTGATGAGAACTAATGATCAATTCATTGGATAGTATTTTATCTTATCTACTCCATTTCTTATGGTCACTGTGAGTATATTCCAGCTATCATTAATCTCACCCTCCAATGTCTCAACCAACATTCTCATCAAGTACCGGCTTCATCTCATCTGAATCCAGTAATAAATCCCATAGCGCCACCTTCAGCCTTCAGGGGCATCCAGGGCGCTGGAGCATTATCGATAAGCACCTGACAGGTCCCGATCCTACCTGCTGCGGAGTCTCGCTGCACCCGCTGATTGGCCCGCTGGCGCCCGCCTCGGCTGATCTAGACTGATGTCATTTGTCAATTCTCACGAGACACGTACTCGATAATTTTCCCAATCTCACCAACGGCCACCAGTTTTTGCTTGTATTGTTTTTTATTTATTTATTTTGTTTCTACCTTTCCTGCACCTTGCACATTCACATCAAAAGACTCAAAATAGATCCGCATATTTACACCACCAGCAATGGCCAAGAACCGAAAAGAACCGAAAATCAAGCTTCGCCAGCCAGACCGTTCCGCGCCCACCGAAAAGACGCTGCTGGACATTGCGTCCGAACGATCCCTCTTCGAACAAGCCGCCCGGCGCGAGAGACAACTTGCCGGCAAAAACGAAAGTGACGACGAAGATGATGAAGAGGCCAAGCTATCGCCTGGAGCGGAGCGGTTCCTCGAGGCGCTGCTGTACACGACGACGCTGGCGATGCTGCACTTTACGTTTGACGTCTTGGTGATGAAGCAGTACGGCACGGAGATTAAGTGGAAAAGAATCACCATCAATGCTGGCCGGGCGTGGTTGGGTAAGACCTCCCATTTCTCATCTACTCCCACCCAACATGACCACCGAAAGATCAATTATTAACTCGTTATAAAAAACAACAGTCTTCTTCTTCCTCTTCTACACGCTCCACCCCTCCGAGCCAAACCAGATCCTCATCCCCGGCCTCCCGCGCCGCTTCCAAAAGACGCTCCGCCAGATGCTCTTCTTCGCCATGAGCTGCGTCGCCGGGTGCGCCCTCGTCTACATCACGAATTCAAAGGGCTACCTGTACAACATGAAGCGCGCGCCCCCGCTCGGGTGCCTGTGGCTGTGGGCCGTCGTCGAGCTGGACTTGGTGTGGGCGGTGCCGAGCCTTTTGGTGACGGGGGCATATGTCTGGCTGAATGGGTACTCGATCAAATAAGAGAGCAATTCAATTCGATTGTTTTTGTTACTCTCCGAACTCTGACGACTCCCATGTATCTTCACTCCTTGGCTTTTCTCTCTCGTGTCGTCTTAGTCGTCCCTCGAGATCGTCGATACGCGCCGAAATCATACTCATCTGGAGGAATTGCACTCGGGCAGTCAATGCTTCGCGCTGCCTCACCAGCTCCATTGCCTTTGTCCGCACCGCCATCCAGGATACCGCCACCGAAGGCTTCCCGCCCGACCACCCCCGCGGCAGAAGCGTCCACTCCGAAGTTCCCCTCAGCGCAGACTTTACTTCAATGTCCGTGACGAGCTCCAGCAGGCGCTGTTCCAGGTTGAGCAGGTCGTCCATGACGAAAGTGTACATTTGGTGTTGCCGCTTCTTCTCGTCGTGTTGTGGCGTGTCTTGGAGTGTGCGCAAGAGGTCTGCGAGCCAGGTTGATTCGGTCTTGTACCATGATAGGGAGGTTTTCACGCGGAAATACTCGTCGGAGCTGTTGCGCAGGAAGGCGATGCGGGCGTATGCCGCGGCGGCGATGGCGACGACAAAGGTGAGGATGCCGATGACGTTGGCCGATGTGGACAGGGGGGAGTCGGTGTTGGTGGTTGAGTCCATTCTCCCATTGGATGAGTGTTACCTAGACTAGCATTGGACGGGTTGTTGTGTATTGTGTTACTTAGACTAAGCAATGTTTTTATATTGAGAGGGTGGGATTTGGGGGAGTTTTGTATTACATCTGGGCGATTTCAATTGGAGAATTGGGAGGCTGCACTAGTCAGGGTCAGGGGTAAAGAACCACTTTTGCCCGAAGTTGAAAGTGTGTATGACAATCCCGTCATGGTGGAACTGAAGAAGTTCTCTTTCATCTTAGTAGATCAAACAGAATAATATGATGAAAATAAATAGATAGATATCCTAAATTCGTGGCCCGATATATTTCATATCATACATCTCATCCTATATCACTCAACCTACATACCTAACCAACGACATCAAAAGCAAAAAGGAAAATCGAAGAACAATAAAATAAACAAAAACCCATTTTTTGGTTCGTCATACATCTTCATGCAAATTATGCTATGCAACCGTGTAAACGAATAAACCAAAAACAAAAAAAAAAAAAAAAAAAAAAAAAAAAAAAAAATTTCGCGCTGCCTGTGTATTCCGCTGCTGCCCCCTTTTGTTTTTCTTCCACTCTCCTCCTCTTCTTTTCGCGAAAGCACCGTCTTATGCAAACGAGTTCCCAAGTCTTGATATAACACCATGATTAATAAAAAGGAAAAAAAAAGAAAAACCAAGAAATATATAACTCAGTAACCTTATATAAGCACTCTCAACCAACACGCCAAGCGATGAGGGAAAAAGCAGAGTGAAAAAGGTTCATCACATTTGTCTGCTGGGGTGCTCTGCGAACCGAATTCCCCTCCGTGTAGGCGGTACTCGCGGCGTGCCCTCGTCATCAGAGTCACTATCCTCAGCGGCAGCCGCGCCGCCCACGCCAAGGGCTGCTTCTCGCCGCCTTCGCTCAGCTGGTGTCTCGCCCGTCGAGTTGTTGTTGTTATTGTTGTCGGGCCTGTGTCGTCTAGCTGGTGTACTTCCGCTTCCTTCCGTCTCGCTCTGTTGCCCCCCCAAAGCAGCGAGGCGACGCTTGCGCTCAACGGCGGTTTCGCCTTCTAGCTCTGAAGGTTGGAGAGGGGCGTCGACTGGGCGGCCGCGGGGAGCCTCAACTTGCCGCCTCGGGGACACGGACTCGGAGTTTCGGTAGCTGCCTCGGGGAGCGGGGGAGACGGATGTGGAGGCCGATGTGGAGCTGGGGGCGGAGCTGGATTCCGGCTCGACGATTTCGGGAATGTCCTGTGGGCGCCTTAATGGCAGGTCTTGTCGGGCCAGGTCTTTGAGCGCCGTGGAGGCGGATGACTGGTCAACGACCTCCTTACGCGTGCCCACGTCGAGCTTTTGCACTTCGCGGATAAAGTCCTCCTTGGTCATGCGTCGTCCCACGCCTCCAATTGTGAAACGAATCTGCTTATCGTCATCCTCATGGGCCACGCTCTTCCTGCGGCCTTCACCGCCGCCTCCGCCGAGAACGCCAAAGCCAGTCGTCCAGCCGGGCTTGAACACGGGCTTGGCCGACGATGAAGCAGCTGCACCGGCGGCAGAGGATTCGCCTGCCTTGCCTTCTTCAGCAGCAGACGCGGCTGACTTTTCCTGCTGGCGTGCGAGGGCGCCAAGTCCAAGGTACTTGAGGCTGTTGTTAATGAGGGTGCTTTCCTGGCCGGTGGGCTTCTGTGGGGGGAGTTCATAGGTCTTGACGACTTCTCCGTCCTCGTCTTCGACGATAATCTATAAGCAATCAGGTTAGAAGGCAATTCAAAGCCACAATGGGAGTTAATGAGGGACGTACCGCGTTACCGAACTGATAGGCTCGGGCCGGTTCATGTCGTCGTCTTGACTTGTCCTTTTCTTTTCGCTTCTCCACTTCGGAGCTGTACACGTCTGTCATTTTCCGTTTGATGTTGTCGACGGTCCAATGGAAACGCTCCGCCTCGGACTTGGATCTCTGCCGACCGGCCGTGGGCCGTTTGCCGTCTTCTCCTCCTTCGGGCTTGCGCTGGGCTGGCTGAGCATCGACCACCTCGCCTTCGTCATTCTCAAAGACTAGGTGGTGGCCTTCCTCGTAGACATTGACGTGTGGTGCCCGGGGGCTTACCTGGGGGCTCTGGCTCTCGTCAGCTCTGCGGCGGCGGCCACGATCCTCCTCTGCGTCCTCTAGCTTCTCCAGCTCAACATCTGTAGGGTTGTCGCCGGCCAGTGTGGAGTCTCTGACATCTGTCTCTGGCGGTGTCTCCTTTTCGGGTGAGGGCGATACCGGCGTTGAGCGGTTAGGAAAGATGGCCGATTGACTGATGGGGCCTCCAGGCCCAATGCCGTCGTCCCACTTTCTGTGCTTTCTCTTCTTGGCCACCAATGATGACGGACGGCTGCCCGAGCGGCCATTGTCCTCTTCTCTCTGGCGGCGGAGAAACTGCGCGGGTGGGGGCAGTGTGCCGGGGGGGAACTCGGGTGTCTTGTAGTCGTCAAAGGATGTCTCCGACATCGTTCGGGCCTGGGATCTAGATTGGGACGAGATCCTGGGCAGCCTGTTCATCCATGACGGTCCATCCTCGGGGGCGGCGGTGTAGGACATGGTCAGTGTCAGGGTATTGATGCGCTTGCCGAGCGTAAAGACGGCAATCGAGGAGCCATGGACGAGAATGGATGAGATGACGAGGAACGTGACTATGGGCCACACGAGATAAATCAGGTTGTAGTGATCTGTGCCCTCGGGTGGCAAGTCCGATAGCGGCACAGGCTCATCATGCTCCAGCTCAGCCCTCGCGAGAATAGCGACGAAGATTGCGCCGACGCCTATTGGGCCGAAATGGCCTGCAAAGAGAGCCTCGCGCCAGTTTTTGATGTCTGGTATGAGTGGCTTGAGCATCATCATGATGGGAATGCGGCGGAAGAGGATGACAAAGATGGCAATAACAACGAGGCGCCAGACCTCCATGCCCAAAAAGCCGTTGTTGTACTGCTCCCACGGGATGATGGTGCCAAAATAGACAAAGTATGCCAAGTTGAGAAGCAAGTCAATGACGTTGGAAACATGCGACTCCTCCGTCTTTTCGCCGAACCAGCCGTCGTTAGAGAAGCCGACTCCGGCAGCAAAGCCCACGAGGAGATCGTCAACGCCGAGGATACTACCCGAACCGGCGCAGAAGAGCGAGAGGGCAAAGTAAAAGACAAGGAAACTCTCGCGATCAATCATGTCGTGTTCCTCGGCGTAGCGGATGCCGCGGCGCGCAATGTAGCCGATCATGAAGCCGTAGAAGGCACCAAAGATGCACTCGTAGAGGATGACATAGACGACAAAGTGGAAGCTGACCTCGCCCGCGTTGCGGTTGAACTGGATCAGGTAGAGCGAGAGGTAGATGAAGGGGAAGGCCATGCCGTCGTTGCAACCAGATTCGGCTGACAGCAAGTCTCGAAGATGCTTGGGCACGCGCTTGGCGAATTTACCCTTGCCAACCACAGACGAGGCCAGGACGGGATCGGTGGCGGTGACACAGGCGGCGATGACAAGCGATTCAAGCCAGTTGAGCGGTGGAATCATCCACCAGACGAAGAGGCTGACTAGAAGCCAGCCAACGGCCATGACGGGCACCAGCAGGAAGACGACGGAGCGCCAGTGCTTCTCCATGTAAAACTTGGGCAATTCGACACCGACGGCAAAACACTGGACGACGAGAACGATGCGCGAGAACTCGACGGTGACGATATCAACGCTGCCCCAGGACCGCGGATCGATGAGGTTGGCGGCATGAGGTCCGAAGATGACGCCGCAGAGGGTGGCGACTGTGGCCTCGCCAATATACATGCGCTCCTTGATAATGGAGGAACATAGCATGAAGAGCGAGGTGAAGCCGCCGAGGATGATGTAGACCAAGTGCGGCTTGGTGATGTCGAGGTTGTCCCACGCCATGGTGGCGGTCGGTTGAGGGTATCGCGACGAGGTAAACGGGATCAGCAGCAGCAGTTTTCGAAACTGTCTTGTTCGTCTCTCAACCTATGAGGTACCGGGTTTCCTCTGTTTCTTTCGCAACCTCCTCTTATTGATGATGAGTCTTTCCTTTCTCTTCTCCTCCTTCTTCCAGCTCCTTCTCTCAACCCTCGCGTCGGGGTTTGCCGACAAAATATTTTTTTTCTTCTTTCCAAAAGTTGCAATCGCCCGTTGCGTCTCGGCTTTTGCTTTTTGCTTAGCTCCGTTTCAAAGCCCAACCTCGCGTGCCCAAACTAACACAGTTGGCAGTCCAGGGTCTCTGCTTGGCTCAAGGCGCCGGTTGAGGTTCTGACGGAAGCTGGCGCCGGGAGAAGCAGCGGCCTACGGGCTGGCACTGCAATCTTGAAGTTACGCCCCAGTCAATGGTAGCCGAGCCAGGAGAGTCGCGATGGCGAGACATGCAGGAGAGGAGAGAAGAAGCACGGGATTGAAGACGAATGTCATGGAACAGAAGAGGATAAGGAAACAAGAAGAAGAAGTGGGTTCGCACGTGGATACGAGTATAGGATGGGATGGGTAGGCAGGACGAGGATGATAAGGATGGGATAGGATTGGACACTGGAGTGAGCAGATTGGATTTCTTTTGCCACGCTAGGCCCGAAACCCGAGCCAAGGGCTTGGAAGCAGCAGAAGCAGCGAGATGGCCAGCGTGTGGAGAAGGCAATTGCTGGGCGCGAGGCTGTGTCGTCACTCGATCGGAGGCGTCGGTTCCGTTGCAACAGGCCGTGGGCCCGGAAGAAGCTCGTTAAGGGCCGGGAGACGAAGATGGGGGGCGGCCGAGAAGGAACTTTGACGCTATTCTGGCGGCTAGGTGGATGGTGTGCGAGTATGGGGTTGAAGCTGTCGATGCCGGTAGCGTGGAGTTGATGCTGTAAACTGTAGGAATGAACTGATTGATGCCGTTTGATGAGATTCGTGGTGCTGATTCCAACTGCCAAAAAAGAAGATGAACCCCCGGGTTTGGAAGACGCAAAATTCTTGATTCAGACACCGAGAAGCAACAAGCCCTCGTCAAAAACTCGTCCAGAAGGCCAACGCGTCGTCGCCAAGGAGCTACCGCTGCAAGTCCCCAGTCCAGCGCTGATGCGCAGCGCCAGTGGGGTGGCCACAGGGCGTCCTGCCGTGGGGATTGCGGGCTGCCACAGCGCTCGCGGCCACTAACAGCGCTGAGGCCAACACCGTAGACTGCTTTGGGGCCGCTAGGGGGCAGCGTCGGGCGGGATCCACCGCCTGCCAATGCCGGCGTTTCGTTTTCGCAGCAAAACTCGTTACCTCGAGTTGTGAGTTGTTGGGTTTGGACGTTTTTTTTTTAGCAGAGTCTTGGCCGGGCTTGAACGAGTCGGACGAATTGATGATCCCATTTATTCGCTTCGCACCTTTTTTTTTCTATTTTCCTTCTGCCTGATTTGTTTTTGTTTACGGCGTAACACGGACTTGGAATGGAATTGACGGCTGAGACACTCCGGCTCCGGTTTGCCGGAACCGTGCCGTTTTCCTTTTTCCTGCCTCTCCTTTTCCCTCGCTAACATCAACATTGAACCTTGAATGTCTCACCCGCCTCGTGACGACTCAGATCCGCATCCTGCAAGTGTTTTCGACTCCAACAGTCTCGGCACGGCTGGGCTCATTCATTCTTGGCAGCGTAGCGAGTTTCAAGCCGCCCCGGTTCTTTTCTTCCTTTTTTTTTGTGCTATTTTTAATTGCATCCTCCCTTTTCAACCCGACGTCTCTGTCTTCTGCTGTACTCGTATATCAATGCATTCTGGGTTTGTTGGGGGCTAAGCCTTCAATTCAACGTTATGCGTGTTACTCCCGGATATTATCTTGCAACATGGGCCTGTCATCTCCCGCCAGCCATTTGCTGTGATTCGTCCCGGGATGCTCCGCGGACGTTGCTTCCTGGCGTATTTCAGCATCCGGCATTGGTGAAGTTCCCACTACGGAGATAGAATCATGGATTTTGCCCCCGCCCCTTTTTTTCTTTTTTTCCACCCTTCTTTATGCTTATCTCTCAGCCCCTAATAGCAAACGCTGGACGGATATCCTCATCTAGATTGCTGACAACATGCCGTTAGCCCCCAACATCAACCATGAACCCGTCCCGACCCGGGATCAATATTCGTTCAGCTCGACTGTTCACCTGTATATTCGTATCTTTATTTTTATTTTTAATTGGGGGATTATTTTGTACTTTTTAGAGGCAATAATTGCCACCTGGGTGTTATTCTCTCGAGTCAGCCATTGTAGGCAGCTGGAAAGGCTGATCCGTCTTGGCCCTGCTCGTTTCCCCGCGCTGCAATCCATCATGTGAGAAGCAATAGATGGAGACGAGCCATGCATCAAGATTCTTGTCTGGAGATCTCCTGTGCAGATCACGGATTATCCTAAAGCCAACTTATCAGCCGGGGTTCCTTGGACCATCAACCGGTCGGATCCGTATGTGGTCATGTTACAGGTCATTTTGATATAAGTATCGTGGCTTGCTGCTCCCCACAATTGACTGCATTTCCAACAGACATAACCTGTAATTGAGGCCATGGCATGTGCAGCGACGTCAAACCCGGCAAGATCTGCCATTGGTTGTCGCGTGCATATGGCCAACTTCTTCCAACCACCGCTCATGTTGCTCTCAGGTAGACCGGACGGTCTCGACTAATCATGCAAGCACGCAATTTGCCCCGGTGCACAGCCAGAGTCGTCGGAATGGACCTCTGCATTCTATCTTTCCCAACTGCCGTATTTCCTTAATTGAGTGGTCATGTCTCCCTTGATGGTGAATATCGGATAATCGGCTAGGCCAAACGACATAGAAGATACATGTAGGCAGACTGTGTGAGACATCTCGGAATACGCCCATGTGGTTCCATTTATTGGTTACACACAATCCGTCTTATTCCGTTGCGAGCACATGTAGTTTGTGTGGTACTCTCTACTATTGCAGTCAAACTAAAACAGCATTGTTTCACCAGCCGCAATCTTGAGATCTTTTACCTGTATGCGTGCACATACATGTGGCCATCAGTGTTCTAAGATAGGACCACTACCTTTAAGCCAGTGAGCGACACGACGTTTGTACGACGTATGCGCCTCATAACTGGGTATAAGCTCACTTTTTTATGCTTATTATGTGTGTAATGTTCGAGTTGCACCAGGGTATATGCATCATGTATATGCATCGTGTAACCTATTTAGTTGCCAATAATGGAGATCAGTGATGCCCCTCAAATGGCTGAAACACCTTACCGATAGGAGCCCCATTCGTTAAAAGGGGTTTTATCATATCTTTTCCGCAAGAAAAAACCTTGTAACTATTCTTATTATACATCTTTGATTGCAGTTGGTTTCACTCTGTGGGAGTGTGGATTTGTCTCACACACGTGCTGCACATGGTCAACTTGCGAGGTGGTATGATGTCCTTAATATGCTTTATAATTGGGCCATAATAAGTATGCGGATAGAACAGTAACATATTGGTGAATAAGAATGACTTTGAGAGAGTTCATTTCCATGGCTGGTAGAATATGTTTGCAGGAGAATATAGACATATATGTATCTGCATATAACATGTACTTAGGAGTGGTGGGCTGCCGAGAGGGCCATTGATGTGGACCGTTTTGAACGCACTTACATCTTGCCTCTATGTCAATAATACGAATAAATTGTATAATGCAGACTTTGCAGACTATTAGATAATTATTTGAGGTTAGGGGACAGAAAAATTCTCACAGAAGTGCAACTGACAACTCTCAATGTGAGGCGCTACAGCTTGTATTTGTAGTACTGCCATGTGAGAATAGTCATTAATGAGCCAAGCATAATTGGTAGTGCCTCCTCGGCATTTCCTTGCATTTTCCATTGATGTAATCTTCTCCACAAAATGTTCGAGAGTGTCTACACAATTTCACGTCAAACAGGAGAAAACAGTTCCAGGTTAGGGAGATGCCTCCTTGTCGCAATAGTTTCAAGGACAACTGGCGATGCAAAGGAACATCAGAGCGCTTTATGGCTTCAAAAGTACGTAGTGTTTACCTGTAAAATTTCCTTATTTTCCTTTGCAGTTTGTTATAAGTTCTATAGCTCTTGCACTCATGTCCCTTTGGATGCTCTGTTCGTAACGTGGCGGTTTCATCAAGTCATGCAGTGTCAGGATGGTCAAAGATCGATAAACTTCCATCGAACAGCAGTAATATATTTTGTAAACCTACAATTGATGTGAAAAGCACGAATTCTAACGGACATCTACTGGATGCACAGTATAGAGAATTTTGATGGCATTTAATCATATATTGCATTACCATAAGTCATTTCATCCTAACTGAGTACATATACTTCGTGTGTAAGTTCGTAACGGCGCTTCTAAGGCACCAACCTGAGACGCGCCTCCATGCATGTGGTACTGGTACCCCGCCATTTGCGTCCGCATACATGTACAGGTACATGTATACGAAGACACATGACACGGACCCGCTGGTATCTTGATCTCCCTCGACGACTTCACGTCAATTCTCATCAAATCTCATCACCTTTCGTCACCTCACCTTATCTTAACCTATATCTTGGGTATCAATCCTTCAATCTTGACTCTCCTCCTGTCTGTCCAGCTTGCCTGCCAATTTACCCCCGTCCAGAATGCTGCCAAACATGGCCGCCTCAAACAAGTAATTAACCTGCCAGGCGTGAAAGTTTGCATGTGCAATGATCCAGACCATCTCCAGCACTTGGCCGCGTGAAAAGAGGTCGGCCATGGCCAGTCGCGAACCTTCGGCCAAGTCATACTCGCGCTCCTCATCGACCTGGCCGCCCCGGATATACTCCAGCGGGCCGGTGACCAGCTGCCACCAGAGCTCCTTGAGCAGCGGCTTATCTTGGTGACGGTGGAAGAAGTCGTTGACGTGATCGCAAGTGTCCTCGCCGTTGCACGCGTGTTTGGCATCCAGGGGTCTGCTGAAGCCCGTTGTGCGGTACTGCTTGTCAAACGCCTCGTCGAAATCCGCCTCGAACTGAGGCTTGGCGGGTGTCTTGCGGGCCTTGGACCAGCCCAGGAGAGCGCGACGGAAGAACATGTGGCGATCGTTCTGGATATGCCATGTGTACAGGGCGGCGCACATCCTGGCGACAGGCTCATGCCATCGCTGGGTTAGCATCCTGGCGCCAATCGCGGCGTACGCGTCGTATATCTTGTGCAGCACTTCTTCGCTAACGATGCCCGTTTCTGTAATGTCCGTCACATTGAGGAACGAGTTCATGACCTCGGAGTTCACCAAATCGCATCCCACGTCGACCACGTCAGTGCCCGGCGAACTGAAGACCAGGTCCGCCATGACGGCAGCAGGGTCAAAGCCACGTGCGATCGCCTCAGCTGCCATGCCCAGCAAGCTGCTTTCTGACAAGGAGACGATCTGTGCTGTGCGTCGGTCCAATCGCGCTGACCGATATGACAAGTTCTTCTTGTGCTGGTTCTCTAGCGCGATCTTACCCTGGATATACTGCTTACCCAGGGAGACGGCGTCTCGTCGTTCGCGTCCTCCCGGGGTGCGCAGGGCATGCGGATCCTCTAGGCCTTTCTGCAGCAGCGGCTCAAGCGTCGGGTAGACGTAATTGTACCCGTGCTCATAATAGAAAACCATGTCGGTCACATAATTGGAAAACATGGTTGTCGCATCGGCAGCGCCCATGAGCAAGCTGGCGATGCCGCACCCGAAGAGTGCATTGTTCGTTTTCAAAGCATCGGGCCAGTCAGTTGCTCCGATTTTGCTGAGCGTTTGGGCCGAGGCTTGTTTGAGTCCGGTGCCCTTGGGTGGCAGGATGTTGCCCGCTGCGTGCTGGGTATCTTTCCAGCTCTGCAGATCAGTGGATAATTTAAGCTGGACTACTCTAGGCCCTGATTCTAGAGAAGACAAAGACTGGTTCTCGCTCACGGACGAGGTATCTGCCACATCTCCAACGTCCCCAAACACCTCGACGACAAAGTCTCTGGCTTGGTTCGACAACATTCCCAACTCCGCAACGGTGCCATGGCCGACCAAGTTTCTTGCTTCTGAATAACCCGGATGGATAGGAAAAGAGTGTTTTCTGAGCTTCCGCCCTAAGAGCCTCCTAACCCGGTTACGGAAGCCCTTGACCCAGAAATATGGGGGAATTTTATCCGAGGCGTCTTGGAAAGCCTGGCTCTTTGGAGACTTGACCTTGATCTTAACTCCTTTGAGGTCAAACTCGCTCCAGTAGCTCTGGTGAGACAAGGATTGGCACCAAGAGAAGGCCATGATGATCGACACTGAGGAAAACAACTTGTTTGGATTGATGGTACAACCTCAGCTCGAGCATTGGATCCTTCCCTCCATTTATACAGCCATCTGGCGGGCGTCGGCTCTGCGGTATGAACGGCTGCAGCCCTCCTCAAAAAGGCGCAGCTGCAGTTCGATGGAGCCTCTTAAAAGTTTGGGGTGAACCAACAGCATAACAGGTCACATTCTATCAGGTTTGCTGGGATGTATATACGCAAGAGGAGGGGAAGAAGCCAATATTGACCTGGGCAACTGAAAACCGCGGGCGACGGTAAGCTGATGTTTACAAACTTATACTACTCTTTTAGGCAGAAGTGAATCGAAACAGATCTGAATGAAACACGAACGAGGAGAAAGCCCAGGATGATCCAAAAAGGCGAGGGTAGAACTGACGACTTGACCGGGCCGCCCCTACCGCGGTCAACTATAACACGGGTTGCTACCTAGTACGATACTCCGTAGTTGCGCTGAGAAATCTTCACCTTGGATTAAAAAAGAAGGATTTCTCCTCCCGCAAGAACACGAGGGGGCCCCTGTAGTCCGATTGATGGTTCTTCTCCACAATGATATCAGGTTTGTTGGCTTATCCATGTTTTCTTCAACGGACACTTGCTGACTTTGGAATAGTGGCATGTATGTGCTGTCTGCAATCCTTGAAGCGGTGAGAAAACAGCGTAGTATCATGGGTTTGGAGTTTGTCGATGTTGCGCCTGACCTTGAAAAGCCGCCTTGGCTGGCCATGAGTCTTACGAGCATAGGATCTTGCGGCCTGGCTGTTTATGCGTTGTGGTTCGTTCTTGGTAAGTCGATTGAATCACGAATGTAACATCGATGATGGAGCATCCGGCTGCGTGACAGGCCTTCCATGCTGGATGATCGCCTCGCCTGCACGATACATCGTCTGCCTCTGCATTGCATCAGATTTCTTCTGTATTTAGCAATTGCCGCTTGCGATAAGGCAGGACCACGAGGCCGGTAATCTGGGCCACCACTTGCCGAGCCCAGCTCGACAGGCTGCGAGAAACATCCGGTATCCACGGGCTGCACAAGTGTTTATGACTGGGAACAAAAAACGCATGACGAGGACGCTTGATAACACTTAGGTAATGGGTCGCAAGAGATACCCTGCTCAAAGGCCTGTCCCGTATGATTGACTAGCACCACTTGGTCCTTGCAACGATACGATATCGGGCTAGCAAAATAGACTACTTCCCTGCCATGTGAAAGGGCCTTGAGTCTTGTGCGAATACTCACCCGTACAAGTTAGCAAGGCTTTTGACGAGTCAAATTTATATGTCTTATTGGACGTTAAGAATAATACTACCTGATGTTGGCAGTCTGCCCCGACGCGAGCCAGATCCGGATATGCCGAACAACAACTGCCAGGCCAACAGCTGCAGCTTGACCAATTGGTGTTGTCACGGCCCATCTGGCATTGCCGCATTCTGTCGCGCCTCGCGGCAATTGGTTAATCAGTTGGCTGGGGACAGGATGCTCAAAGCGGATTGGCGTGCTGGTACTCCGCACAAAGCCCATACCCATACCGAGACCAGCACACGAGCGAAGCTGCCGAATACGGTACTGCTGTTGGTTGGGTGTTGGTGGTTGGAAATGGGACAAGCGTCGTGTGCGTGTATCGTTGGTACAAGTACAGTAGGACCCCGAGCTCCAGACGAGAAGCTCCAGCTTTGAGTCTCATATCCCAGGCTCTAAACTGAGTCCTCGGGCTCAATCGTGGCAGAGAGAAGCTGAGAGAAGGACGCAGGGCCTTCAGCTAGCGGTGGATCGTACCCTTTTGCCTGGCCTGCTGCTAATTACCATTGCGGCATCGGGTCTCTTAAACCCTTACGACCTGACAATGCGACTGCACGCCTGACCCCCGGCATGGGGAAGGGCTGCAAGGGCTCACGTTCAAGCCCAATGTTACGGCGGAAATGACACGACCCCTTCCATGGCTGATATAAGTGCCGCTGCAATCGAGATTGCCTGAAAATGGCTTGCCGACCTTCTCTTCCCGCGCCAAAGTAACCTTTCTAAATATCTGAAGACTTGATTGCATGTCAATCATGGCCCCGCCCGAAGCCGCAACGTCTATTCGGTACCGCCCGCTCGACCGGTCCGGGAGCGAGATTCGCCTGCTTGAGCTGCAGCCGGCGACGACCAACGACATTAACGAACGCGTCGTATGCCGCCTGGTCCACGAGCGGCTAAGCGACCCGTCCGACTTCATCGGCCTCTCGGCCCTGTATGGCGACATCACCGTCACGGAGACGATCTTCGTCAATGGAGCCGCCATATCCATTCCTGTCCACCTCGCCCAGGCACTGCGTTACATGCGAGTCGTCTTCCTGGCCGCGGCCCTACCAACGCCAGATGCCTCCATGACCGACCTCCAGGGCCCGGCGGCGATGCCAGCGCCTCTGCTCACGCCGCCCAAGAAAGCCCCTGGATGGCTGCGGTCTCTACTCAAGAACGTGCGACATATGATCGCCGAGCAAGGCGCGCCGCGGGGAGGCACACCGCCTCTGCGGATATGGCTCGACCTCCTATGCATCAACGGTCGCGACACGCGTGAGGAGTCGGAGCGGAGGGCTCATATGGCGCGAGCATACCGCCACGCCAAGATGGTGGTGGGCTGGCTGGGGCTCAAGGACTCGACTTCTGACCTCGCAATTGAGATTATCAAGGCTTGGGACAAGTGCATGCCCGTCACCTTTGGCGAGCCAGGTGACCGCGAGGCCCATCCTAACGACTATGCCCCTGTGCTGCAGTGGATGGGCCCTGTTGCACATCTGAGCAACATACCCGAAGGAATCACGGACCCCCGCGAGGTGCCCAGCTACAAGGCCATCTCTGAATTCCTTAACCGACCTTACTTTCGCAACGCGTGGATCCTTGACGACATGGGCAAGGCGCGCTTCCCAGCCTTTTTGTTGGGCGATGATATTGTGTCCTGGATGCAGATATTGCGACTGAACCGCGTCAACGAGGAGATCAAGGACCACGGCGCCGACATGTTCCCCGACGAACTGCGGCCGCTGCTTGAATACTTGCCATTGGGCAGCGTCTACGCGTTTTTGAAGGAATTCGACAACAGGCAGAGGCAGGATGGAGTTACGCCTGCCATGCTTACGACTACGAGCTCGGTTAGGAGCTCATCCTCTATGACGGGCATGCGGACGAGGTCAAGGCAGTGAAGGCCCGAATTCAAATTTTTATCGCATTTTCTTTGTCCCTCTTCTTCTTCTTCTAATTTTTGAATTTCGAAAAACTCCGACAAGGTATCAAGCCTACGATCTGTGCGATTCTAGAATGGTGGGAGATGGTGGAACTAATTTTTTTTTCTTTTCTTTTCTTTCTCTTTTCCTTTTTATTTTTTTTCATTTTTCATTATTCGGATGGAAAGGAAGGACATCCTCTCGGGTTATTGCGCGTTGTTACGATTGGCTCCTAGGAAACGGGAAACGGGATCGTCAACAGGTTTTGGAACTGCGAAACTGGGATTTATTGTTTTATCCCGCCTTTGATCATTGAAGGAGCGGGATAGTGCTTGGCGAATTTCTTGCTTTTTTTGTTTTGTAGAGAGATACCAATGAGAAAACTGCAGATAGATTTCGTTAAGAGGATGACTTGGGCATGAAACGGGCTTTCGGAGAGAGTGAGCAATACGCGTATTATGTTTTTTACATGGTCTTTTTTGCGAGTTTCGTAATTTCGGTTGATGTGTACTTTTTTTTTTCTTGCGGTGACATTCTAGGTCGTATGCTGTTTTGCTATATTATTTTGATGCTGTGATAATGTTTTGATGTGGCAAAAATGTTTTGATGTCGTGATAATGACTTGATGTTGCAATAAGGCTTCGATGTCGTAATAATGGTTCGATAAAGACGTGTATGAAACGAATGTATATAGCACGGAGTATGTACCTTGTTTTGGAAATCGGGTGGGCGGCGAAAATAAAGTGCCGGACGCAGCGGGACGCTCATCCATGCCGAGCGCGGCAGGATTTAATCTACGATGGGATTATCTTACCAGCATGGCCTTAGATCTGGGATTTCTATTTTTCTTCCCGGAATACCGGTAAGGAGAAAATAAAAATAAGTAGATAAATCTGGGGAAATGGTGAGATGAAGTGAGATTTGTGTGGTGTGATTTAATGTATGAGATGATGTCGGTGTCTGCTAACGTATGGAAGGGGCGGTAAGAATGGAAGAAACCTGGAAAGGAGATCGTGCGCGTGGGTGGGTTTTTGGACATGGGTTGAGGCGGGATGTGGGATGAGGGTGTGATGTGCGTTTGGGGGGTTTTGTGATGGATCTTGCGTTTTGCTTTTTTGAGAATTTCCTTGATTTGAGGATTGAGTCCTAGAGTAGAAGGTCATATAAGGTACTCATGTGATGTAAGTTAATTTTCATGCGTAGGATACTGGTTGTGTTATTTAGCGCAGTCTGATGCATGGATATGTTAGTATAACAGCGTTTCTGAGGTTTGCTTTTAGTGGATAGAGGCAAGCATGATACAGATGGGATCATTAGGATATCTATTACGCGTCAATTCTCTTGGATTCGAAGTTTCTTTCTTTCTTTATATGTTTTTTTTGTAAGCCTTAAGTGCACCAGTGATAGACTGTATGCTATTGTTGCAGCTCAGCAACTATCGCCCTTGATCGTTTGTCAGATTTAGATCGTTCTCTACCAATCACATCATGTTCTCTTCTAACCCGTTAATTGATTCGTTCCTTGTCTGGATATACATCTTATACCACTAGAATTAAAGCTCCATATCCTCCTCCTCTACAACCTCATCGTCAAACTGAATCTGTACATTTTCTTGATCCTTCACAGACACCTCTCCATTCACTGATTGAGCAGCCTTTGATTCAGTGTCCGCTTCTTCGTCGTCCTCGTCGAAGTCATAGCCGCAATCTATAAACTCATCCCCAGGAGCTATACGTGATTTCGACCTGTAGCACTTGAAGCATAATTCGATACCCAGCGTACCTGGGCCTCTGAAATAAACGCCCGCAATCTCAGCGTAGCAGCAGTCGCAAAACGACCATTCGGTTTTTTTGCCTCTCTTCTTTGGTCCGCGTCTTTTGTTCTTTTGAAGGGTTTTATCTGCAACTAAGTCGGCGATACTTTTGAGCAGAAAGAGTCAATAGCAATCTTCTCTAAAGCCACTGGATGAAAAAAGAGAATCGGAACTCACCTGTCAGCGTGATGGTAGTAGGCAACTTCAGAGACAGTCCAGTCCTTGTATAATCCATGTCCACGAATGGTGGGATTCGCTCCCTTGCTAAGTAGAAACGATACCATGGCATCGTATTGCGAAGGCTCTAATTTCACTCTCCAAAAGAAGAGACGAGGCGCACGTGCTGCCCAGAGCAGCGGTGTCCATCCATCGTCGTCGAAAACATCGATATCTATACCCACTCTCTGAGAACGTGTTAAGACTTCTTCGACGAGGTCAAGTTGACCTCTGAGCACGGCGTAGTGGAGGGGAACTCTGCCGACTATATCTCTGGCTGCGAAATCTGAATCTGGAAGATCAAGGGACTTTAAAACCTCGAGCGTGTTGTAACAGGCGAAATGAGCTGGTTTTCTGCCAAAAGGATCCTTGACGTCTACTGAGGCCTTGTGATTGAGTAGTTGTTGGATTACCTTGGGCGAGCAAGATATGCTGGCGGATATAATAGGATATCCTGCACGGCCTGCAGATATTGTTGGATCAGCGCCTTCGTCAAGAAGTAGTCCGACAATACTCTCTGATAGCATATTGCTATCGTCTCCCCGTCGTCTAGTAGCTGCTATCAATGGAGTGCCATATGCTGAGGCGCAAGCATAGTTAATATCTGCACCATTTTTGATCAATACTTTGACCATATCTACTGTGCCTCTTGCACAAGCAAAATGCAACGGCGCACCCTCTTTGTTGAAAGAAGGGCTATTAAGGGTGTCGACAACGATCGGCTTTGTCATGAAGTAGTCGAAGACTTCCATATTGCAGGCCCTTATTGCGCTTATGAAAGGTGTCTCAAGATCGTCGTTCATGGTATCTAGTTTACCGCCGGCATTGATCACACGTCGGATAGATGCCAGAGGCGTATTTCTTATATTGTGAAGTGCTGTGTCTCCGTCCTTGTCTTTGTGGCTTAGATCTGGTCCGAATTCGAGGAGTGTCCGGATCATATTGTCATCATTACGTGACATAGCCCAAAGCACGAGTGAAGCATTCTGCTCATCCACAAGATCGACATTGACTCCGGCCTCGAGCACCAGTGACATAACGTCAGTGTCGCCGTCACGGACTGCACGCTGTATTGCTCTGTACATTGACGGCATTGACCAGTCAGGTTTGATCTTTGACTCGCTGAGCATCAATTTGACAGCGTTGACTTGGTTACTGTTTATGGCGAGTCCTAAAGGCGTTGCCTCGTTCTTGTCCATTCTGTTAATATCAGCGCCGTGCTCAAGAAGAACACGGACAGTCTCAGCAGAATCAAAAACAGCGTGCAATGCTGTCCCTCCAGAATCATCGGTGGCATGAACATCAGCTTTAGCTTCAGCAAGCAGTCGCGCGACTTCCGGATATCCCTGCTGTGCTGCGAGCCAGAGAGGAGTGATGCCATTTGACCTGGCGATGTTAGGATCTGCGTTATGAGAGAGAAGGTACCGAACTATCTCGATATCGTTCCCAAATGTAGCCATATAAACTGTTATCAATTAGTACAATTAATTCATGTCGTAAGACGTCAAGAACAGACCTGGTGTGCACTGGCTATCTAGTGGCTGATTCACGTCGGCATCGTTTTCGACAAGTACCTTGACTGGCTCCATGCTCTTATTAATTATTGCAGAGATGAGTGGAGTGATTCCGCTGTCTTTGAGGGCTAGATTTGGATCTGCTCTATGCGCCAACAGAAGGCGACAAAGGTCGATCCTCTCATGTATGACTGCCAGCCAAAGAGCCGTTTGGCCGTCTTCTTCCCGTGGATTTGGATCTGACCCATGACGAAGAAGCGCCTCTGCGATCTTATAATGACCCTGTTGTACAGCAATCATGAGTGGTTGAGATGGCAGGTCTGGTGCTATATAATCGCGAAAGTCTCTATGACGAAGCAAAGATTCGGCTGTTGCAAAATTTCCCGCCAGACAAGCCGTTTCCAAAGGTGTGCGGTTGTACAAACCCTTGGCATCAATTGGTGCTCCGTGACTCAACAAAAGATTGATCATATCGCTGGATCCATGAGAAGCTGCAATTTCCAACGGCATCGCTAATTCCTTATTGTCGTTCGGAGTGACGCTTGCGCCGGCAGCTATTAATAGCTTGGCTGAGTCAAGCCGTGAGTACTGAGCCGTAACCAGGAGTGGTGTATCGTCGGTGTCTGAAATACTTTCCAGAAACGTGGTATCGTTCTCTGGTCCGAACGAGAGCAGCTTGGCGACAATATCTGTCATATCTAGTTCGCAAGCCAAGCGTAAGCAGGTCTTCAAACAAGATGATAGGTTGTTTGCTTTTGGTGGTATTGCCTCTTCGTTGGTCGTATCTTGGACATGATCATCCGGGTGCTTGACGTCAAGTCCATCATTAATCTCTGAGGGCTGCTCTGATAAATGTACATGATTGACAAATTCATGGCACAGCTCAGAACTCTCACTACGGAGAGCCGCTTCTAAAGCAGCTTGCACATATGCTTTGTTCAAGTCCAAGCCGTCCGGGTATCGGTCGATAAGAAGGCGAAAAACAGGTAATTCGGCCGCCTTCGCAGCCTCGACTAATCCTTGATTTAGTGTCTCGGAGTCGTATTCATTCTTTGCTAGAATAGATTTGACAATATCTTCGAATCCAAAATGTGCCGCAATGGTGAGCGGCTTGCGATCTTTGAATGGCTTTAAGAAAGGGGTAGGTAAAGCCATGTATGCATCTATCCAGCGCTCTAGCCACGATTGATGCGCAAAGATCTCCAAAACGCCCCTCATTGGACCGACTTGTTTGTAATGACTTGCCCAGAATTCCGTTGCGTACGGTAATTGGGTAGCCCAGGGTCGGGCCTGATCAGTGCCATCTCTTAGATAGTCTAAACAGGTTTGTACAATAGTCATGTGTCGATCTCGTTCTGTCTGTTGGTACCACCACTTCGTAATGGGCAATTGACCTTCACTGGGATCTGAAGACTTCAGCCAGTCACGGATGGAGGTATGGCTGAAATGCACTTCGTCGTGAACTGTGACCAAGAATCCCCCTAACTGGTGGATGATGTCGATGATGCGCCCGCGTATCGGAGACTTGTCTGTATATGTGTTGACCTTATCCCCAAGACAAAGATCTGAGATCCGGCAGAATTCAGATACCCTTAGCGGTCTGAAGGATGATAGCATCCAAGATAGAAGTTTTTGGGCCCACAGGTGATACTCCTCAGGGATATCCTCTAGAATACTCTCAAATATTAGCTCTGGTGAGGGCGTCTGACTCTTGGCTAAGATGCGAGCTAAGGATATTGAAAGATCTAGGGTTGATTTGAAGTGGTCTATTAGCAAATGGCGCAATGGCCTATCACGGGAGCAACTGGAAAGCAAGGCTTCTATCTTGTCTCGTAAGCCATTGACCGAATAGTAATGGCTCTGCTGGAGAAGCATAGACACATTGAATCCATCGTGGAGTGGCTTGGAGGTAGGTAAGTTATAGTCTATGCGAGTTATGCTTTCTGTGGGAAATTTAGAGAGCGTGTCAACGATAATCTTGTCTTTGGCTGTCCCCTTTGTCGTAATGATGACAATCCGCAGGCGGTGCTCGATGGTTGTGAAGTAGTTGTAGATTTCAGATAAGAAGAACAAAACAGAGTCGTCGCACTCGTCAAGGCATCCTAAAACAAAAGGATAGTTTGAATCATCTAATAGTGTATGAGTGGCTTGTCAACTTGTGGAGGGCAACGAAGGCGAGCGTACCACTTCTGACCACAACGTTCTGCCACATGTGCAAAAGACACCGATATTTCCAAGCATATTCACCACAAATTTCGGGGAAATAGCTCTCGATCATAGGATTCCTCGGGCGGCTGTAGACATATTGAGCGAAAAATGTCCACAGCATCGCTGGTATCGTGTTGAACCTGGCATCGTGACTTTTGAAATGGAAATAGTACAACTTTCCTTTGACACTCTTCGCTTCGCCGAGGTAGCTCTTCACGCTTTCGGCTATCTTGTCTGCATCTGAGGTACATTGAATATGTAAGATGTGATTGCCATTGGCCTTGGATAGAGTGTCTAGCTCTGGATTGTATTCGATTGGGTTATCATTTAAAGCAGGGTAGATTGGTGATGCCTGATGTAGCGATTTACGCAGGCTGGCATTGTGCACCTCCTTGAAGTCTTGTCCCCGATTTGACAGATTAGACAAAGGATATAAGAAAACAAGGTGTGAGCATACGTACCAAGCCAGTCTTCATCTGGTGAAATCACTTTAGCGTATGTGTCGAGTTCGTCAACATCAATTAGTTGGAGATGTGGTTTAACACTCGGCAGCTGATATTCAAGGGCAACGCCTAAAGTGGCGGTGAATTTACCGAACACCTATTATATTCCAATTAGTCTCCTCCTGGATATAATGACACTAGAAAACAAAAAAAAAAACTCAAACAAAACTCACTCTTTTCGCAGGATCATCATGGGTGGAAAATATGTTAATGACCCGTGCCTGGATCAGCATTTTTGTATGTATAAATGAATCGTTGACCTTGCTTATTGTCTCGGCGAGACTTTTAACAAGCGTCATCTTATGGCTTTGCAAATGACGATCATTGTTCAAAGAGAGAAGCCAGAATAGCTGTTCTTCAAGATCAACCATTGTAGGTGATCGATGTGGGTAGCCGAAGAATATCTATAGGCGTTAGAGCTGAAGAACTGTTATTTAATGAAATGGGCTTTGGAGTTATTTTACAATACCACGTATGCAATGCAAGATATCTGCATATGCAGACTCATCCATGCCGGCAATAATGATGGCCTGCCAAGACATACATGATTAGCTACTTCGATATACATCTCATCGTTTCAACTTGGATCACCTTACCGTCTTGACAATTACACCTCCAATATCTTGGCAGGCAAAATATATAGGTCGCCTTGCATTCTAAGGGACTGTAAGTTGATATATATGTCACCTCAAGGCAAAGTTGCTGAACAAACTCTTATCTCAGGCGTTCGGCTTTTCGCAACTACTTCCAGTAGCTTGTGAGCGATTCTGAAACTCCCTTGTAGAGTATAGCACCCCATAGACTCTTCGTCTGGGTCGTAGTTGTATGGGATAAACCTTCCTCCCTGGGGGGTTATGTCGGAGAAAAGTCTGTTGAGCCGGGTTGAGTCCGGAGAGTCAGAGGTGGACGTCTCATCCCAATTTTTTTCATCACCGTGGAATCCATGAACACCGATTATGCTTCAAAATTATAAGCCTACTGGAAGTTGGGAAACATAATTCGGTTATCAATGGATCCTTACTCGAATTTAGCTTCATCTGTGCCTTCGTTGGGCTCGTCTGCGACCGCATCCCTATGAAGTTGGACATTTTCTTCTGCAGCTACAGCCTGTGCTACTGAAACACCTGCTTCAGATGCGACCGGGGCCGCCATAGCTGCTTAAAAAAAGCGAAGTTGTCCACCTCAGACTTCAGCAGTCCCGAGAAGAAGCGTACATAACGTAAATCTCTCTATGTTGATTTAGAGTCAATCGACATATCTTCTATTTTGTTATTAGCATAGGTAGGGCATCTGGCGGATGATACACTCATAGTACTTACTGGGGTTGCTAAGGCATCAGCGTCAGCACATCGTCCTGTATGCGATGCGGGGTTTACGAGCTAATTGAGGGGTATTTGGACAGTGTGCGTATGGACTTGATATATTAGAGTACATGATATACTTCAATTTTTCTTCTGCAGCTGGGTGTGGGAAATACGGCCAAAACACGAGCAAGGAAGTGGGTTTGGGTGATTGACATGGCAACCCAGTAGTTACATAACAGCTGGATCTACTATCAAGCGCCAAGTTCAATTTTCTTTGAGATGTGGCTTGGAAATATGTGCTAGAATTGCGGTAGCGGAAGCTCCCGCGAGCCGGGTTCTCCTAGTTGACAACTTAATTTTGATGGTCCAGTATTGACAACATAAACTCCGATGCAAGATGCATGCACGCTCTTTATCTCTATTTAGACGCTTTTCCGGCTACTACATGACCTTTGTTATCGCGAAACAATTCACTCCGCTTTTTGACCAAAATGAGCCTCCATTCCCATTCTCACGTCACATAATGAATACAAGTCGAAGCTACCCAAATCCTGCACGTTATAACTTCTGCCCTTCTTAGGCTTGTCCCCCGTTAGAGTAGGATTAAAAAGCACCGGATCGTCAAGCGGTACTTTCGAAAACTTCCTCTCCAAGCCCGTAACGAAATCGGCGTCAGCCTCAAGAGTGACCTTGGCATTGAAAGGTTTGCTGTCTTCTCGACGGAGGAGAATTGCAACTCTTACTGAATCCGGAATGCCGGTTTGCCTTCGCTTGTTTTCTTGCAGATTCCACACAGCGACCGTTGATTCGCCCGAGTTCTTTCCTGTGCCCAAGTTGATGCTTCCAGTTACCGTGGTAGCATCACTGATACCTCTGTTGACTGTTTTCTCAAACTTGAGTGTTCCTCCTGCTTCGAGAAACGGCACTCCGGAGGCCCCCAGGTTCAGCTCCCCGCCGCGTGTGATGGACTCGCTGTCCACAGTCGGCACCACAGACCATCTCTCCTCGGGAGCTATAGCGTCAACAGTTGGAGCAGTATCGTTCTTATTGTTGGCAAAGAACTCGATGTTGATGCGGGCTCTTATGATTCGACGGGAGTGCTTCTGTGGGTCGAAGAGGAAACGGAACACCATTAACGTTGCCTCGTCGCCGTCGTTGTCGTAAGTTCCGTGAATGACCTCCATCAAGTCAACACGAACGTGAATATTGCCTCTCGTACGCTCAATTACGTTGCGCCTTTCCCAGTCGTTCACGGAGGCGTTTTCGGTACGAAATGTGTCATCTTCGCCAGTGATGATATCATGGAGCGGTGTCTCTAGTGCCAAAAGAGGCTCGTCGTCATCTCTCTGCAGAAGCTCAGTCATTTTGTGGTAACAGTATTGCAATATGTAGAGTCAATTATATACTGGATGTAAATCATGAAGCGGGGTGTCGACAGTATTGATCGATGATTTTAGGTCTTACACGTGTATCTCTGGCTGCGCAAATAGAGTACCTCTATGTACTTTTACAATAGTTTGCACTGTGTCTAGAGCCGCTCTTTGGGTTGAGAAACTGTTGTACAACAACTATGCTTGAGAAGAAGATACCGCTTCTTAATTGGAAACCATCTAAGCCCCTAGATCTATTCTAACTTTGACAGTAATTAACTATAATGAAAGAGAAAGAAATGTTTCAGGCTTTGATGCTGTATTATTATCTCTGGTTCTCACTGTTGAGTTGTGGTTTGTCAAGAGAGGTCTGAAGACCAAATACTGTAAGCAGACACGCTATAAGAACAGGGGTCTATTTTTTATCCACCAACTCTGTAACATGTGTGCTTCCCATAGCCAAAGGTAATACGGAACATCAGTTGCTAGCAGAGCAACCCCTCTCTACCTTGGTTAAAGACTCATTAGTGAGGCTCTGCAGAAGAGCGCCATCTTTTGTTCCCACGACCCTCATTCCCCATTTACCTGCAGCCTCCATTGCCTCTTGTTACCATACACTCTCTTTAAGCTTAATTACGACCCTCAGATAATGGACTCTGGGTTTCAAGGTCCAGAAAAACCGTCCCGTGTGGCCAGCGGGCTTATGGAGGACGGAGATGTTTACGATCTGGACAATGAAGATGAATTCCTCCCACCAACAGCAACAATATCTGGGTTTGGTGTGGACCACGTCAGGCAGCAGTTTGATCAAGATATTGATGAAGCACGAAAATTCTCAATACAGAGTCTTGATGAAGCTGAGAGGAACAGACAACGGGCACAATTTGTGCTTGCCCGAGCGACAGAATGGGATAAGACGACATGGGAAGGTCAGAACTTTTTGCATTATCTTGCCTACGACCACAATCCTAAGCCATCGATTAGTTTGCAGTGGCTCATGGCACGAGCCATCGTGAAGCTACCGCACTTGATGGGCAGAATGGACAAAGCGAATCGCACGCCGCTCACAACCGCCCTCTATGTAGGCAACGAGAGATTCAGTCATGCGGTATGCAACAACGTGGGGTCAAAGACACGCGAACGAATCAAACCAGAGCTACTGAATGAATGCAAGCCTCACGATAATGATCGTGAAGTCACATGTCTACATACTGCCTTGACTTGTGATTTTAGTACCGAGGAGCAGAGAGAGAAAATCGTCAAAAGCATTTGCAGTTTTGTTCCTGAAGAGTTGTTCAGAATCACTGATCATAGAGGTCGTACACCTTTGCACCTGGCTGTAGAGTATGAGAGGTGCTGTAAGACACAAGTTGGCATTGTCGAAGAATTGCTCCTCCGAGGATCACAGGCGTTAGATGTCGATATCTTGACATATAATCGCACTTACTCAGTTTACCAGTATCACGAAAGTACCCGGAAGGTGGTACAAAGAAGGTTCGATCAAACGCCCGCGAGAGAAACAAGAGGGGACAAGCTCAAGCTATCTGATACGAAATCAGATCCAAAGAGGGCCCCTTCTAAGCTTGAAATTGGTGCAATGGGACCCTCGTCACTGTCTGGAGACAAAGAAGGCCCCGCTAGTTCTTTGAAAAGAAGAGATTCGATTACTACTACGTCTAGAGACCGCGGTGGTTATAAATTACAATTGGATACACAAGTGGTGTCCTCTCCACTTCGGGGGTCGCCAATCGATTCCGCACAAAACACAGTAAGGGCGGCGGCTCTCCAAAAGGAAGAGGAGCGGGCACAAGCTGCTAAGCTAATTAGTGAGCAACTGAAGCTTTTATATCTTCGGACCCAAAGGCCGGATCGTGCTTCTCGTTGTCTGCGCCTACAAGACGAACAAGGTACGTGATGGTTTTGCTATGTGTGTTTATTCTGTATGAGACAAGCTTCTAACAGCCTTAGTAGATAAGGAGCTGTGGTTTGACTTTGGTCCACCAAAGAAGCTTAGAAAAAACGAATTCCAGAAACAATTCGGTCATCTAAAGCTGGATAGTGTGCTTCAATACGTGGCATTTCCTCAAATCGAGTTGATTGAGGATGATGACGGCCCAACTACAAGGCGCAAGACTAGGACGGTAGGTTTTGATATAGCAATATTGCCTTCTATTAACTAACACTTTTAGGATTTGATATTCTTTTTCAATTGGCTGAAACAGAAAGGGGTGAAACGCATTGTTAAGGTATAGGAAGACCATGAAATTTGAAGCCCAACCCTCGAATACCCTTTTATTAAACGAATATTTTAGGTTATTGTGGACGATTTGAAAATTCCATCACATAGTGATGAAGCTATAGAAGAAGCATTGGAGTCATTTGTAAGTGAATAATTATGTATATACATGTTCAAGGGCTTATCATTCGCAGAATGTTGAGATACTCGACTGGCGAAGATTGGATCTTGACCCCGTATCGCTTACTCGAGTTGGGAAGTGTTTACGAGAACTTCATCTCCAATGGAGTGGTAAGAATACCACCTTACGGGCGTGGTCAGAAAAAGACGGTTTGGCTATGATCCCCACGTTGGAGACAATTAGTGTCACCCAAGTTGAGGTATTCAAATCAACATTCTTACTCGCGAGACTCAGTCACTCACTAACTTGCACTTCCGTATAGAGCTCTGAATCCGATACAAGAGTCAACAGTAACTTCAATGACTTTGTGAAACGAGTTCATGAGTCTTGGCGATCTGACAAGCAACCTATGATAAATGGCCCAATTCCCGCTCACAACTATCTCCTCGGAATGGGTATTCTTACAAGAGAAGGGCAGCTCAACCATAGCCAAGAACGCGGTGTTGATCCACACAAGTGGATGCAGTGCATGGAACAATTTAATTCTAATTTCAGGCAGATCCGTGCCCTGAGAGACAAGATAACTGATGCATCACTAACACCTGTGGTGGTGGCTTTGATAGACGACGGGACAGACATCATGCATCCAGATCTGAAGGGTATGGGATTCCCGGGCAAGAGCTTCCACCACTATCGAGAAGGCTCAACATGGCGTGTATCTCCATACTGGGACTCTCCGTCTGGCCACGGAACGTTGATGGCTAGATTGATTCATCGCATTTGCCCGAGCGCCATTATTCACGTTATCAAGCTGCAGACTTTTGCAACTGAGGGCTCAACGAAGCTTCAAATCAATCCCGACAGTGCGGTACAAGTAAGTTGACTCATATAACCACAGTTGTAAATTATTCTGATGAGAGGTATAGGCGATAAATTATGCGGCGGAGCAAGGTGCTCAGATCATTTCCATGTCATGGACAATCAAGCCACCGATAGAACCAACTAAGAAGGCAGACTTTGATCATGCAATCAACAACGCCCTCAATATTAAAGGCCTCCTCATGTTTTGTGCTGCTAGCGACCAGGGAAAGTCTGCCGACCTGATGTATCCGCACGGCAGCAACCCCAATAGCTTCAGGATCGGCGCTGCGAAAGCCACAGGCAGCATGCTTGACACGGTTGGCGATGCGCACGAGCTCAGCTTCATTTTCCCGGGTCACGAGGTTGTGATTGACCACAACTATCAAGATGTGCAAGACAAAACATTTCAGAAATTCGAAGCTCATTCTGGTAGCTCGGTGGCAACTGCGCTGGCAACTGGTTTGGCTGCGCTGGTCATGGAGTGTGTTAGGTTGGGTATCATGCATACTAATGAGACGAATCAGAGTGATCATACTGTTGCAATAACGAAAGAAGACTTGACGAAGATACGAGAACGGCAGCAGATGGAACATGCGCTGACGTCGATTGGTACTAGCCATCTTACGAAGAACAAGTACATTGAGGTTTGGAAGACGTTTAGCGGTGCCGCGGAGGATTTGAAGAATAGTGAGGGCGATAGAATAGGGCAACTGGGGAGAATTGCGGGTTTAGCGAGGATGTTTCTTAGAAAGGGCGCTTGAGGGGATTAGACTTGAAACTCGACGGTTCCTTAATGGAATTGTGTTGGTAATGGATTGTATATTTTACATCTGAAAGATTGCTTTTTTCTATTTCTCTAAGCTGAGGTATCTTTCTTCATACGCCGCCACGCCTAATAATCACCTTTCACTTTGCAATCTCTCCCTTGACCCAGGCCTCCAGACCTCCCCTGCTAATGATCTCTTGTACATTTGGCGGCAATTCACCCACCTTCTGGCTCCACGTCTCTCCGTTGTCCTCTGTGACGACGACCTTGCTCCTGCGTACGTCCCACAGGAACTTCCATCCCGTGCGTCGCGTGAGCTGAATGTCGGCACCGTCACCCTTGGGGAAGCGCTCGCGAAGACGCTGGATAAGGCGAGGCACTTCAACGGTGAGGAGCGCGTTGTTGATGCTGTTGCGGCCGAAGATGTTGCCGAAAGAGCCGGAGACGACAAGCGGGATCTTCTTGGCGAGGATTGCAGTGGCGGCTGTTGATACCAAATTATTAGTCGGTCGTTTGGACAAGAATATCCTCTCTCGGGAACAACTTACCTTGCTCTCGTGACGAGCCAGTTCCAAAATTAAATCCTCCGACAAGCACGTCTCCAGGGCGAGCGATATCCTTGAAGGCGGCGTCGTAGTTTTCCATGCATACCTCCGCCATCTTCTCGACTGGGACGTTATCTTGATATGTGTATTTGCCTGGATAGATACCGTCTGTGTTGATATTGTCGGCGTCGCAAAATACGATCTCGCCCTCGACCTTCTCTGGGAAACCAGGTACAATGTCGGTCAGCGTCTCCTCGGCGTTGTCTGCAGGTGCTACAGTAGAGCCGCCCATATCCTTCTCGGCGTCGAAGATCATGCTGTCAGCCTGAGCGATGATCTTATCCAGGGCATCCTCTATGCTCATGGCTATATCTGCCTCGAGGTTGCCACTGCCCTCACCGAGGATAACCTTGTCGATGCCTTCAGGCTTCTGGTACCATCCAGGACCGCTGATATAACCTGACAGGGCACTGGCGGCGACTACTTCTGGAGAACCGAGATATGCCTTTGCTTCTTTAGATCCCATTCTTCCTGAAAAATTTCTGTTTGATGCGCTAATGCCGACCTCGTTCGGCTCAAGCAATCCAGTTCCAAGCCCAATACAAGGTCCGCACCCTGATGGAAGTGTTTCCACGCCGGCATCTAAGAGAACCTGCCAATCGCCAGCTTCCTCCGCTATCTGTTGTTCGGCCAGAGAGGCAGCGGCAACGTAGAACTTGACACCAGGGGCGATCTTGGGTGTAACACCATCTTTGGCAGCCTCGCGGAATACACGAGCGGCAGCACTAATGTCGGATGCTCTTCCGTTAGTGCAGGATACCAAATCTTTAGCCAAGTTAGTAAACTTCAGAGGAAACGGCGTTAGTGGTTATAGTTACAAGCTTTGTCGACAGGAATCTTTTGAGCCTCAAGATCGCGAAGGGGCGTGGCCACCTTGACAGAGTTGGGTCCTGAGACAAATGGGGATAGGGATGTAAGATCGAGATAAAGCGACTTGGCGTAAGTTGCACCGGGGTCGGCAGTGAGCCGGTTCTCGGAGAGCTGGGCGATCCGGTCGTGTGTAAAACGGGCATTGGCATCAGTCTCTGAGTTGAGCATTGCGGATGTGGTGGCCTTGGCTCGCAGCCAGTTGATCAAGACATCGTCAATAGGGAAAAGCCTGTCACGGTTGTCAGTCTGGCTCATAATAGGCTCACAGCAAGTCCAGCATACCCACTGAGCGCGCCCCATTCCGTCGTCATGTTTGCGATTGTGATTCTTTCGTCTATAGAAAGGCTACGCATTGTTTCTTCGGAACCAGCGAATTCGATGGCGTGATTTAGGACAGAATCGTCATTCACCAATCCACAGAGGGCCACGATGACATCCTTCGCAGTGACACCCGGAGGTAGAACGCCCAGGAGAGTGACTTTGGCGATAGGCGGGATCTGCCACCATGTCCGACCAGTCGCAAGTATACTGGCGGCGTCGGTCCTCACAATGGGAGTACCCACGGCTCCAATTGCGCCGTAGCTATTGGAGTGGCTGTCAGACGCAACGGTCAAGGTTCCCGGCCAAGCATAGCCCTCCTCAATCATCAGCTGATGGCCAATGCCCCGGCCAGCGCCAAAGAAGTCAATGCCATGGTTCTGAGCGAACTCTTGTATCAATTCGTACTTCTTCAGGTTCGTCGGCGATCGATTCTGCACGTCGTGATCTAAAGTCATGACAATTTGGTTGCTATCATGGACCTTAGTGGCGCCTATGTCCATCCATTTCTTAATGATTGGAAAACTGTTATCATGGGACATGCTGCGGTGCGGCGCGATGGAGATGTAGTCGCCGGAGTGGACCGTCTTGCCCGGCGCAAGGCCGACGGCGTACCGCTGGACGATCTTCTCAGTGAGCGTCTGAGGCTTTCCCACGGCTGGTGGGGAGGAGGAGAGGATATCTGAGTTGCGAGAGCTGTCGAGCTGCGAGTGGAAAGCGTCAGGCCTTCGATAGGCGCCGGTGACGCTGTACGAGCGGCATATGGGCGATGTTGAAGGCAGCTGTGGTGCTAGAGATCGCGGCGTTGTGCGGCCGAGGAGCGTGACGCATCTCCTGGCAGAGCGGCCAGCTATTCCACGCTGTGTAGAGCCACGAAGTTAGCAATTATCTTGTAATTGATATGTCGTGTAGCCATCGCCTAATTGGCCTGATCTGGGGCATGGAGAAGACATACTGCTTGCATCATTGTGAGATGACTGGATGAAGATGCATCAAAACTTTATCCGAGATCGGGATGGCGGCATCTAGAAAAAAGTTTAGCGGGGTCTGCGGGGAGCTAATTCGAAACCCAGACACTATCATTGGCCGAAACACAACTGACATGTTGGATGCGGATAAAAGTGTCTTTGTCTACTCGTATGTAGGAAGAAAATCATCTGATGTTGTTTCATGTTGTTAAAGTCATGTTGTTGTAACTCATAGTTGATGTTGCGCAACCAATAGGAAGTTGTCGCGATGCGGGTTGCGTCATCAGTTGCTGAAAAAGCGGCTCATTGTTTTGCCTATCCAACTGAAAGAAGCTCACTTGACTGAGTGAAAGATAGCAAAAGCATCGGATATCGTCCATCCTTGTTTGGCGCTCTCCACAGTTGTGTCAGTTTCTCGATGCAAGGGCGCACGCTAGAATCATCCCGCGCCCTTGACCCCACGCGCTGAGAAATGCCGGCCCTTCTTGCATCTTCCATTTACATCTTACATACACATGCTCATGGCTATCAATATCAGTTGAAAGAGCAGTATAAGTGACATAAAGAAACCAAGTGGACTCATTTTCTTTCATTCACCAATCATCTCAGCTTCATCTTTCAAGACCAACTCAAGTAATTCGCGAATCTCAAAATCATCATGTCAACAGCAGAATCTATCCCAAAAGTCCTCGACTCATTTACTGAGAAATGGTCCCCGCGCCTTGTCGCAGCAATCAACGACCACCACGTCAAAGTTGCCAAAATTGATGGCGAATTCATCTGGCACTCACATCCAAACTCCGACGAACTCTTCTATCTCCTCTCTGGCAAATTGACTATTGAGCTCGAGGGCCTGGACGATGTTGTGATGCAAGTTGGCGATATGTTTGTCGTTCCAAAGGGCATTAGACACCGTCCTGTTGCGGAAGAGGCACAGATCATGCTGATCGAACACGAGTCTACGATTAATACTGGAGACGAAACTAGTTCGGACAGGACAGTACAAGTCAAGGATGCTCGTGGGCAGAATTGAGGTGGGCGGACGTGTAATGACGGTAGAAGGAGGATTGAAGGATGTCTTTGAGGACAAGTGGGAATAGGCGTGATGTATATAATGACCTTGCTATCTTCACAAGATTCTTTCATGTATGGTGTTGTGTACATGAACCCGGGATTTACTGTTTCTATGCAATTATGAATTGAACACAGACTGCGGCTATGAGCTGTCTAAATAGCTAGATTCTCGCTCCAACACTTCATTAGAGAAGATGTGTCAAACGAGGATTCGGAGGAATTTGCTGTCGCATCTGCGCCCGACTTATTCGCCTCTCACCTGATGTCTTTTGTTCTATGAGATATGATTTTGCCAGAATTGTACGATGCTGCGGTTACAGGCACTCGGGCAAATAGAAACTGAACCCCAACCAGGTTGAAGATCTAAAATAATTTGTGCTTCACGTTGTTGCCACAAGCTCAAGACAATAGCACCTACCGGTATGTAGGGTAAGTTTAATAAAAATCACGTTGAACCATACATCTGTAAATTTTACCACCTCTCTGCAAGCGAACACAGAGTTTCTCAGCAAATCTAGAGATTGGTAGCTGTCATTCTTGGGGTTTCTGGTAACTGGTTGCAAGATGCTGTACATGATAATACGGAAGACGAAGTCAATCTAGCTTGATCACGGTAGCATACATTCTATACACCTACATCTCATGATTATGTGGACCGTCGGTCTCTAAAAGAGAGCCCGCATTAGACAATAGCAATGTACCAACATAAGGTTACAAACGGAGTTTCTCAGACTCAACTCAGTCAATACACCGTCACAGGCATTTGTCTTCAATGTAGCTATCGTAATTGATTGAATGTAACCACGGCGGCCAGCGCACTCGGCACGTCGCATTCTACAGTCGCGTCCCGCGAAATTATGCGTCCTAGACAGCGAGATTCGCCGAACGAACTGTTGTCCAACATCCTCTCATCCGAGTTTACCGAAAGGGGAGTAAAAGGTCTATTGCTGCATTATTCAATGTTCAGGGTATGCGAGAAGTTCCAAATCGCCCGGGTTGTAATTAAACCGTGGTCAGCGATGGAAGCCTGTGAATTGTTGGCTCCTGTATTCTTTTTGATGCATGCATTCGCACAAGGGTCAACGGTGGCCTGACATCTGGCCATTGATGCATATTCTTTAGTTTATTCTATGCATCTGTGTTTGCGGTAAGGTTGTTTTGACCCCTGTATCATTCAGCGCATCGTGCCGTACTTCCAAAATGCCGGACGCCAAGCCAACAGCTTTTGTTTTTATGTATACGATATACGAGCTGTCTATAAACCAATCAACAAGATGAACTGTATATTCTTGGTGATCGAAAACCAGAAGGATAACTGGGGTTCCTGGGAGAAGACACAGTAAGCCACCAATAAGATTGGGTTACACTTACGGCGCAGATTCTCCAGGTCTACCGGCAATGACGGCAATGACTGACAATGGTACCTATCACAGGATAATTTTAGAATTGCGTGAATTACCCGGCCATACCTGTCTCCGTCGGCAATAATCGTAATGTATTGGTACAGGTCTAAAAAAGAAGAAAAAGCTGTTACGGTTACATTATAGGGTAACAGCAAATACTCGGGAGATACAGATTCTACAATGAATTTTGAAATGACAAAAAGTCAGGACCAATTACTCTTGCTGTTGAGTTGCTAGGATCTATCGGATGGTGATACAGCTAGTTGATTTTTGTAACATAATTTCTCAGTCTATGATCGACATCCTACATAGGTCTGTAAGTTAGAAGATATAGTTGCCCAGTTACATTTTCTCGACCATATCGCCTTGCCAAAATTGTAGTTTGCAAAGAGTTTTTAATACATAGACTTTCTGCAGTTATACAAATGCTATCGAATTACAAAACTCCAATGCAAACGTAATAATCCGGCCACAAAGTAGAACAACTAGTGCCTACAGCCGGGTTCCAGGCATAGAAGTTTGCCAAGGTAATGTTGGCAGCAGCCGCAATGTCAAAGCAGTCATCCCCGCTCTTGACCAGGTGAAAGGTCTTACAATTTTTTGTCATGTTTGCCTGGGTCGGCGTCGGCGTGGCCACACCGTTTCCTTTTGTAGTGGTTGACGGAGTGATTTTTGTGGTTGTAGAGGCCTTTGTTGTTGTAGAACCCTTGATACCAACACAAACGTAGTAGTCAGGCCAGAGACCAGCACAAGTGGTGCCAACCGCTGGATTCCAGGCGTAAAAATTGTTTAGAGAGATACCGTAAGCAGTAGCAATATTGGCACACCCATCTCCGCTAACAACTTTGTAGAAGGCATCACAATTCGATACCATGCCGCTCTGCGTAGGTGTCGGAGTGGTGATACCATTGCCAGACGTGGTCGTGGTCGAAACACGAGTAGTAGTAGATGCATGAATTGTAGTAGATGAGGCATGTGTTGTGCTTGAAGGGCCTGATCCAATAACTCCAACGCAGACATAGTAATCGGGCCAGAGACCAGTACAGCTGGTACCTACAGCCGGATTCCAAGCGTAAAAGTTGTCCAGAGATATGCCATATGTAGTGACAATGTTGGCGCAGATATCTCCACTGACAACTTTGTAGAACTTATTACAGTTGCTTACGAGGCCGCTCTGTGTAGGCGTTGGTGTTGTGATGCCATTCCCGCTGGAGGTTGTTGAGGCTGTGGATGATTTGGTGGTTGTAGTTGGCGGGCCTGTAGACAGGAAAGACATGGACACATAATTGACCTGTACGCAGTAATAGAGGCCTTCAATAAGATTGCAACCAGAACCCAGTAGGGTAACGCTGGGATTCTTCTCAAGGTCAGAAAGCTTTCATCTGTGGCATTGGAAGCGACTTGCTCACCCATGCCTCGAATTGGGCTGGACTCATGCCAAAGAACTGTTCAATAATAGCACAAGTCAGTCCATAGGATTGTTGAACCCATTCAGAGCAGCCTGAGTCGGCTCCTGGGGCAGGCGTGCCCGGAGGTGCTACCAAGTAGGCATTTGTCAGGCCAAAAGCCAGAGAGGCAGTGACAAGGTTGAAGAGCTTCATCCTCTTGACGTTGAGATATTGACCGTTATTGAGAAGAGATGATTATTTCCGTACCAAAACCTAACCAGAAGACGAGTAGCGATTGGCCTTTGGAGATTCGGTTAGTCGTGAAGTGTTATTGTGTGCTTGATTGCCTTCTTCAACCGAAGTACTCCGTACACTTTGTCAGATTATTTACAGCCATGTGAATGCGTTATTTTTTAATCTTTCACTTTTCAGTTTTTTAGTCAGTCCACAATACAATTTTTGACCATGACCACAGCCGAATACAAAAAAGATGAAGCAGGGTGGCGATGCAGGACCAACAGCATACGAGTCGTATCAGTTGTTGGTTCAACACCCTGTAATCCATAGTGCGACCTGCAATGCTACCATTCTCCATCGTCACAAAATTTCCAAATCCAGGGTCTTACGGAAGTAGGAAGTCTCGATAGTTGAATAGCGGATCGATGCGCATCCCTGTTCCAGTGGTGGATCTAGGCAAGGGAGCGCTCGGCTATTATTGCTACCTACAGAGAAATATGTGTTTGCAGTAGATGGCTCATTACTCCTGTGTGATATCTAGCAAGGAAGATGAATAAGTTGCATCAGCCATCACTGAAGTCGACCTTTGGTCAACATCTTTCATTCCTTAGGCATATTGAGTCGGCTCCAGCATTTTCTTACTATTTCCTCACCATTTCATGATGCGGTGGTCAATTCTGTCCTCGTTATTCTGGTTACTAGTCGTATCTAGCGCCCATTATTTGGAAGATGACAACTATGATCCATTTAACAAGACGCTTTGGCGTCGTGTTCGAGGTCCTGGAGGTGATGGTGGTGGCCAACAGCCAACCGCCTCGGAACTTTTCTTGATAGAAGACTCTTCTCTTCCAGCAAGCTGCGCCTCTCGGGTGGACGTCTTGGATGAATGGGTGAATGAAGCAAACCTGCTTCACGAGGCAGCTATGACAGTTTACAGCGGCTATAAGACCAAAAATGCATATGCGATACTCATGAACCAATTCTTCGGCTTCGCCATAACAATACATCCTGACCCCAATGGTCCAACAACATATTCATTAACGCCCAAATATGGTGTCCCACAGAGATACACAACTATTGGTGGTAATATCCCCTAGCTAGCGTCTACTTTTATTGTAAGGCACCCATTATTAACCATGATCAACAGATCGCCTCGCACGAGTCTCACAATTCCTTGCTGGAGCTGGCTTGCGTGATCCCCCAGTACCGGGGGAAGCTCCTCGAGTTTTATGCTCAGGCGACGCACACCAGCTGGTCGGTCCAGGCGATATCACCAGGGACAAGAATGGAAACAGAGTTGTCACGGCCAGAGACCCCACCACAAATGAGCCAACAGAATACTTGTCAATTCAAGATGCTTTTATATATTCGGAAGAGGCGAACTTCTTCTGGGTAAGCGCGTTTAATGGCTACGCTCAACTTAAGAAGGAATCTGCTGGCGAAACTGAGGCTTGTCCGAAGGACAACATTCGCTACGCCGCAACCAATCGTGGTGGTACCCTTTCAAAGATCATTGAACCAAGTTTTGAGTTTGGTAAATGTAATAGAATGATACTGTTTTGCCCAGCTTCCTTCAACGTGAAGCAATGGGTGGCGGGACAGCGGGGCAACTCGCACAACTATCCATCGCTCGCGCAGGCCGTGAGCATCGATAACTATCCCTCTGCTACTGCGGGCAAGGGTGGTACGAAGACTCTTGATAACTTGGGTTTGGATAATATCCTGCCTAGGAGCGCCACATTGTATCACGAGCTGTTTCATTTGACGGACAATGACGACACGTCGGATCCCTATTGTGAGTTTCCATTTATTAACCTTTACCCTTCCCGCACCGCATCTTAATCTAATAGCTCCTTCTATTTAGACAAATTGTCAAAAGCTCTGGAGGCCGCCATGGCAGGTGATGAGGATATGGAACTTATTGATAACCCAGAAAGCTTTGTGTTTTTTGCCATGGCAGCATACATGACTATCAATGCACCTGAGGGTGCTAGTCCTGTGACGTACATGAGTGGTTTGCCGATGAGAGTTAGTGAGATTCCTTTCTAAAAATGTAGAATGCCAAACTGGGGGATTTTGGATCTTGCAGTTGGGAGATAATGACGAACTTTTGTGAGGCTACGACGTTCAAATATTAAATCTATCTCTGCTATTGGCTCTTAGGAGCGAATAAGATGGTTTCTCATATGTCAATAAATACATGCGTTATATTTTGATATTGATGAAATTTTGCTACTTGGTAGTGTTTCGAACCTGTCAGTTCGAACGAGCTACCAAGGAAACGTTCGGGCGATTAATGTAATGTCTGGCAGTTAATCTAGCAGAACTTACTCCATGTAGATTCCTAACTATTAAGGACTCGCCGTTACGGCAAGTCCAGATCGTAACACAAGTTCACAGGTGATGGATTACAGATTGTGTGGAATTCAAATTTGTTTGCGCACGAATGACTGCTGTAGATGGGGTTGTGAATACATCGTATACCTCTACTTCGAGAGACGGTTAGAATCACTCGTAGTGGTAATCTGCCTGATGCGCATGAACGGCTATAACATATTACCTTGTCCTCAGTAATCATACATACCATTTGCAACCGCAATAACATGTAGAAGCTAACGAGCCGCAAAGCCGAGCTCTACACCTTGAACCAACATGTTTCTTGATGGTCAGCAAATAGTCTGCGGTTCTGCGTGCGTGGAGTAGAAATACCCGCTTGATTGAGTGGGAACTTTTTGGTCGGCCCTTTAGCCATCCCTGAATATATCAGTTCATAATCACTCTTTGGTAGCTCTTAATAGACTTAACTATGTGTATTTCGACCAACAACAATGCAACTGAGGTATTTTAATCCCCGGTATACTATGCATGTTATATGTCTCCATGGCTGCACATATTCTCTTGTTGTTGGTGATATAACGAGATCAATACTGCATATTGGCTATCCACTTTCAATGTTACTGTAATACAGCTCTCCTTGTGCCGTGAAATCGTATACCTGACCAACACCGCAGCTCAGGTATGGATTATGCACAAACAGGTATAGTATACTTCTTTCCTAAAGTAGAAATAGGCATCCTAGCTACCGATATCTTTGCGGGCAGGCATGGTCTCTAGCTCAGATGCTTCTATGGTAACCTTCTGTTGGTCCAAAACCCGGCCATAGACCCATGTAGATATCCATGTTGGGTGTTTGAGTCGTGACATGCAGGCAGCCGAACCTCATACCGGCAAGGACAACAATGCAGCCGATGCTGTGAATGCAGATGAGCTGGGATGTGCTGTAACAATGTTCTTCCTTCTTTCCCGTATGGCCGGCTTTGTAGAAAAGCTCCTCGTAAAGAGGTCTATTTCTTGAACCCAACAAGTTTTAAGAAGTTCAGGAGATACAGCACTAGAGCCCGTCACCTATTCTCTTCCATTGCTGTCTTTTTTTTCCCGCCTGCACAGGCACTCAGCTCTGAGTCCAAGGCACTTGCCAGCAGAGGGATCTTCTTATTGATCTTGGGCGCCGTTATTTTACACATTTTTACGCTATTACACTTTTGCTTGACAATTGTAGCTGCCATGAGGCGGCCTAATTTGGGGTTTGTCGTCTCCCTGGCGGCCATCTGGACTATTTCAGCTGCAGACAAAGCTGCAGCTGATGCCCAGGAAGCAGCAAATGCGTATCTCGCCTCTCTTTCTGTCACCACCGTCTCTGGGCCAATCTCGGGTAGACCAACAGATCTGGCGAGTGCTCGTGCCGCAATAATAGCTGGAAACTACACTTCTCGGCTACACCATGAGACAAGACGCCGCTGTCCAGCAAGCTGCGGTACCAGCCTCAATTCAAGCACTTGGTACGTTTATCACGACGTCGACCGCCTCAAAGCCTGCAATGAGACTATGCTCCTGGACTTTGCCCTATTCAATTCTATCAATGATACCAAGTCACACGTCAGTATTTCTGCGTGCAAAGCAGATTTACAATCATCTGCTGGTGATAGTATCGGATCGGCAACAGCATGTGCACTCAAGAATGTGAGGCAGGTCGAAACAAAGTCGCCTGTACAACTTGCTTCATCGGGCTCTTTATCATCGAAGCATGTAACAGATGTTATTGCTGCCCTGGATCAGCTCCATGCATTCTCGACCCTGGCTTCATCTGGCTGTGATGAGACTATCAAGTATGCGTATTCTGGAGAGGCTGTTGTTGGCGTTTACGTCGGATCAGGTCTTGCTGAACAGGGTACTCTCACCGCAGTTCTTGACAAGCTCAGCGAACAAGTCAGGAGTGATGGTGGTGTCTCAGAGAATCTACTGGCCCAGATGTGCAGCAACTCGTCTGCTAGATACTCTCTAGGTGTTTTTGTCAATACTCAGCGCCAACTGGGCCTTGTCCAACAGGGTGTACAAACATGGAAAAACAGTAGTTGCATAACCACAATGGAGAAGACTACATCACATTGGGAGACTACAACCTATCTTGCGGCATCTTTCGCCCACAGCAACTCTTCCGCTCACAATACAACCGTTGGGTCCCAGCCAAGGGCTATGTTAGCCCGTGACACCACTTGTCGCACTATCCAGGTGCAATTTGGTGACTTATGTCCTTCATTGGCCACCGAGTGCGGTATCTCGTTGGCAGATTTTGAAAAGTATAACCCTGGATCGACCTTTTGTAATAATCTGCAGCCAGGCCAGCACGTCTGTTGCGGTGCTGGAACCTTACCAGACTATTCTGTTAAGCCCGATTCGAAGGGCAACTGCTATTCTTACTTGGTTAAGACAGGAGACTCATGCTCGTATCTTGCTGCTGCTTATGACATAGCGAGCAACGATCTCATAGAGTCGTACAATAAGAAAACATGGGGCTGGAATGGTTGTCAGAAATTGTTTGCTGGCTACAACATCTGTCTCAGCACTGGCTATCCTCCCATGCCTGCCCCGGTTGCTAATGCTGTCTGCGGACCGCAGGTTAATGGAACTTCATCCCCGCCTCCGGGAAGTGATTTCAGCACCATGAATGAGTGCCCTCTAAATGCATGCTGTAACATCTGGGGACAATGTGGAACAACGGACGACTTCTGTGTTCCATCCAACTCCAGTACTGGAGCACCTGGCACGGCTGCTCCTAACCAAAATGGATGCATCTCCAACTGTGGCAGCGACATCATCTCATCGGGTGCCCCCAGTGAGATTTACAACATTGCATATTTTGAGGCCTTTGACTGGCAGCGGCCTTGCTTACACATGGCAGTCACGGATATCGACGTTTCAGCTTACTCTCATATACATTTTTCATTCGTCACTCTCAACAAAGACTTCTCTATCAATATTACAAGCGTTGCTGATCAGCTACCCTTGCTTCAGGGAATGGTTGGAATCAAACGTATTGTATCGATTGGTGGCTGGGACTTCTCTACCAATCCAGACACTTACACAATATTCCGTGACGCTGTTTCCTCCGAAACAAATCGGCAAACATTGGTCACGAACGTTGTTCAATTTATAAGTGACTATGACTTGGATGGCATTGACTGGGACTGGGAGTACCCAGATGAACCCGACATCCCTGGTATCCCCAAGGGATCCGAGACTGAGACGACCGGTTACTTCTTACTGCTCGATGAACTAAAATTGAAGATGCTAGCCGGTAAAACCGTCTCCATTACTGCTCCAGCATCTTTTTGGTATTTACAATACTTTCCTATACAAGCTCTGAGTCTCGTTGTCGATTATATAGTCTATATGACATATGACCTTCATGGGCAGTGGGATTATAGTAACAAGTATGCAAGCCCGGGGTGCGGTTCATATGACCAAGGGCTTGGAAACTGTTTGCGATCTCACGTTAATCTCACGGAGACTACCAATGCTCTTTCTATGATCACCAAAGCAGGCGTGCCGTCCAATATGATCGCCGTGGGCGTCAGCAGCTACGGCCGCTCGTTCCAAATGTCCGCTCCAGGCTGCTGGACTTCACAATGTACCTACACAGGGCCTGATTCGGGGGCGTATCCTGGACTTTGCACGAATGCGGCTGGCTATTTGTCCAACTACGAGATTGGCTTGATTGTCTCTCAGAACCCTACAGCCCAGCAATACTGGGACGAGGACTCTTATTCAAATATCGTTGTATTCAACAACACTCAGTGGGTAGCGTATATGAATGATACCAACAAAGCTGGCCGGAAGGCTCTTTTCCCACTTATCGGATTTCTTGGAAGCGCTGACTGGGCGGTTGACCTTCAATCCGACAGCGGAAGCGAATCAGGGTCTGATTCTGGGTCCTCATCTAGACAGACCATCTACATTGACCCTGCTATCTGGTCCTCAGTAACTCCTCAGGTGGTTGCTCCGCCAGGTGCAACACTTATCTGGCCCCCGATGCCGCTTTCGAGTACTACTACAATTAGCTTCCCCTTATGGACCACCTTGATCGAATACTCGAGCTTAACAACAGTCACACAGACCTTAACAGGTGGCCTAACAACAGTCTATCCTTCATACATTCTCGGATCAACACTCACAACTATTACAATCCCTCCAGGTGAGCCATAATTCGTTCTTCAATTGGACATCATATGCAGTCTTTAGGACCCAGTTAACGAGTTGTCTTATGCTCTCAGTGACAACCACTCGTATCCCTGTCTGGGGTGTTTCCCTCAACATAAGCTCAACAGGTGGACCAATCTACCTAACAAGTTCCGTGCAACCGCCACCGATCACTGTTACCGTTACTCCGTAAGTGCAACTGCTTATATATACTTTCCGGCATCCATCAACTCTTGGCCGGCTTTCATATTGACTTTATTTCTTGCCTATTGTAGGATTATTGGCGGAACCACTTCCATCATTGGCGCCACAAAAACTACTACTAGCACTGGAGGGCCTGTCATATGGGGCTCACAGACGTATATAAGAAGCGACGAGACAGAAACTCTGGGAGGACGCACGACAGTAATTAATGGCAAGACTTTACCACCCACTGTGGTCACTGTCACGCCGAATCCTCATCCTACAACAACAAACACAATTCCAGATCCCATAATTAACCCCAAAACACCTAAATGGACATCTGGTACGGGAAGCGTTATCAAACCTACCGCCAAACCAGGATGCATTGGCTGTGGCTTGCCGTGTAAGTTCCATATACCCATCTCGTATAGGCTCATTAACATTGCATTGGCTAATTCGTCATTTTTATGACCCAGGCTTGTTTTTTTGTGACCCGGACTGCCCATCCTGCCCTCCTGGTGTATTTCCGCCATCTGGCGGTGGTGGTGATGATGGGGATGATGACGAAACTTCAACATCAACTGCACCAACTGCTGCCTATACACTCCTCCTGGAGCTACCATTAGCTGATGACGCATTTCCTACAGAACTCTCGTCGCCGGATGAACTATTGTCTATGTTTTCTGATGCACTGTCCTCTCTAAGCTCCGAGGCTGGTCTATACAGCACTACCACCTCCAGTACCCCAGCAAGTACCAGCAACACGCCAACTTCATCGATAGATATCGCAACACACACGCCTACGGCGGATTGTGACTTCTGGGATAAGGGCTGGGGTTGGAATTTTGAGATATATAACATTGACTGGTGGACATCAGACGGGAGCACCATTCTAGAGGACCAAGAGAAAGGATGCGGTGCACTAACAGGCTGGGAATGGCATCCCGCAACGGACACTGATTACGCCTATGCTTACTTCAATCTCCCATTTTTCATCAAAGATGGCTGCGTCGAACGGGCAATTGTCTCAGCTGGTGGCCCTAAGATTGAGTGCACGGGTCACGGCCTCCTTGGGAAGAAGAGAAGCCGAGTTGATGAAGAAAAGCACCTGAGTGCCAGGGGTCGCGTCAGAGCCAAAGCTGTGCCTCCTTCGTACTCAGATGAGGAAATAAAGGAGTTTCAAAAGGTTTATGCCCAGAACCAGACGTTTCACCCATATTCGGCAATGAACTGGGGCACCGTTGGGCCAACCGCTACACCGACACCAATATCCTTCCCATAATGCAGCTGAGAGCAGCTAAGAGTAGTTGAAAGCAGTGATAGAGATTTCGGAGTTGTATCACAAATATGGCTTAACAACTACGAAAACCATCACGAGATAGTTAGCTGGCGTATGTGATTGCAACGATATGTAGTCTCTTCTGCATCTTAGGAGCGGACTCATCAGCCGGGGGCCTTTAGATTAGATATGTCGGCTAACAGCTAAATGAATTAGTTTGTGTTTTTACTAGAATTGAAACTTGACAATGGGGAAGTGAGGTATTTCCATTCTGACGGTTGTCAGGTAAAGAGTCGTACGTGCTGATTAGTCCGAGATCAAACCTGCCGCATACCATTGAATCACGCTGCGTCTACATTAACCTAGTTGAGCCCCGCACTCAAAGAGTGATACATGAATACATAAATGCATATCTGTATATAAGGTATAGGCCCTTATATAGGTAAGAAGTATGTAGATTCCTGGAACCCTTCTTACAGGTATATATACTGAGAAGCTGCCCACTTCTATCGACGTGCTCTTTCATACCTTCGGCCTTCCATCTACACAGCAACACAACACCCCCGGCCACAGAGGGTTGAAAAGATGACTGAAGGTACCCAACACCCATAGTTGAATCTAATTTGTAATTATATTTAGCGAATACTGATATTCCTCTGATAGATAATGATAAGAAAGACATCAATCCTACAGCCATAATGCACAATTCGACGCCAGACCTGCCTGGCATTTTAACTGTGACTCTTCACGAAGCAGTTGGCCTTTCTAGAGGAGCTGAATCCTCTGAGCCTGATGTCTACAAAGAGTACTCCGGCGGCTCTAAACACAGCCATAATGAGTTCAAAGGGAATATATTTCCCTGCACAGCATGCAGATTTCCCCAAACGCTTGTTGAGTATGACAAATGCCAAACACCCATTAACTGTTATTGGGGAACCACAGAGAGCCCCTCGTGGAAAGGAGACTATGGCAAATGCAAATTCTATGTTACACGAATTACCGAGCTAACCATCTCCCTCTATCACCCAACTGGTTCCAAATTAAGCCAAGACGTGTTTCTCGGATCAGCGCGAGTACGCCCCTTTAATGCGCTAGAAGAATGTACGCCAAAGTGGCTAGCGATTGAAGATGGAATTGGCATGATTCGCATCAGTTATGACTATACATCCATGGGAAATAAGAAACTGAAAGAGGAAGATTTTGATGGCCACTTTTATGGCGTAGAGAGGAAGCAATCTGGATGCATCACTCAGAATACAAAGGGCAAATTTGAGGCAATGTATGCTGGAAAATTGTTTGAAACAGACAAGCATTTTCTGTCCCAAGTATCAAGCGAATTGCCTAGTCGCATCAACCATCCTTTCATATGCCCAACCACATTTTACTTCCAACTAGAGGAGCGATTGTCACTCAACTCTCCACTCGCCATCGGAGGGCACCTTTTTAGCCATCTCTTGGAGCAGCAATATTTTGATGTCGACAGATCTCGATTTTATATTGCCGAGATTCTCTGCGCGTTAGAGTATCTGCACGATGAACATCACATCTTCGCCTGGTTGAAGCCAAGAAGCGTTCTACTGGACGGCATGGGTCATATTGCGCTTTGTGGTTTCGGTCTTTTCATCTCGGAAATCAGCCAAGGGAGCCCTAGGAGACAACATCGACTACCAGAATACCCAGCACCTGAATTATTACTTGGTCAGAATGATAATCGTATGGCAGACTGGTGGACATTGGGCATTTTTCTATACGAAATGTTAACAGGGCTTCCTCTTTTCTATGATGAGGATCCTGAAAAAATTGCCGATAAGATCCTCAATCAGACCATTGAAGTGCCCGAGTCTTTACCACGAGCAGCTCAAGATATTATAACAGGACTGCTTTGTCGCAATCCCAAGCAACGGCTGGGAGCTAAGGGAGGCGTTTCCGAGGTTAAAGCTCACCCGTTCTTTGAGGGAATCGATTGGCACACCCTCATCCAACGCAAATATCAACCCTCTTTTAAACCAAACTATTACTCCTCTCACCTTGAGCATCATGGAGTGCCTGAATCACTTGAGCCACCACCCTCTCCACCGCTTTTACCTTTCAATCTTACTCGGAGGTATCCGGAGCACAGAAGCTATACCTCAGCCTCTAGAACTCATCAAGTATTTATCCAGACGGATAATAATTGGGACCTAATATGGGAAGACTCTCATCCTCAAGGGTTCCAATTTTACAATCGCGCTACAGGAGAGAAGCAGTCTATCCTTCCTCAGGCTGTGGAGTCTATCACATCTGAAGATGCCGTACAAGCGAATGAGACTTACATCACTGTTCCTGACCAACGCCAGAAGCTCGCCACCCTCAAAGAAGCTTTGCAGGCTGGATACGATAATGTCATCTCACAGCTACTGGGATACGGAGTAAACTTGAACGTTCGCATGGATGAGTGGCGTGAAACTCCTCTATTATGGGCTGCGCAGCATGAAAATCTTTCTCTAGTAAGGTTGTTCCTTGAAAACGGCGCTGATGCGAACTATGGGACTTCTAATCTGGAGGATCAATATGCACTGATAGCCGCCGTGAGAACGGGCAACCAGCAGATTGCAGAGGTTTTATTGAAAAAGTCTCGTCGGGTTATATGCACGATCGCTTTGAGCCTCGCGGTTGATCAGAACGATGGCCCTATGGCTAAACTCTTGCTTGAAAATGGCGTGAGGTGCGAATTCGAAGAAACGGATCGGAATCCGCCGTATGAACCAGGCCCCTTCGATACTGACACCTGCTGCCACTTTCCCGTTGGAGAAGAAGAGGAGTTTATTCATCCACTGTTCCGTGCTATTGTATACGGAAACGAGGACATGGTTAGGCTTTTGCTCTCGTATGGCGCCGATGCCAACGTGGGTTACCATGGCCTTGCTTGGTACAAATTGAAGATGGACCGGGAGGAGAGAATTAAGTTTGAGTGCGGTAGGGCGATACATGTTGCCATGGAGCTGAGGCAACATAAAATCGTGGAATTGCTGCTTGAGAATGGCGCAGACATTAATCTCGGTCGACCTATCTGGGATGTAAGGACTCATAGTTGTAAACTGGTCCCGAGAGATGTGTTTCAAAGAGTTAGAGCTGGTTTAAGGGCGGCAGTGGCAGCAAGGGAAGAAAAGAAGACTGCAGTTACCGCGTAAGTCGTTTTTTTGGTAGTAATGATGGAGGTCAGTGTCGTGTGTATCATCTCAACATGTACACCGAGCGAGGTTATTATCGCCTCTTTGCAATTGTAGTATTATCGGTCATTTTATTTCGGCAACTCGTGGTGTATTTGAACTCTATGGCTACGTTTCAGGTCTTTTCCCGGCCGCAACTTCCGTCGTCGTGAGATGGCAAAATGATAGGCAATAATAAGCTGGGGCCAAAGTCTTGCTTTTCACCCGTGTCACAGTTGACACCCTGCCTTTGATCATTGACTTCGTTTTCAGCAGCAAATCTATATGAACGGCATTCTGTAACATAGAAGAAGGTGCTGATTAGCCATAAATTCACCCAAACGTAGAGTCTGCTAGGGGCTGGGTGCACGTAGAAGGACAAGGTAGGTAGCAAGGTGCTCATACCACAGACATCAAACCTCTCTCCTTTGGCCAAGAACGCAATAAAGCCGCGATGCGTCACCAAGAATATGTTCTTATGAGAACGAGATAGTTCCTTGAGGCGCCCCCGAACTGTCTCAGCACGCACGACAGCGCCGTCGAAACTATGAGGCGAGTAATCCCACTCTTCGTGACAGGTGGAGAAATCGAACTGTGCAAATTTACTAGCAATTTCAGCACGCGACAACCCTTTATTGCAAATGGCCTCGTCGTGGGTTTCGCGCAGGTCCGGCCAGACCTGGAGCTCGACGTTGGTGGAAGAGCTGCTGAGATATTGGTCGAAAATAATAAGAGCTGTCTGGATGGTACGAGTCATTGGAGACAAGATTATAAGGTCAGGCTCAGCTGGTAGGCAGACGCTACTCGCTTGTTGAGATCCGACTTCAGTCAGAGGGGGATCTCGGTGGGGGTAACCCCGATCAACACTGAATGCAGAATTAGATCTCGACTGCTTTATGGGATTCCTGGTTTCTCTTTAATGCTTACTTGTGAAGGGCTTGCCCGTGTCGCACGATATGTATCGTCGCCATGTTGCACTAAAAGTCGATGCTGAAGGTGAGAGAAGAGGAAATTGCAGCATATTTGGACGTAGGTAAAATGTCGCCAACTGGCGGTACCCCGAGCGTTGGGGAAGATGTGCCGCTTAAGAAGAATATCCGCGTACATGTATGCTAGCTTGGAAACTCCTGCTTTGATGTAAGCACGAGAGCAAAGGCCATTCTGGGCATGGAAAAAAAGAAGAGCCAAAACACAGGCAAATTTCGATTGGCCTCCATAAAATAATTACCTAGGTATGAAGCGTCATGATCACACGAGATTCGACGGAGTAAGTCTGATCTAGGTTCAAGTGCTACGCTGTTCACTTGATGTACCTATAATAATTTAGGCCTTTAAGTGGGCTAAAGATTTCTGACACGATTCTATCGTCTCGCTGCTGCTGATTAAAAGTGACCCTCAATTCTGGTCTTGAAGCAGCGGGCTTTTAAGAAAATGGCATGCTAACAAGATATCACCCGTCCAGTCATTCTAGTTACGAACGTTTAAATAGATGATGGGTAGAGTTCTGCCACGCATCGTTTGTGTGGCCTATGAATGGATACTAATGAGTTTAAAAGCAACGCCCTGTAGTGCCTTAATCCGCATTTACACTGCGTTCTTGTGTTTTGTTCTTCTCTTCGCCTGCCTCTTTGCCCTCAATAGCATCTGTAATTGAGACAATCCCTAGCTTGACAGCTTCAGAGGTTGTGAAGGCCCCGTATACATCTACCTCATCTTGCTTACCATAGCCCTCCACTGGGAAGAGTTTATTTAGTATGTAGAAGACAATTGAACTGATGAAGAACCCTGTATCGCTGAGAGTTAGTACATTATCCTTCTCTTGTGTCGAATAGAGAGAACACCTACCGATCAGGAAAGCCATGTAGAACAACTGGTATACTGCCCTAGGCGCATTATCTGCCCCATTTGACGTGACAACCAGGCCGCCGATTGTCGGCGCCCATCCACACAGCCAAGCTGGGATGGCCCTCCAATTGATGCCGTGCCAGAACCAATATGAGGAATCATACGGTCTATACAAATGGCTGACTTGGATCTTACGATGACGGAGCAAGAAGAAGTCCGTAGCCATAATGCCCATAATTGGTGAAAGGAAAACTGCGAAAGAACTTAGAACATTGATGAATGCCGAAGCGGTGTTGATCAGCTGCCATGGTTGTACCACCCAGATAGCCACGAACGTTATGATGGCGCCGCGACGAATGTTGATGTAATTCGGGAACAAACCAGCAAGGTCGATGCCTCCTGCGATTACGTTTCCACAGACATTCTGGAACATGGAGGTTAAAGCAAAGCCAAAAGAGAGGAAGAACACGCCCGCTCGGCTTTTAGAAGAGCCACGGCCGCTGTCCATCATGACCATCAAAAGATCAGGCGGATTCCAGTAAATATCGCCGTAGATCTTTTGGGCAGCGCTGGTAGTCACCAGGCCGCAGAAACAAACCAGCACTCCTACCACGACACCGGAGAGAAATGTCCCGCCAACGTAGTGCTTCCAATTTCGAGAGTACCGGGAAAAGTCGCTCCCATTTGTTAAGCCTGCAGCAAAATTTCCTATCATCTGATTTATGCCCATCATGATTAGCCAACTGGAGTCCCAGGAAGATGTTGTTGGAATCGTCTGCCCAGTTGTCCAGAGTGTACCGGCCCCTTTAGCAGTGGCAAGCGCCCAGATCATCATGGACAGCATACCAAGACCACAATACAAAGACGTCAGCTGAAATAGAAGCTTATACTTCTCGGGAGCAATGAGCAGGAATGGAGCAGAGAGAACCCAGAAGACGATGAATCCAACGAACTCGTATCCGGTTGCCGGCATGCTCTTGGGTAAAAAGTTGGGCATGGTGGCAAACGAGGGCCAAATAGCCGTGATACAGACGGCGGCTAGCTTGCCGCCAGTCCAGCATTGCACAGCTGACCAGATGAAATTGAGAAGAATTCGTTGTAGCAGTGGAATATACGACGCTCTTAGACCCCATGAGAAGCGATTCTGCACCGTAAAACCGACATGGTACTATTAAAAAGACTCATGTTAGCTCTTGCACATACAGATAACTTCCTGATACTTGTAATTGACTCGAAACTTACTTTAAGGCCGCACCATGCAATCACAACCGAAAACAGGAGTACCAACAGGGAGCCGACGACGATAACAAGCATAGACTGGCCAACCGAAAGTCCTTGCGCTACATAATGGATTAGTCCAGTCAGCTCTTGCTCCATCTAACAGTAGAGAACGTCAACCTACTCAAAAACGCATTGGGTGTCTGCCAGGTCGAAATACTCAAATAAGCCCCGTAACCAAAGTAATGAATCCACTCTGTAGGTTGTTAGCAGACATGTAATACTAACAAAAAGGCTTACATATTGTGACAGGAAAGACACTCTTACCCCAGGTACGGCGGTGGGCAGGCAAAGGAATGAGATCGCGGTTGCTCCACGAGTCGGTTTGCTCATGTTGACTTTCATCACCATGAAGGCGAACCGTCTCATTCAAGGATCTCAGACGACGCTTCAAGCTACCTTCCATGATCTAGGATTGGCAGAGTATGATATCGAGTGAAAGGGAGAGTTTAACAACCGGCGATTTCCAGACTTGTTATACAAGAAGGTGATGGTACCCGATCATCGGAGATTGATAAAAGTATGTAGATAAGGACCGGACCTTATCCCCTAGATTACTAGATGGCTGATAGCTAGAGGCGAGACTAAAGGGAGGGATATTGCGATATCTCATCAAGATGTTCATCTTGCGGGGTAGCCAGAATCTGGGGAAATAGTCATCTCTAGATCAAGATTGGCATTGTTACATGTGGTATGTGTTACCGAGGGTATTGTCGGCTTAACAAGAGGCCATCTGGATAAGTTGAGTAACAAGTTGGAGGTCGATGTTCATATCGACATGCCTACTCCTTCGGCTAAACTTTTCCAAACATTATCTGGATGGAAAACTAGGACAAAGACGAGTAGAGAAGCTATTTTTTAGGATAAATTAGTAAACACCATTGGATGCTAATAAGATTACATTTATAATATATTCTGATAGGCAAAGGCTTGTTGGATAAAATGTGATATCAATATTTGCCTGAACATATCTATCTCTGTTGAGTCAAGTAGCTCATTTGGATTGTCGCAGAAACTAACCGTCACTGGATAATGTAGCGCCTAAACAGGCGCCTTCCTCAGATGAGGTTCTAGTATAGAATGCCGAGCACTAGCCCAGAGCTTATCACTGAAGACATGAGTCAGGTGTTGTTGGACGATTACCCTTGGCAGAGTTGACGTCTATCTCACTTTCAAGGCCGAAGACCAGAATTCTCTACTATTGAGCAAGAAGTTGCCGGACTTATACGATCCAGTAGCCTTAGCGCTTGCGCTATGTTATCAGACAAGGGAGCGTTACTTTGTCGAGCTAGAATATGAACACCCAAACTGCGGGGGTGGATACACGTTGGGAAGCTTTACGAGATTGCCCCTTGTTTAGCATCTCCCACCTTGATCGGCACGGCCTTCCTAACTTGGTGATGCCACTTATAAAGCCATATGATCGGGGAACTTATTATCTCTACTTGGCATATCAAGCCCCGAAAAGCTAACACCGCATGAGACATATTGTCTATCGAAATTTACCCTTCAGGTGAGTGGATCTATCCCGTAGGGCAGATTCGTACAGCTCACTAAAGCGCCATCAAAAGTGAAACTCTACGACAGCATTTAGATTGACTCGGCGCGAATCATCCGATTTCATTTTATCTAGCTCCATAATAGTCCCCAAGGCCGGAAAGTAAAGGGTCAAGAAAAATTGCTTTGTGCGAATAGTTGATGTAATGTTACCCATAAGTCCTGAGGCAATGCAGGACGAAAAACAGAAACTCCTCTCTTCCCATCATCTTCTCTGGATCTATCAGCTTCTTTAGATCTATCTCCTCCTAGTCTTCATTGTTCGATTCTACTTCAGTATGGGATCTCTCCCATCTACTAAGCATCTTCGCGTTGGCGTTGATGTCGGTGGCACAAACACCGACGGAGTTGTGATCGACCCCTCAAGAGTATCGGAGCCTGATAAGGGTATTCTGGCATGGCACAAAGCAGCAACAACAACAAACCCTAGCGACGGCATTAACAATGCTATCACCACAATGTTCGCTGCGGCCAACATCAATCCAAATGATGTCGCCAGCGTGACAATTGGAACAACACACTTTGTCAACGCTGTCATGGAACGAGATGCTAACCGGCTCTCGAAAGTAGCTGTCATCCGTCTGTCAGGGCCATTCGGGAAACACGCGCCCCCGTGCGTGGATTGGCCGGATGATATGCGTGAACTTATCCTCGGCTATTACGCTCTCGCTAAGGGTGGCCTAGAAGTTGATGGATCTTTAATCAGCGACATTGACGAGGCCGAGATTAGATCCTGCTGTCAAGAGATCAAGGACAGCGGGATTAAGAGCATTGTTGTGAACGGTGTTTTTAGCCCTATTGATACAGTTGAGCGACAGGAAGAGCGTGCAGCTAAGATCATTAGAGATGAGATCCCTGGCTGCGACGTCGTGTGCTCTAATGAAGTTGCGAACCTCGGTTTCCTGGAGCGAGAGAACGCAGCAGTCCTGAACGCGTCAATTCTGAGCTTTGCAAGAAAGACAATCCGATCTTTCCAAGAGCCAGTGAAGAAACTTGGTCTCGAATGCCCAGTCTTTATTACACAGAATGACGGGACGCTTCTCTCTGGAGAGATGGCCGCCCGCCTTCCAATCAGAACCTTCTCCAGCGGTCCGACTAATAGTATGAGAGGAGCAGCTTTTCTAGTGGGAGAAGAGCTAAATGAGGCTATCATGGTTGTTGACATCGGTGGTACAACTTCAGATGTTGGTCTCTTGTTAGCAAACGGATTTCCGAGACAGCAAGCGGCATATAGCGACCTAGCGGGAGTTCGGATGAACTTTTCGTGCCCCGACGTCAAGAGCATTGCGCTAGGTGGTGGCTCCATCGTTCGCAAGGGCGATTGCATGACCATTGGCCCCGATAGTGTTGGCTACAAGTTAATTAAGGAAGCCGTTGTGTTCGGTGGTCAGGTTCTCACGACGACAGACTGCGCTGTGTTGTCCGATCCGACCATGACTGTCGGCAATCGAGACTTGGTCAACAGGGCTCTGACAGATGAAGAGATGGTAAGATTCAAGTCAATTGTCAAACATAAGTTAGAGAAGGTCATCGACATAATGAAGACCTCTCCTGGCGATGTTCCTGTACTCCTTGTAGGAGGCGGAGCGATTATTGCACCCGATGTACTGGAGGGCGCAAGTAAGGTTATCAAACCTAAGTTTGCCGAGGTTGCCAACGCCATCGGGGCAGCAACTGCTCGTGTAAGCGCCGTTGTTGATACGGTGAAATCGACAGAGTCAAAGACTACGGCACAATTATTAGAGGAAATATCTGCTGAGGCGGTTGGTAAAGCCGTGGCTGCTGGTGCTTTGGCAGATTCTGTTACGATTGCTGAAATCGAAACAATTCCCCTGCAGGTAAGCTTAACACACTCTCTCTTTTCTGTTCTATCACAAGGTATAAGTTGGGCAATGGGACATTCGATAGAAAGCTTGAGGCTGACATCAATCCCAGTATATCGCTAACAGGTCAAGGTTCATCGTTCGTGCCGCAGGCGATTTTGACTACTCCAGGACAGACTTGGCCACAATACCTGCTACTAGCAAAGACGTGGAAGAGTTGGGGATGGTGTATACGAGCAAACGGCCAAGGCAAAGGTCGAAAAAGCTACGTCTGAGTTTCAGAGTGAAGCCGACTTACTCGCCTATCGGCCTGATGTTCGAGAGCGAGTCTGGTTCGTCAATGAAACAGACTTAGGTTGGATCTCTACCGGCTGCTATATTCTCGGCACCGGTGGTGGAGGATCTCCATATCCTGACATGATTCGCCTTCGTCAGTTGCTTCGGGCGGGCGCCGTGGTTCGGGTTGTCAATCCCTACGACCTTGCAGATGATGCTTCGGTAGGCTGTGGTGGTGGAATGGGCAGTCCAACCGTTGGTATTGAGAAGCTACCAGGAGATGAAATGATGGAGGCTCAGACTGAGCTTTACAAGATCTGTGAGAAGCGCCCAACGCATATGATTGCCTTGGAGATTGGCGGAGGAAACGGCTTACAGGGAATGATTCTCGGAGCAAGCCTTAATATGGACATTCCCTGTGTCGATGGCGATTGGATGGGCAGAGCTTACCCCGAAAAGAACCAGACAACACCCGTCGTCTTTAACGAGAGATGCCCAATTTGGTCTCCCGTAGCCATGTCGGACGGAAATGGAAATGTGGTGCTTATTCCGAAAGCGACGTCGGATCTGCAAGTAGAGCGCGTACTACGTGCTGGCTTGAGCCAGATGGGCTCGCAGACCGGCTGTGCAGACTCTCCCGTGACAGGCGCCGAGATGAAAAGATGGGTTGTCCAGCATACCATATCCCTCGCTTGGAGGATTGGAAGGGCAGTAAGCAGAGCCCGATTGACAAACCGTGTCGATAATGTTGCGGAGACGATTATCCATGAGTGTGGAGGACCTCAAGCAGCCAGGGTCATTTGGAAGGGCAAGATAATCGGCGTTGAACGAACGCTCCGTATGGGGCACGTTTATGGAGAATGCATCATCGAAGGAGCCGACATCGTTGAGCGTGACGACCCCTCACAAGAGAGCCAGGCGCAATTCAAGGGTTATATCAAGATCCCCTTTAAGAACGAAAACATCGCAGCGGTTAAAATGGCATCGATAAAAGATGTATTACGAACGGAGAAGCAAGAAGATGTTCTGGCGATTGTTCCAGATTTAATATCTGTGATTGATGCTCAGAGTGGCGAGGCTATCGGAAGTAAGTATCTCAATCATCTGCTGAATTAAAATTGAACGTAAACTAATCAGTCATAGCACCGGAGTATAGATACGGCTTGCTTGTGATTGTTCTTGGAATAGCAGCCAGCGACAAATGGACCGGCACTCAGAGAGGTATTGATATCGGTGGACCGAAGGGCCTGGCCATGCCGCATCTAGAGTATGAACCCCTTGGAAAGTTTGTTACGCCGGTGAGCGTCATAGACGAGTTTGATCATAAATAGAAGTCTTGCTGTGAATTCATACTGGACTTGTGCTTGGATAGTAACAGCAACAGTCACGAGGTTATGAAGATTATGGCACAGCCCAACATGAGCACGGTCCAGACTGTCCACTCTATGAGTCGATGGTCCCTCTTCTCAATTGTGAAGTCCCGCAGGTCTACACCTGCTTGGAAGTGCACTTCATAGCCAACGTGAGCGTTTTTTTATTGTGCAGCTGACTTTGCCGGTGACAAAGCTGTCGTTATGCCGTTGTTTGCACCCGCCCGATTAACTCTCTTAGCGGCCACATCAAATTCCCGCGTGGTCTTCGATCAACCTCTTATGAATACCTTGGGCGCCTTGGTTCCTTCCTTTATTCTTCCGCTGGCTTCAGCTTTGAACTGGACATATTTTCGACCTCTGGTTACTCGGACGATGCAGATCCCCACACTTCTACTCACAGATGGCAATGCTATCCCCAAGGTAACTACGACTTGTCTCGCCATATCCGGAAGCGATGCTAAGACAAACCTTTCAGCTTGGATTCGGCACTGGGACTGCTTGGTATAAGAACAGCCCAGAAGATCCTCTGAGCCCTCAGCTCGTTGAACTGCTGAAAGCCGCCCTTCTACAAGGCTATGTACATATTGACACTGCAGACTCATACGGAACTGAGCGAGAAGTTGGCCTAGCAATACAACAAAGCAAAATTCCACGAGAGAAGCTCTTCGTCACTACCAAGGTTCAGGACGGGTGGAAAGATGTTCCGGTAGCTTTGGACGCCAGCCTCAAGAAACTCGGGTTGGAATACGTGGATTTGTAAGACCTCTCATCTGGTGGAAAGTATACCTTACTCACAAACTAGCAGGTACCTTTTGCACAACCCGTACGTAACCGGCTCCAACGAAGGTATACAAGCAGCATGGAAGGGACTCGAGATCGTCAAAGAGCAAGGAAAAGCCAAGTCTATTGGCATTTCCAACTTCCAACGGCATCACATAGAAGCCCTTCTCGAGACATGCACTGTCAAACCGGTCATTAATCAGCTAGAATTCCATCCTTATCTCCAGCGCTCCAACGACTTCGTGCCTTGGATGCGCGAACATGGCATTGAGGTATCGGCCTTCAAAAGTTTGGCGCCAATCACTGTGGGCAAAGGAGGACCTCTAGACGATCTTCTTCCGTCACTCGCAAGCAAGTATAAGGTGTCGGAATCAGTAGTATTGCTGAGCCGGTGCATTGGACAAAATGTTGTCCCTATCACTACAACGTCTAGCCTGTCTCGCCTTGACGAGTACAAAATTGCCACTGAAACAGAGTTGGAACCGGCAGACGTTGAGGAAATCAGCCACGAGGGGTCCAAGCATCACTTTAGATGGTGGGGAAAGGAGTTTTTCGGACCTGATGATAGATCTTAGAAGCTCTAGACAAGAGTAGAGGGAGAATGGAACAATGAATCCACTGTCGTCTGGAACTGGTCGTTCCTATGTGTGATTCCGCGTACTTGGCGACTTTTTTCTCAAAGTGATAACCCAAAACATGGCCCTAGTACTTTACCAACCTTTGCTTGACCAATCAATCGTTGATATTACCGAGATATCCAAGTAATGACAGCAAAAGACGAACAGCATAGCCGAATCTGCGACGTGGCAAAATGGCCTGCTCAGCTTGGGAGCCATCCTGCCCCGAGCAGCAGTCAGGATGAATGGCAGACATTTGCGAATTTCCCTTAATATTTTATCAACTTCCCCTGAAACTTAGTAATCGTAGTGAATGATGAATATTAGGTGAGCAAAGGGCAAAAAGTATACAACGGTGGTCTATAAATTGATACCTCAGCACCTAAATGCGCATCGCGCTTGGTTGAACTTGAGGATGCTATCGGACACTGAAAGCTTCCCATGTTGTATGCAGAGCCAATGAATGTTAGAATGGGAAACCCGTCGAGCACACCTGCAGAATTGTTGGGTCTTGCAGCATTCCTAACCTGAGGCTTTGACCATCAAAGCCGCAGAATTTTTGTATCCGCGAGGGGTTCATCTGTGCTCATTTTTCCTCTCTATAGACCTCAATGATCGTACGTATGACCTTTATCGCCTTTGTAGTCTAATACATGCAAGATCCGGACACCAGGCAGGTCAATTTGCAGGTATTTGCGTGGACGTACTGTGGACGTCTTCCGACCTGTAACAACATCTATCAGTGCGATCAGTTAATCAGCGAATACTTGCAATATGGCAGAATCGGAAGCAAGTACTTTCCCATAAGTTTGACCGATTATGCTTCGGACCGATGCTAACGATGAAAGTCAGGAAACTTCGGAACAAGTAATGCTCCCGAAGGCGGAAGACTCATGGCACAATTCACTGGAACAACGTCAACAAATTCTTGACAACGAAGATGACCTTGAGAAAATGGATTCCATTCACAATATCTTAGTAGTATTGAGAGCTTCCTTCCCCAAGAACGATGGAGCGAATCATTTTTATTCCCAATGGAACCGATGCGCTGCACTTCATCATCACATTCAGGCTCTAAAAGACAAAGTGGTTGCCTTGAAAGCCACAGAGCCAATCGACAATGATGATCAGGAGTTATATACTGAGCTTATTCTTAATGACATTTGGTGTGTTTTGTTTGGCAAGGAAACTGTTTGCATTATTCTAATTGAATTCCAGGTATATGATAGAGATCCAACAGTTTTTGGAGGCCGAACGCTCTCTCTTGTCACTTTTAGAGACCGCGGAGAATGAGTCCGAATTGGCTGCCAAAGTCCACCGAAACCTATTAGGGCTTTATGAGAGAACTGGCCGCAGCATTCTTGCTAAAAGTTCTGCGTCCTCGGAGTGGGCCATTGTTGGTAGCAATTCGCGAGATATGAGCAACAATGCTGCTAATGCCTGGAGCAATATGGGCTACACAAGAGTTTCTGCCTTCGAGGCCTCAGACGGGGTATTCTATCTTGACAAAGCGATTTCGATAGCTAAGGATGTACCTGAGCCGAGCCGCTACCAACAGTTTAACCTTGACCGCTTTTTACGAAATAGAGGACGCGCATACCAGCAAATGCGCCGTTTTGAAGACACCTTACGTGACTTTGATGAGGCGGAAGAATATCAGAAGAAGATCCATGGACCAAACAGTCACTATTATGGAGAGTGAGTTGGCGCTCCTTCCGACTTTTTTTTGTTTTCTTTTTTGATACGTAAAATTATTAACGTACACGATCTTTCGACCCATCTAGAACTCAATATGAGCGTGCCAAAATTGAAGCCTGGCGTGGTAATCTTGAAGAAGCATACTCGCTCGCCACAAAAGCTCACGATCTGGTATCTGCAGGCAAACCTACTCACGCAAGTGTGATGGCTGCACAGTACCGGCTGGGATGGATTGCTATGCTCCAAGGCAAAAATGACCTTGCGTTGCAACACTTTGAGAAATCGCTAGTTATTTCGAGGATGAATGAGCAGCATAGAGGGAACTCGGGCGAGTCGGCGAGAATTCAATGGCGTATGTCACAAGCTTTGGAGCGCATGGGCAGAGAAGAAAATGCCCTGAGTCTTTGGGAGGCCGCTGTAAAGGTCAAAACCAGTCTGCTTGCTACCGGCGACTATGCTCAAGTTGAAGACGAAGACGATTCTTGGGATGCGCTAGTCGGGTTGCTATATCGTTGAACGACAGGAAAATGCCATTTATTGAATCCCTTGATACTTGCTATGCATTTCAACCAGACTTGCATCAGAAAACCTCATCGCGGCGCTGTCGTGTTGTTTTTCATCCTGGGTATTGATCCCAGTTGTAGTGGTCACGTAGATTGGTGGCCACTTGGTATGTGATCTGACTTGATACCCTTTCGCAAGAACACCACAAAGTCGTCCACACCCTGTGGCTCATTGAACCAGTGACCTCCGCTTTCGTATGCATGAAAAACTACGCTGAGACCAAGGTTGTCAATGAAATCCCGCAGAAGTAAGCCGCTTTGAACCCTGATAATGTCGTCGTCTTGGCAATGCTCAAGAAGAATTGGTGTCGACATTAGCTGCTGTGGTGATAAAAACATTTGCTGTCTATCGTCACCAAGATATAATCGCTGCATGGCCGCTAGCTTTTGACCAGTTTCATCGTCGACGAGCTCGAGAGCCGATGCAGCCTGATTAGCCAGCGGTAGCCAAGTGGAAAACCCGCATAAACCAGCGAAACCTCCTCTACCATCGGCAAAAAATGCGGCCAAAGCACTGGGAGAGAAGAACTTGTCAATAAGATTCTGTGAGTTCGATTAAAAAATTGGCCTTACGTTGCAAAGCCTTGGCTAATTCCACCCAGGAAGATATTGCTTCTTGGCACAAGCAACTCCTCCTGTTCGATCAATTCAGCGATCATATTGACACTCGATCGCAAGCCCGGGACTTGCATCTCGGCTCGCTCCTGTTGATCTTCCACACTCCACATATCGAACCATTGGGACATTTCGACCCTGAAGCGCTCGGAGCGAAGGGGGTTGGCTTGTGGAAATACCCATCGGACTGTAGGGAATAAGTCCGGCAGCGTCTGCTCTGTTCCTGTGGCCTCACATTCGAAAAACTCAGAGGCAAACTCCTGTGCTTCGCTATCACGGCCATGCAACAGGATAATAGTGTGGGTGTGGCCCGTAGCGGGGCCAACGACGAATGGCGAGGCAACCATTTTAGTAAAGAAGAGAGAAATCTGATATCCGATGCAGAAGCTGTATAGACTCTTGGTCTATAGGACAAATGGGTTGCTAGAAGGCAGCTGAAAATGTTGATGGATAATTTTTGCAAAAGATGAGTTAGAGAGAAGATTGCGCGCTTACACGTAAATCGTTCTCTCTGACTCACTAACCCAACTTTATCTTTGCCTCAAACTTTGAGGCTTGAATGTATGAGCTACCTGAGGTATCTACCTATAGTACCTTATACTAGACTTTACCACTTAAGTATATGAGTTTTTAATGGTCGCATGCAACTTAAAAAAAAGGCAGCGAGATTTGAGCCATATATGTGTTCCATTATTCATTGAAGCGCGACAAGTCCCTATCTCCTAGTACCTAAAGAATAATCGCCGTCTGAGCTTCCGAAGCCATCTTGATTTCCGGCACCCTCATACATACTTTGAACGCTCTGCTGCACCCAGTTCTGGCTACCTTGTTGCTGCTGTTGGTATGGTATAGGGGTTGACCGAGGAAGTTCTCTGGATCTATTCTCATCCTCACTAGCTCCAAATGGCTTTCCAGACTGGGAGTCCCATGATCGCCTTCCTGGCAATTCCTCTTGGACATGAATCTGAGGGTTATTGGAATGCATCGGCTGAGGCATCGCCATGTTGGGATTCTGGTGCGATGGAGGTTGTTGCTCGTAGAACTGGTTGGGGGGAAAGCCATGATGCTGTGATTGTTGCGGGAAGCTTTGCTGCTGAAAATTGGGTGGGCGGAATCCTTGTTGAGATGGTGGGTACCGTTGAGAAGTTGCTTGTGACTGATTCTGTACCCCAAGCATGAATGAAGATTTGTCCATTAGGTTGATGTTGCGTTCAAGCTCCCACAAAGCTCGGAGTCTCGCTTCTTTTGCCCTCCTAGCAGCGTTTGTGCCATATAGATCGTTCATATACTTGGCAAACTCAAGGTATGCGTCTTGTACCACACTAAAGTGTCGCACTTCGAGCTTTATGGCAGCGTTGGGTATCTGAACGGCCTTGTGGTTGTTCCCTTGTGCCTCAAACTCAGCCAGTGCCAGTGCTGTTTGGCAGGCGTTGCGGATTTGTCGGCCATTCCAGCGCGCATGCTCGTGTTTCATAAAGTGCTCGCCCGCGAACATGCAGATGTCCGTCTTGTCTAACTGAATCGTCTTTCCTTTCTGGGCTATACGCTTTTCGATCATTTCCAGATTAAGCTTGAACACTTGGATTGTCTTCTTGTGGTCAAGCTCAGGGTAATATAGGCTGACGTGAATTCGTGATGTGAATGCTTCGTCAAAGTCGCCGACGCGGTTCGTTGTCAAGAACAAAATACCATTGTAATACTCTAGAGTGCGAAGAAAGACTGATGCAAATTGTTAGGCATCTGGTCCTTGAGCTGTTTGCTGCGGATGGTAAACTCACCGGCTACAAGTCCATTTCTCACATAGTCTTCCCTAGTCCTCTCGGCGAGGAAGATGTCTGCTTCATCAAGTAGCAAGATACATCCCCACTTGCTTGCCATTGCGAAGTTCGTCTCTAACGCCTCTTCAACTTCTCGTGCTGTTGACCCAAGGTCACCTATGTAGTAGAAAATACATGTCAACATCGTTGAAGAAGTTTACCAAAGCTTGGTAACAAGTTTTCTTACCACAAGTGATCTGTAGCAGGGGTTTCTGAAACAGCTCCGCGACACCCTCTGATAAGCGACAATTGTCAGTACATATCTCGAGTCTGAAAACAAAGGGAAGTTACGAACCAGCTGTAGATGTTTTTCCTACTCCAGGGGCGCCATGGAGGAGTAGAATAAGACCCTTTCCTATTGGGGTATGAGCAATAGATCTCCCAATTCTGCGAATGGGTTGAGATTACTCACCTTTCCCTTTAACAATGTCAAATTCTTCTTTCTGTGACCTCGACGATGCCTTTTCACGGAAATGCTGCGAGATAAGCGACACAATCATATTCCGATGCCCTTCTTCAAGGACAAGGCGGTCAAGAGCAGTACTGGGTTCCGCCTCGTCAGTATTTGGCTCGACTGCCGAATTGTCTCCTATCTCGATGGGGATTGAAGAGTGAACATCGGTAATATAGGAGAGATCCAATTTTGCTAAATATGCCATAATTAGAGCAGCCACCTTGCTGAGCATTCCATTAAGCCACATACCCCATTTTCGACTTCGAAGAACAAAGCCAAATACTCTGTGAGTCATAATGACAAGCTCATCATTTGAAATGGAACCCACGCCGCTTGTATCGGCTTGCACCTCTTTCAAGGGCCGTGGTGAAATTGCAACCGAGGAGTGATCGTCGATAGCGCGCGTTTTTGGTACAAGGCTTTCGATATATTCGGTTGCCTCCTTCTGATCGATAAACGTGTCGTCATATACAAATTCTCCGTAGCAGCATGGTCCGTGACAAGTCTTTTGTCCTAGGTCTCCCTTGGAGCCTTTATCCGCGGGATCTGTGAGTTTAGTAATAACACTGCGTATTTCTGGTTTCCATTTTTCCTTGTCTCGAGGGATTGGCTTGGTTGGATCATCGGGGGCATCTATAGATGAGGGGATATCGAAGTCGATGACTACTTGGCTCTCAACCTCGTCTCGCGCTCCTAAAGTCAGACCAGAATAGTACATGTGTTTCATCGGGATCACGCTCATAAACTTTGCACCCCGATTGATGAGCTTTTGGCGAAATCTTTCGCCACTTGGAAGTTCTTGAACTTGATCCCATTCCGAATCACTAAAGTCTGCTCGTTTTGTTCGATGAAATCGAAGTGGATAGACTTCGAATGAGGTAACTTCTTTCTCCCCCTCAAAAACTTTGATTGAGAACTGTACATATACCGGTCCCAAGTTAGTGCCATCAAAGTCGATGTACACACAATCTATAAGGAACGATGTGCTTCGTTTCTGAGCAGCAATATTATCCCACCAAGATCTGGTGTTGACAAACCGATGGGCTGCGCTACTGGTTCTTATGACCCTGTAAGCCTGTTTACCATCGGCCCTAATTACTTCTGTACCTGGCCGGAAAAGATGCCAGAGGTCGGAGTAGAAGGCTTTGTGATTTTCAACTCCATCGAGGGCGGATTTTCTGGCCAATATGTCCGAATCGATGAATTTGAGGATGCACTCTAAGTGACCCAGTGCTTTCAGCGAATCTGCGTCACTTTGTGCGTTTCCTTCTTTCTGCTCTTCTTTTTTCTGTTTAGCCTCGTCTGACGATGGCGTATTTAGTTCGTCTATTAAAGACTCTGAAGTCAAATCTTTCCCAAGGTGTTCATCGCCCACTGGAACTGATGGTACAGCGGTCTCTTGGACAGTTTGTTGTGGGGAAACAGGAGATGTGTCGCTGACGACTGTGTCTTCTTTCGTGAGAGCTGGCACCTTATTATGCTTCTTTTCCAACTCTGCATGCCACTGACGGAGGGTAGGCTCGCAATAGGTGATAGCTTTGAATGGCCTTGTAAAGATCACCGATACAGATCCTTCTCCGGTATCATCTAATGATTGTCCGTCTGATCCAAGAATCTTGGCCATGGCCTTCCTCAAAATGGTGGAATTGATCCTTATTCTCTCCGGCAATTGTACCAATCCGGCCGCGACGTCTTGTGCGAATTTGCCGTCTCTGAGCCAGTCTGGTTTCTGATGTTGGCGGGGCTGAGAGTCAAACCAATTTAGAGATTGACCGAGATTACTATCTTCAATAATAGGCTCTCCGATGAGAACGTCAATAGCATATGCGTCCTTCTCCAATGAATTTGCGAGTGGCTTGAATCCAGGCCAGTCTAAACGCTTTATTTCTGGCGCGGCATAAAACATGAGACTCGTCTCGTCCATAGCCTCGGGATCATCGCCATGGGAATGCTGCATTTTCAGGTTCGAGGCGTGTGTGTCCGATGCTTTTGGCTTATGCAATACACTGCCTTGCCGTCGACGCTCCATTTCTTCTGCTAAGAATAGACGGTCCAGATCCCACTCGAAATTTTTACGAAGCCTTTCTCGACGATATCCGTAATCAATCGTTCGATCATACTCGTCATACTCAGTTTTGTTTTGCTTATCGTGGCCTGCTTCACAGACGTGATAGCGATCGAAGGGATCTGGTCTTTCATATTTCTTGTCGGACTGAACTTCCCACAGATACCTCCACGGTCCATACTGGCCAATTTGCTCCCTCCATTCAGGCCTATCGCTGAATTCATTCATGCTCCATGTGGCCGGTCCACCGTCTGATTCCCATTCTTTCCGATGAAGATACAAGCATTCCTCCATCCGCTTATATCGCTCTAGGTTGGCCATCACTTTTGGCTGATTGTTTCCCGGTTTAATCCCTGCATCTGCCGTGTTTTGGGTCAAAGATGGCGTTGGCGCATCATTCTGGGTTCGCATCTCAAGCTCAGCAATCCGCAACTTAAGAGCTTCAATCTCACTAGTCGAGTTTCCAGAAGTCTGAGTTGTAGTTGCCTCTCCATCTGTTTTTGAACCGAGAGAGAAACGTGGTGCTTCGTCGATGTCATCCTGAGTATCTACACCCAAAAAAGAGGGTGGCACAGGTTGCGGATTTTCCCTCATATTGAACACAGCGCGGTTACAGTATCAATAGAACTTCTTCTACCGCTAAGGAAAAAGGTATTAAGTCTTCTTTGGTTTAGAGAAGAATAAAATACACTCCAACCAATGGATCGCAACTACTATTAAAGCATTAACAACGGCGTCAATAGATGTAATACGGGGCATCGGTCTTTCGGCATCAACTGCGGAGGCGGCGCGTATCTACTTCGAGCTGCGTTCCCAGAGCCTCATTATGCATGCAGCAGGGAACCAATATCTGACATGGATGCACTAAAAATATATGAGGCCAGCGTTATTTCGTCCAACCAACGAGTAGTTCGTCCATAATGTGGATAACAGGCAGCAGGTTTCGCCTCATTGATCTCCCCATGGAGTAAGTTCGCCTCGAGAGGAGGCACCCAAAATGCAACATTAGCTGCATACTTGTGGGAGTCCTAAAGAATCCTTCGATACTAAGAAGTACACGTGGACAATCTGTGTCGTTTGTTTGCATTTAGGCTGGCGATCCTGCCCCTCATTTGCCATGTCTGGCTCGTTTGATTGACGACAATATGGTACGAGGCGTTGCTCGGCAGTGTTACATAGATAGGCATATTCACACCTAATGTCTCTCTAGAGATAGCTGATCCAAACAAGAAAGCGATTACCCGTTAGGATTGGACCCATTCTCCGTATGACATCTTGAGTTATCACGAACAAAATCACCATAAATTACCTGAACGCTTAAATAATGCTGTCGTGATTTCGAAACCACTCGGCCATGCTAAAGCAGCAATACCCCAAAGCCCAGGACATGCCGAATAACGACCCATCATCAGATAGAACCTCTCGGCCAGCGGCTGTGGATTTCATCGATAATCGGCTACCAAAATATCACCCCGCCTTTATGAATTCTACATCACATTATGACACAGAGGTCGGGAAATATGTCCCCAATACCCAAGTCGCCGTTTCCACAGAGAGCAGCGGCGCCATCTCTCTGAGTAACTCATCCGAACCATTAGATTACGGCATTTCGTCTCCGAGGCCTAATTGGATAAATATCGAGGCGTTGAAGTATTGGAATGATCTCTTCCCCGCCGCCCTGAATAGACTCATATCAACATCGCCGGAGCCTAGTGGACGTTCAAAATCAGAGTATAGTATTCGACAAGGTAAAAATGATTGGAATGCCGTCTACAATGCACTTGAAAATGCAAAAGCCAAATATGAGCAGTCAAACAAGGTGGCAGGAATGTTGCGCAAGACTGGCGAGAACATTGCCCCTGTTGCGCAGGCACTAAAGATTGCTTCGAACATGGACCCTGGTAGCCCTTATTCAACACCTGTCTTAGGCGCTGTGAACATTTTCTTGGATGTAAGATCTAATATCCAACGCTCAACTAGTAGTAAGTGGAACTTGTCATTGATGCGTATTGACATAGGCCGTGAAAACTGCTGCAAACGTCCGCCAACAAGTTCTCGAAGAATTCAACGACATTATCCCAAAGATTTACGACATAGAGTTCTTTCTCGTTACATTTCCAGAGGATGTCCATATCTCAAGCGCATCACTCGATCTCACTGTGACTATACTTCTCGCAATTGAGCAGACCATCGGTTTCTTCATTAGTAATCGCTGTAAGTTTACATCAACTATTTTGTAAACGCAATTATAGAACTGACGTTTAGTTCTATGTGAGAAGTTGTCCGTGGTGTTAAAGCCATGGGGATGGGAGCCAGCTACGAAACAGATCTACTGAAGAGCCTGAAAACCATCAAAGCTAAAAGCAAAACACTATTAGAAGAAGCCGAAAAATCACAAATGCATAAATTCGATCGGCGTACGTATTATTATTTGTAAATCTCATTTTAAGAGTCCATCTAACAGCTAGGCTTCAATCAAGATTCCCAAAGAATGGAGAAGGGCCAACAGCAAGTACTACAAGGCCAGGCAGATTTACTTAATATTGTTCAGTCACTGCTCATAGACCATGAGAAGCAGAAGAAAGAAGCGCGGGAAAAAGATAATGAAATTCGACGAATGCATGGTGAGCTACGCCATCTCTTGTTTAAACCATTGTTTCTCAGAATAATAACATCGCATCACATGCAGTGAAACTTGAGCACTCCTTACAAACAATCACAACTCTCACTATCCAGAATGAAAACTTGCGCAGCATCTCGCCAATACAGAATAATATGTGGCTTCCACCACCTCATAGGCCGACACCAACCTATACATGGTATCTAAACCAAGATGCTCTGCGCTGGATGATTAAGATCCCGGACGCCGATCTCATTGATATCTCTTTCATTCAGAGCAGGAAGAGATCACTGTCTACTAAAGACATTGCGCAAGCCGAACAAATCGTCCATTCGCAGGTATTCCGCAACTGGATAGTATCTCCAAACTCGGCCAAACTGATGGTTCACTGGGATTTCCAGCCACCAAAGACGATCGCAGGCATCTCGCCTCTATCTCTATTTTGCAGTACCATAACACAAGGCCTACGAACCAAACAGCACATGCTATCCGTATTGTGGTTCTGTGGGCGACACATTGACACAAGCGAAGCTGGTGAGCATGTTGGCGGCCATTCTATGCTTGCGAGCATTATAGATCAGCTATTACGACAACATACATTTGACACGAGGTCATTGTCGAGTAGCTTCAATATGGCACGCTTGCAGCAGAACGACTATGATGAATTGCTAGGCCTGCTTGATTGGCTTGTAAAAGAATTACCGAATACAATGACGCTATTCTGCATCGTCGATGGTGTAGCGTTGTTTGAACGAGGGGAATATTGGGAGAGAAGTGCACCGGTATTTTTAAAGATGGTTAATTTGAGCAATGATCCGACTGTGCCAGCTGTTGTAAAAGTTTTGTTCACAAGTACGCCAGGAACTGATATGGTGAGAGGGGCATTTGAACAAGAGGATCTAATATTGGAGGCTGGCAACCTACTGAAGTGGGCGTCGGCGCCAAGTGAAGAGCGTATGGCACGCGTGCTGGGAGAATAGGAATGGTCGGATGAAGTTATCTAGCATCAAGGCGGGTGCAGTATACAATGGCGCAAAGTATGTTCCGCTCAATCTTACTGCTGATATTTGGAAGACGATATCTACACAAAAGAGTTCAATGCTACTATTTGCGCAAAATCGCATGCTTAGTCCTGAATTTGCCAAACACAATCGGCGTCAGGCATGTCTGCTGGAAGCTTTTCAAGGAACATGTCGCAACAGAATAGCAAGATGTAATTATTTATTTCCTTTCTGCCATGCTCTCAGAGTTGATTGCGTAGCTAGAGTTCTTGGATGATTTGCGCCCAGTATCATTTGCTGCAGATCATAGCAAGTCTGCATTAACCCTAGAGCATCTTCTTGACGATTCCTGTCTTTCCAAAGAACCGCAAGTTTTCTCATGTAATGCAACGTATCAGGGTGGTGAGTTCCAAGCTTCTTTTTACAAATCTCAACCAGCTGCAGCTGCAACTCCTCAGCCTCTTCCCACCGGTTTTGTCTTCTGTATGTTAATGCAAGGTTATTCATACCAATCAAAGTATCAGGATGACCAATCCCGAGCTCTGCCTTGAAACCTTCGATTGCGCGTAATTCCAGCTTTTCGGCTTCTATATGCCGGCCTTGGATCTTATATGTCGATGCTAGGTTAATCATGCTAATTAGTGTGTCTTGATGATCCGCTCCAAGTTTCGTCTTGAGGCCCTCAAGCACCTGTTCTTGCAGCTTTGCAGCTTTTTCCAATAAGCTTTGCTTCCGATACGTTAATGCTAGGTTGCCCATACTAATCAGTGTATCAGTATGATCAGCCCCCAATTTCTTCGTAAGGCCCTCCACCGCCCGTAGGTCTAGCTTCTCAGCCTCCTTCCATCGACCCTGTTTTCGGTAAGTTGCTGCTAGGTTACTCATGTTGTGTAGAGTCTTAGGGTGATCGTCCCCAAGCTTCGTCTTAAGATTCTCCGTCACTCGTTCCCATATACTTTCCGCTTCCTGATACCTCCCGTCATAATACAGGCATTTTGCATATTTCCGTAAAAGATCAAGTTTGCCTTTGTCGTCTTCGCTAATCAGCGGCGACCCGAGAACGTAATGTGCATGCGGCATACACGACCTCCACGTTCTTTTGTCGTAGTCAATGCTTCCCATATTCTTTGCCAATATTGCGATGGTTTTGCTGGCCCAATGAGAGAGTAGCCCTTCCTTCCGAAGCCAATTTCTCATTGCCAAGTGCACCAATCGATGGACAGTCACGGCCGAGCCAACAGACCGCTTGGCTATGAACGAGTATCCTTGCAACGTCCCCATCGCTTCCATCTCTTGTTTCCGCGATTGGCCCGGTGGAAGAAGCGATTGCGGTATGTCTTTTGCATCTACGCACGCCATAAAAGATAGATAGTCTGCCGCGAGAGGATCCCGATGGCGGATTTGCTCAAAGGATATAAGCCACGTAGTGGCTATAGGATTCTTCAAGTCGTGGTAACGACCATCGTCTTCAAAATCTTCGCTGAGAAGATCAATTACATCTTCTTCTTGCTCTTCTAGCAGCGACAGATAGTCACCCAAGGCGATACCGTTGGTATTAATATACACCGCGGCTTGGACAATGGCTAGTGGGAGGTACATGAGCTGGACGAGGAGGGCTTCCACATCTTGTTGACTAACAGGTTCCTGGTCAACTAGGCATTTCTCAAGAAGCTCCTTGCCATCCTCTTCGCTCATGGCAGATAATTCTACCACGTTCCGACCGGCGAGTCTGACTGCCGCCTTCTTGTCGCGCGTTGTGAAGATGATGGACCCGTGGACACTTTTCGGCATGTAGTCAATCAGACGACTGGATTCCTGTAAAGGCTGGTCAACCCACATGCCGATTTCGTCAGCATTATCGAACACCAAAAGCCACTGGCCTACACTCTCGCTGCTCAGGTGATTCTGCACAAGCCTTTTCACGTCTGCTTTTGCATCGTCATATCCGGAAATACCCAACTTCGCGGCGGCATTGCGATATGCTTGTCCCAAACTTTCCTTGCTGGTTGCCGGAATCCATATGACCGAGCAATTTTTATGGTCATTCTTAACTCGATAGACCAATTCAAGAGCGAGCTGCGTCTTGCCGACCCCGCCAAGTCCTGAGATTGCGACTTTCGCGGTATGCTGCCCCGGGAATAGCATCTGACGAAGCCTTTTTAGATCAGACTCGCGGCTGGTGAAAGAGGGATTCCGTTCAAACGGTACGATCCAAGTACAGTTCTCAGCTTTATACTATTAAATTATTAAGAATGATATGAGAGGGAGTGGAGGGCAACATACCTGTTTGGCTACTAGGACCATCGTCATGGCTCGTGGCATCGGCAATCTCCTTTTTGAGCCGACGAAGTGCATTTGTCTTCCCTTCGCCATATATCAACGGCATGAATATACCGAATATACCAAGAAGGCAATACGCCCAGTCTTCTTCGAGAGTGGTCTGTCGTGTCTCGGCCCATTTGAACCGTTCCTCAACGCTATACATTGAAAGGTCGTTTCCTCGGAGTGCTTGAACTCCAATATTTGTGATTTCTTGAATTTGCCGCTCAAGAGTCCTTTTGTCACCAAGTCGCAGGCCATTCTTTGCGAAGAACTCAACTGAGGCTGGTGCTAGAAGCTCTTGCAACGTCCAGCCTCGAGTAAACCATTTGCTTCTCCGAAGAGCCGACTCCCATATAGGCTGAGACTGCTGGCTATCGCTCTCTGACTCAGAGTCTGAGATGTCCGATAAATATGCATAGCATCGAGCTGCGTTCTGATACCAACGATACATGGAGTTGATTGCCTCGGCAAGCTCGGTATTATTTGCTTTGTCAATACAGCAAGTATCTACCCATATGTATCGTAGGCCATCACGTCTCGCTTGCGCCGCACAGAACCGGATCTTCTCGTAGCCAGTCTTCTCAATCCCAGTGCCGTCGACCAGGTCTCTAAACGTAACTTCTTGGGAATCTGAGTCCCATGTGTGCGATAGAATGGCATATCTAGGTATGGCACCAGCTGGCGCTTTTATCAGCCGAAACTGGCCGTTGTCGCAATCAAGCAGTCGCATTGTTCCAAGCGGGGTTTACAATCCAACGAGTTGCAATCGAAGTCGAGGGCACATGTGTTGCCAGTCCATATGTAGTGAATGATAACATAAATACATAACATGAAGACTGAGAGAAATGCATTGATAGAGCCTGCGGACAGGTCAAGAGAGACACAGCCAGTGCTGAAGATTCAGCAGCTGAACGGCGATGAAGCTGCGATCGCTGCCTTAAAAAATGGTCTCCCGTGCCTTGGGTGGTTGGTACGGTAGGGTTATTCGTTACTATGGACCTAGAAAAATAGACACTAATGCAGCATACGCATTTCATGCTTACCCTATTTGCCTATGTTGACAGGCTCCACTGAGTTTAGATCAAGCCAATGAACACACCATGGAAGCTGTCAGACAAGTTGTTCGAGTCTCTATGATGTGTGCAACTTGGTATGACTACCAATCAAGAAAATGATGGACTCGGGCGGTCAATAAATGGGAGACTAAGTTAAAGGGAAATGTTGTGAAGATACTGGACATTGAGGTAAAGGTGTAGGGAGTTATGCTCCCTAGGTAATTCCCTTTTCCCTTAAGAAAATATTCATCCCACCTCCCGCTATCTAAGATAGAACGGGTTTCTAGATGCCCATTCCTTACTTGATCAATGGCAAGGGTTCATTGCAATGGTACCGAGGTAGTACACCTACGAAGTCTTTGACACATCAATTTATCATACGCATATACATCATACATGTTGGTAAAATCTAGACCTAATGATATGAAAAAACAATTGATAGAGGATATCGAAATCCATGCCCTCTCCAGACCTAGTGCGCTATCAATCTGCATCCTTGAAACCACCACAGGCTTAATTACCTTTGCGGCCGCCACAAAAAGGTTAATTCATTAAAGTGTACGATATCCCGGGGCCACAATAAGCTAACTGTTGGTGCTCTGGTTGAGAAGCTTTTACAAGGTCGATCAGCGGAAGGCTGTACCATCCAGCGGAGTTATTGCAGGTACCATCTCTGTGTATATTAACTTGGTTTCCACTGGCTGCTCCTTTGAGTGCTACTATTGAAATGGAATTCTTATTAAGCCATGGTTTTGACGGTTTTCATTACTTGTACTTGTCGTACACAGAAGAGTGAAGATGTAAGAAAGTTGAGTGAGCAGTGACTCAGCCTTTGTCCAGCTAGGTGTATTATAAGGACTGTATTTATCTCTAAACCCTTTCAGAAACGAGAAACAACCCTTGTTTTGCATAATTCTGTCCAAGCCGCTATGGTTTGAAACTGGATGCTTCTTTTCATTTGTTCAACTTCTTCACTTCTAGGGACTACCTAACCCCTATGCTCGTCACAGTGATCTACAAAAAAGCGGCAATCGAATAATGGTACGAAGCTACGAAAACGATATTTTAGAAATCAATCAGGTCTTATGGAGCCGTCAATTAATTACTTTGTGCCTCATAGCTGATGCTCTTCTCATTATGGAAGGGTGAATATAATGCGCGGAACGTAACAATAACAATCAATCAGACTCATTATATTCTGATAACTTATTAAACCATTGTAATAGTCAAGTTATAAATAAACACTGCGGAGAATCGCGCAAATCATTTATATAGAGCTTTGCGGGGATTCTTGTTAAGAGTATTGCAAGGAAGCTTGGCGGAGAGTTTTGCTGAGAAGTCTCATAAAGGAGCCCGTATTGCGGAGAGTGTTGCGGAGAAGACTTGCGCGGAGTGCGATAGGAGAAGTCTTGCGGAGAGTTTGAGAAAACTCCACTACTAGAAGTTTAGCTAATGCTTATATAGCAACATGTCTCCATGTAAACTTCCTTTATATAAACCTTTCTGAACTTTCCAATTCTATCATTCATAAAATGTCTTGCACATTCAGCTTGCATCTATGAGAACCATCAATCAGCTGAAATACATTTACAGTACCTGAAAACATGGCGGCAACCGGTCAACCTCCCAAAGCAGATATGCCACACCAAATCGCCATTATAGGCGCTGGTCTGGTCGGGACCGCCTTAGCAACACAGCTTATTCATGCTGGCAACTATGTCAGTATTAGTAACTCCAGAGGTCCTGATAGCCTTCGTGATGTGGAGAGAACAACAGGTGCCAAAGCAATGGATACCAAGCGCGCAGTATCCGAAGCGGATGTCGTTATTCTCGCGGTGCCGATGAGCGGTATTCTGCCCTTGCAGCCGCTTTTACAATCATCTTTGCGACCCGCCACCATCTTGATTGATGCCTGCAACTATTATCCCACACGTGATGGGAACATCCAGCCGTTGGATGAAGGCATGGTAGAGAGTGTTTGGATGTCGAACACCTTCTCACACCCGGTTGTGAAGGCATTGAATAACATCGTTGCTCTCAACATTGCTTCCAGTGCGAACCCAAAGGGCTCTCCGAAAAGAGTAGCACTTCCTGTCTCAGGAGACGACGACAAGTCTGTGGCAGTTGTGATGGAACTGGTAGAAGCAATGGGATTCGACGCATTTAACGCAGGGCAACTAGCAGATTCGTGGCGACAGCAACCTGGACAGCCAGCTTATTGTACTGAGCCGAATCTGAAAGAACTAGTAAGTCTACTTAGTTCTGCAAACCGGGATGGTGTAAGCGCAAAACGAGACCAAGGGATGGCGCTTGCATAGAAATTACCACCAGATTTCCCTCCGCAGATCATGGTGAAGGTAGCGCGATTAGGGGCCGGTTTGGACTGGTGGAAGCCTGGAAGCTGGCTCGCAGCGGCGAAATTTGCGTATGCTCTTGCTCGAGCGAGTTTCAAACGCTCTGCTTAAAAAAGATTGGCTGTGTGAAAGGCGTTGAGTCAGTTGGCTAATATTAATTGCTCGGGGGGCACGCCACGGACTTCAACCGAGCCAGGCAAACGAGAAATGGTATACCTCCAATCTTTTTGTTGTGACTGAAGATTTCTGTTTTTTGATATTTTCTATTTACATGTCAGATATTGCGCAGTGACCAGATCTATTGATCAAGGTTATGGCTAGCTTTACGCTCGCGGAATGAGCAGCCTAGCGACCGCACCCCCAAATTGTTGAAACCACCTCAATTCATGGAAGTATCTGTAATAGAAGGCTGCCACTAATAAATATAATACATAGATATCTATATGCCACCCATAGGTCTGACTTTAGGGTTGAATTAACTATCTAATGGCTTCACCACCAAGGAGCTGACGTGTCGCGGTAGACATTCGTCCCACAGTGAACTTCGCCGTCCAGCTCGTGATGATCATACCAATCATCAATAAACGTGACGTTGAAATTTATCTTTGAGTACGAATCGCGGACTGCTGTTGCAAATATGTCTTTTCCGTCAATAATTGGGCCCCATTGAGCGGGTGCCAGAATCTGAGAATCGCTCAGCACGACACCATTGATGGCGCCTGGGTACATCGCAGTGAGACGGGGACCTGTATAACGTGTCGTAGTCTGTCTTTTCTCCAGCTGTCCATTGGGATTGATGGCTTCGATAATCGAGAGAGGTTTCAGGGCAGGTGCTGCTTTGAATGCGGCGACGCTGTGAAGCTGCTCAGGCTGAGTCCCATTGGCTGTACAGGGAAATGACTCGTTATAGTAGATGCCGGGGACGTGAAGAATCTCTTCATCGGTGAGTCCGACAGCATTTTTAACAATCTCAATGTTCTTCTGGATGTATTGATTGGCGTAGGTGTTGAGCTCTGTCAGGTTGGCTATTTGCAGGACCTGATCGATGGTGAGGTTGGGCAGACAGCCCTGAAAACCCGGCTTGGGATCAGAGGCCTGTTGAATTCGTGACACGGCCGTGACACTGCCATGTCCAGCCGCTTGCGCGTCTTTCAGAAGCTGGATACCGGCAATTGGGTCGGCAAGCATAACAATCCAGCCTCGCGAATTGTTCGCCGGTAAGAATTGCATATACTCGTCTGTATGCCCGACCAGAAGCCAATCATGGTCAGTAATAACGGGGTCTTGGGCCTCTTGAGCCCTTAGAAACGCCATGATCCATGGGTCTTCCGAGTCTTGCTGGCCCATTATGATACGACCGGCAGCATATGTTTTGTTGTTGAACCTGTGCGGCGGGATTGTTTCCAGATTACCCATGGAATCAGTAGTTCCGCCACGCCACAGATACTGGATCGCGCCAACGGAGTCGGATCGCAAGTCTGTAAAGACTTGTCGGCCGGCGGAGCGGTACTCCTGTCCAGACCTGATATTTATGCGCAACACTACAGGCCCGTCGGGTCCGGGGATGCTGGAATAGCCTGGCTCAAAAAAGTCTTGTACCCAAATATCAGGATCTGTAGTGAACTCGAAAACAGGCTTCTCAATGCCAGCCTGAGCGACAGGGCCCTTCAGTGCCTCGACGAACTTTTCTTGCGGAGCACCTATACCCGGATAGTTATTGGTGAAGACTTGCTGAGCATGCTGAAGGTGATGATGAGTCAATACGGGAGCAACACGCAATGCCACCGAGTCGCTGCCTGATTCTGATCCGTCAGTGACATTGAAAAGAACTTGAACTCGGCCGTCCCAAACTTGTGGGTAGCGCGTAGTGCGGCCATCAATGCCCAGTTCCAATCCTGTTCTGAGTTCTTGTGCGGTGAAAGTGGTGTTTTCCATCATATATACCCAATCCTTGTCTGCCTTGTAGAAGATGCGCACATTATCGGCTGCATTGTCTCCTGAGATGCCAATGCTGCCGATAGCATTGTCACTGAGAGTCTGGATTGGCAGCGTGACAAGCGGCGCAATGTACTTGGAATTGCGGAGAATATTGTCAGAAGCGTCGTTACACATCGACAATTCTCCATCTAGCGTTTGAGACGTGACCTGGGACGAGCATCGGCCATCTGTGTCTCCAATGTTGGCCAGAAAGAGAGCGCCATATTCCTCGGTCCATAAAGTTTTGTCAGCATCAGTCTGGTCTGTCGAATCTATTTTGCCATCACGATTGCTATCGGCGAGGATGGTGGCCTGAATTGCATTGCTGGCTCTTGCCAAACCTGAATCACGTCAATACACTGTGTCTCTCGTCGCTGTTTACCAAATTGACAGGGAAAATACCTAGAATAGCCACTGCCGCCTGCTTTGAGAAATGCATTGGAAGGGTCTGTTCAGGATGTCTTACACAATGTGGGCTCAGAGTTGACAAGCATAAGGGTGTCAAGGTCTTTTAAAAGATCTACGGCTTTGCTGACTTGTGATAAAGCCGAGGATTGGCAGTAGCACCCCTGTCAACATCCATGCAAACACGTTCAAAAACATCCTCTTGGCAGGATAGGAATACGAGACAACTCGGCGCTAAGTTGTTAGATTTGTCTTTTCCTGGAACTTCATGATTTAACAGAGAAAGCAGAAGCAGTAGTTGGTGTTTTTAAGACTGACTACCTAGGCTCTTCACCTGGTTAAACAACTTGGTCCTCCTTTATAAGGTAACATATGAGGCTAATAATTAAACAGTAAACGGTGCATTTAAGGTGAAAGCCACCTGGGTTCTAGTGTGGAGACCTCTGTCAGACCATAACGACAGGGCGTCAATGGGGCTGACGTACTCAGTACCGTGTTGCTGTAGTATCCTTTCCGTCTGCCGTAGTATTCATAGTGTAATAGCCATCTGAGTGGATAAGGTTCACATAGCTTAAAAGTGAAAAGAGACTGCTGTAAGAGGCATTGAATGGATTCATGGGTTCTCAGCAGTAGCAAAGTAACAGTGATGTGAGATCTCTTGTGAGATCTGAGAATATATCACAGTCTTGGTGGTGAGTCTCAGCACAGAACTTGTTTCTATACCTGTTTATACTGGTGTTGCATAGCAAATCGGCGTTGGAAGCTATGTCCAAACTCCGATGTCTCATTCAATCTCTTCTTTCAATGCAGGCTTACTGTAACCATCACCCTTACCATTCTTATCTCTAATGATAAAAGGTGGACCTGGTAATTACCAAGCGATTTTGTCCTCCATAGTCATTACCTTACCAGTTGACTTGTCTCGTCACAAGCTAATCTACCCATTATTACATCCGAGGCAAGCTCTCTTGCATATACACAATTTATAATATCGGTAAATAACTCATGTCATAACTGAACATCAGCTATCATACTATCGTACATGAGAATCGGGAATAACCTTTGAGTGAGAAGATGATGGCTCAGTCAGGGTGTATCGTCCCAGTATTGCCTTCATCGCAGATGCCGCCGTAGCAGCCGCAAACGGCTGCCATACCTTGTTCTTGTGACTGTCGGCATAATCGCAAACTCCCTTGATGATAACACAAGGTACCTCGTCCCAAATACCAGCGCCTTCCATCTCAAAAGCGATGATATCTCGCTGTCTAGCGATCCGGTCACGATGTTCGCCGGACTTCATCACCGTATCACCGGAAGCCACGCAGCCAATGAAGATCTCTGGGCATTGTGCGTTGTCCAGTTCCAAATCTTTCTTCATTACTAAACGCTCTCTGCGTACTAGTTGTCCTTCATCGCACATGAGTGTGGAACAAAGCGCCTGGGCAGCTTCTTCACAAAGGCCATCCGTCTCCTGAGTGCATTTACACTTCTGCGACGCCCGGTGTTTATGGCGATAGCTGGCCGCAAATAGCTTGTCCTCGCCCACACCGGGATATCGGTAACTGCATCGGCCTCTCTTTTATTGCTGCGGATTGTAAGTCTCTTAGATATTGTCCGGCCTTCTGCCGCAGTTGTCTTCGTCCACGCTCAGTTTCAAAACTGGCGATTAGAGTGCGAATGTCTTTATTCGGTCGGCCGAGGTTGTCGTATACTGTGTCTTTGGTCACGAATTCGTTAGGGTATTGTCCACCCAGGGTATGCTGAATCACCGTTTTGCTAATGACTACGTCGCCTAACAGTATTTCGTCCATGCCCGTGCCCGGTACGCCGCCACATATTCCCACAAGAAGCGTAAGCTTCACTGCGGAATAGCTTGACCTGAAGTTAGCCGCCGCTCCAGCTGCAGAAGCTGTGCCCATGTTGGGGAGAAGTGCCAGCACAACGTTATGCTTCCCAATATGCCCGGTTGTGTACGTGTTTGTATCTCCATGCGCGCGGCCATACGAATCTCCGTCTTCGTCCCAGAACTGGTCAAAGACTAGTGAAACGGCATCGTGCTCGAGAGGTAATGTGCAAATGATTGCAACATGGAAATCCTCACGACAACGTGGCTGGTCGTTGCTGGGCATACCACCTCGATTTTCCATTGGCAACCCCCCCGCCTCAGCGAATTCACGGAAGGGATTGACTACAAGTACACTCAATCAGCGTAAGAGCACTTTAATGGGTGATCTTGCACGTACATCCGACAAAATTACCGGAATTAATCTGTATGCCGCTCGCATTGTTGTTATATTGAGGCCCGTCGCCGGACGAGATGTTTTGCGGACCTGAGCCATGAATACTGATAGACGTGTTGGACGGCATGGTTGGTACAGCGCTCCGTCCAGGCTGAGAACTGAGCGAAAATTTACCCGCGGGGTTTTCCAAATCGGCACCCTGCAATTTGCTGAAATTTCACTTTCTAACTCCCTCGCCTGCCGGAAGCCTGAACGATCTCTTACATCATTGAGACGGAGGGTTACTGAACTCGCTGGGGCATTTACTGGGTTTCTTTCCCCCACCTCTTTTTTACCTGATATTCGATTTGTTGCCGTATGAACCAATAGAAATTGAATGTTCAACATCTGCTGTATATAGGCTGGACAGCCTCTTCCTCCGAGGCTTTCCCTTGCAGCCCAACGATTCCCCGCTCTTCCTCACACCAAGTGTTTTGTGATACTGCAAGAATATTTCTGCGGAATACGTAACGCGAGTATTTACTGAGCTTCATCCAGGCCTGGTAGTCGCACGGATGGCAACGACCTCGAGTTCCCACATCAGTAGCTATGGCGGTGGCTCTCAAAACATTCAGACTGGCGACGGGCCTCAATACAACAACAACAACAACGATAAGGGCCACCAGTTTAATCATTACAACTTCTATGGGAGTAAGGCGTTAATTTCTGGGAAAGCATGACCTCTATTTCTTTGTTCCTAACCTGCGATAGCCAAAATGAAGGATCCAGTATACGACTAGGCAGAAAGGCTTCAAAAAGAAAAAGAAGGTGAGGTGATTGCTCTTTCAATTCGTCTGCTTGGCTGCCAATTTAATAAGAGGGCTATGACAACTAACTAGCTGCAGACTGCCTGCGTTCTCTCAGCTACCAAAACATTGACGCTCGCAAGACAGATATATCTTCAGCTCATCCCACAACGTGCAATTGGCTCTTCGACACCGAGTAATTTCAGCAGTGGTGTCAGCGCATCGAGCTCTCAAACCACAATGGAGTACTTTGGATTAAAGGGAATCCGGGCACGGGAAAGTCAACGCTGATGAAACGCATTTTGCAATATTGCGAAGAAAAACTATTTAAGAATAGTCTTATTGCAGCGTATTTCTTTAATGCTCGTGGCGACAGCTTTGAGCAGACGCCAATCGGTATGCTGCGTTCGTTAGTGTACCAACTGATTCACAAGGAATCGTCCACATACGAACCATTTATCCCTCGGTTTCGTGACAAACAGCAGAAACATACAGAGTGGGCGTGGCGAGAGCCATAACTGCAAGATTTCCTGCTTTCAGAGACACAGTATTGCCCAAAGTCACTTGTCCTCTTTATTGATGCATTGGATGAATGCAGCGAATCACATGTGCGAAAGCTCGTGCGCTTCCTTGAAGATCTCAGCATCAAGGCAAAGATGACTCTCAATATCTGTCTATCAAGCCGCCATTATCCAAACATCAGCATGGAAAAGCATTTGGAATTGGTTGTAGAAACTACGAGCGAGCACGACAAGGACATCATCAAATACGCCGGCGATAAATTGACAAAGATAGATGAGCGGATCAAAACAAAAGTCCTGCAAAAGGCATCTGGTGTCTTTATGTGGGTTGTGCTTGTCATTGAAATGCTGAACAAAGCATATGATGAAGGCCAACTCGAAGCTATGCATCAACTGTTACAAGAAATACCTAGCGGTCTTGATGAAGTGTTTCTCACACTGCTGAGTAAAGACAATCCAAGACTTTATTTATGCTCCAGTTTGTTTTATTCACGGGACGATTGCTCAAACCAGAAGAGCTATAGTTTGCGACTCTGGCTGAAATGAACGTTCATATGGGTTCCTGGGACCCATCACAAATAACGCCAGATGACATCCGGCGGCGAATCACCCATTCATCGAGAGGCCTTATTGAAATACGACGGGATGGAAACGTACAGTTTATCCACGAATCCGTCAAGGACTTTCTTGTTCAAAATGAGAGATTACGAATACTTGATCCAGACCTTGGGTCAGACATCATCAGCGGAAGCCATGAACGTCTAAGATCCTGTTGCGAGTCGTATATGACGACACAAGTTTCTCAGTTAGCAACAGATAGTGAGGAAATCATAGCTCTCGGAAACCAATACCCATTCTTAAAGTATGCATCTACATATATTCTATGGCACGCAGAGTTCTCAGACAGCATCAAACAAGCTCAATTTTTACAACTTTTAAATGATAACCCTCTCATATTGGAACGAATGAGACTATTTCATAACACTTTTACGACGGCTTTTGCCGACGCTTATGTTAAAGGCAGCCAACTACTTCACATTCTCGTATATCATGGGTTCAATAATCTCATAAAGATTCTGCTCAAAAAAGATATCGACGTTGACGCTCACGGAGGACACGATGGCACGGCACTTCTGGTAGCTGCAGCAAGAAATGAAAAGAAGATTGTGAGAACACTGCTTCAAAATGGGGCAAATATCAACGCTCAAGGAGGCTTCTATGGCACTGCACTCCAAGCAGCAGCCGCTAAAGGCAAGAAAAATGTAGTAGAAGTTCTGCTTAAAGGGGGTGCCGACATTAATATCCACGCAGGCGCCTACGGCACCGCCCTTCGTGCAGCTGTATCAGAAGGCCACAAAATCATTGCAGCAATGCTAGTTCAAGAGGGAGAAAAGATCCATAAACAGGAAGAGATTTCCGGCACCACGCTCGATACAGCTGTTATAGAAAGCGAGAAAACGACTACAGATATACGAGGAGCAGATGTTAATACTCAAATAGGGGCAGATGGCGCCTCATCCCAAGCAGTTATATACACAGGCAATGATGACGGCGAAGTCCTATTTGAAGAGGTAGCAAACTGGGATACCAAGCGGGATTATTTCAGTACTGCACTTCAAAAGGCTATAATTACTAACAATGATGAAGAGATTATCGCGGTATTACTAAAAGAAGGGGTAAGTACTAATACTCGAAACATTGCCTTTAAAGCGCTCTTCGAAGGTATATCCAAACAACGCAAAGATTTAACAGGACTGTTACTTAAAGGGAAGATGCGTACCAATTGTCAATGGATATTTGACACGGCGCTCTGTATAGCTGCGAGTAAAGGTATGGAGGATCTTGTGGCCAAATTACGTGAGAAAGGGGCAAAATTCAATACTCGCGACATATTCTTCTCATACATTTTATTTGTAGATCCTGTGCGAGAAACCATTGACAATGCTCTCAGAATATTTCTTGAGAATGGGGCTGATATTGACATACAAGATTATCGTGTTGAGACGGAGGTTGAACCCCAGCGCCATGAGGTGTACATCTGGCTCTGTCTAGCGGGACTTATCTTGGGGATTATTTCGATATTCATGAGTTGGTGACTGAATCATAAAGATTAGTAAAATATCTCATCATATAGCCTGCAACGTTAAAGCTTGACAAAAAAGATAGAGAACGTTAGAATTCCATCAAGTAATAAGGCCTGGGGTAGTCTGGCCAAAGAGTTGCCGGTAAAAAGAAAAATAGTCCTATTGTAGCATATTGAATGTTTATGCGTGATGTTCATGATGCTAAGTTGGAAAGCGACTGTTTTTAGACCAATAGCAGGCAGGTGGTAAGCGAGAAAATGCCTCACAGGGGGCGCGTGAAAGGAACAGAAATTCCTCCTCACATTTCTCAAATAGATCCCCAGATTCACAAGAGAGCAGGAATATCTTTAGCAAAGCTAGCAAATAATTTGCAATGGCCTCTGATGCGCAAAATCAGTTCCTCTGCTCCCTTTGTCAGAGCTTCATTACTTGGACCAAGATCCCAAACTTGACATCTGAAGCCGGATTTGAGACGCCTTACAAGCCAAGTTTTGAAGCTCTTGAGGCTTCAGCGGCCCACTGCCCACTTTGCCAACATGCTTTTCGAAATGTCCTAAATGGGAAGCCTCGTTATGATGGGCGAGAACCTACTCCAGTGTCATACAGAATATTTGCCGAAGTCAACACGGGGTCCGAACGACGCTTAATGAATGTCACTTGGGTAGAAGATCTTCCGTTCTCAAGTGCAGGCCCTCGAGACCCAGTATACTATCTTGCACATCCTGAAAGTAAGTTCAGATACAAGAAATGGTGATTGAACGAACGAATACAATGCTAAAGGAAAGCTCTAGACATTAAAAATAGAATATTATGGCGAGAAAAGGTACCATCATTCAACTCTCGGCTGAAGGCTGTCTCAGAATGGATGTCAGAATGCGACTGTCATCATACTCGATGCATCGAAAAGCCAACACTAAGACCTCAAAGGCTTTTAGATCTGTCCGACGTTGAGGATTCGAAAGTAGTCCGATTGATCGAAACCTCTACTTCTGTTGAGATCGATGTTCGTTATTCTACTCTTAGTCACTGCTGGGGACCCCCAACCTCCGAGCCACCATTAAAGACTACGTCAACCAATATAAACAACCACTATATGGGTATCCCGGTAGAAAATTTGAATCTCAATTTTAGAGACGCCGTCTTCATTTCCGTTAAGCTTGGTCTTCGATACTTATGGATCGATTCCCTATGCATCATCCAAGATGACCATAGAGACTGGGAAATGGAGGCAGCAAAAATGGTAGACATATATCGCCAAAGCTATATCAATCTCGCTGCCTCTGCAGCACATGATGCCCATGGAGGTATAATTGACGTATCTTCTCTTCATATATCCAGGCGTACGACTACCACTGTAGTCCGTCACAGCCTAGCGAGCCCAGCCGCAGCGAGCTTAGCGGGTGAGCTGTACGAGGAATTCATGATCAGGCCTACGACACTAAAAGAAGAGTCTCGTAAACTTTTATCTCGTTCATCTTCCCCGTACTTTGCACGGGGTTGGGTACTCCAAGAAGTTGCGCTTGCTCCGCGGACGATGTACTTTACAACCGATCAAATGATGTGGCAATGCCGGCATCTTTTTGAATCCGAAGACGGAACATGCTCTTCAAGCGGTGGGGTTCCGGCATTGACTTACGCTTATTCAACCTCAGAAATTTTTGACTTTACAAAAAAACAGAAAGCCTTCTCAATATGGCAAGTGTGGCTGAAGTCATATGTGACTCGAGAGCTTTCATATCCCTCCGATGTCGCAGCCGCAGCCGCAGGCTTAATCAACTATTACCAATCTGCAACTGGGTACACACCTATGCTTGGGCTGTGGAAAGAAACGCTGTATGCTGATCTGCAGTGGTCGATTTCGGGTGGTCACTTCCAGGACGCGCCTCCACGAAATAACTTTCCATCTTGGTCTTGGCTATCTCTTTTACCATGCGGTAACCCAGGAGTATCGTTCGATGATATTACATATCTTGGGAGCACAGCCCAGTTTCTTCGAATTGAAGAATGGGAGGAGAAGTGGAGCGGTCTACCTTTTACATCGACACTCCAGTTCTCAAAATTGGTGATTTCAACAATCACTCAGGATGGAATACTTTCCGTTCCCTCTGCTGAAAGTGAGACTGTTTCAAGTGTGAAGGTTGAAGTACAGGGAAGCTGTATATGGTACGATTATCCCAAGATCGAATACCAGCTACCTGTGGGATCGAAACAGGCAGTTAAGGTAGCTCATCACGAGCAAACCATATTTCGATATGATACTACCGGTATCGCACGTTCATTTCGGGACAGCTATCTTGTTATAAGAATGACAACAGATAATCCTCCCCGATATCAACGACTTGGGACTGGTAAGATTTATACATTCATTGATGAAAAAGTAGACACCTGGAGTCCAACAGGCCACTTGGAGAGACACTTTAAGGAATCAGATAGACAGAGTATTGAACTAGTGTGATGCTGAGAAATGAGAGTAGGCAATTAAACTTTGATTATATCTGAATGTTAAGAAAATTGTTGATCCGTGTGCAGTACGTCTTTTTGCCTTTGACTTGATCTCCACATGTAATGATGACCCACACTATAAGTCTCATGACATCGTCAAGGATATAAAACCACTGATACCGCTCATAAAACATCGATTAAATGATCACAGGAGACAGACTTTTGAGAGCAAAAGCAATATTATCATGTATTTGTGATTGCGGTAAGACCAAGCCAACGCCAATGGCCGAGCCCACGTCCAGTATAAAGAGAGTGGATATAAATGCCAATTCTAAGAGTGGCAACCAGAGCTAAATAAATTCACAATCATTAATCTAATCTTTCAAGGAAATCAATCCTTCTTATTCCGACCGACCCAATGCCGCATTCCATACTGTCTTGGGCTAATCAAGGTTTTAAGCTCCTCCGGCTGACATCTCCATGAAGAGCTTTTCAGTCTTCATTCCAAGGGATGAAAGTAGGAGAACTCCACCAGCAACAATTACGAGGATGTATACTCGGCTCATTGCCTTGACAATTGCCTCCAGAGCCAGGGCTCTGACAGCGTCGGTGGCTTGGGCAAGAAGCTGACTTTGAGTGCCCGCAATGGCACCATGCAGCTGGGCATCTGAATACCCATATCCTGCCAGAGCGCTCTGGAGATATTGGAACGCAAGGTTCTGGAATACAGTTCCAGAGATAGCCAGAGCGTGGACGGCGGCTCCGATTTGCGCCATGTTGATGAAACCAATAGCGTCAGGAATCATTTGCGGTCCGAAGCGCGGATCCATTGCCACCTTTACAGGGGTAACAGAGTATGCGGCCTGATTCGCCACGCCTGTTCCAATGGCTAAGATGACGCTGTATCCGTATACCTTGGATGTCGCGGTAGTAGAATCGACTGTAAACATCAAAGCTCCGCCGATAGTAATCATTATTCCTCCAAAGATATACCACGGTTGGTAGTATCCGAATTTCGGCATAAGCGTGCCGTTGAACATGATGCAGAAGATTGTAACACAGATAAAAGGAAGCAGTCGTACAGCGGCTGAAATAGCGCCATCGTCTCTCGTGAACTGGAAGAAGAGTGGGATATAATACACTGGCGCGAAGATTGTTGTTGTTGTGCAGGCCGTAGCGAAATGCTGCAATACCAATGATCGTGATTCCAAGAAACCTGCCGGGAAGATTCGCTGTGCTTTGGTAGTGAATACTTTGAAGCGCTGCTGCAGTCCAAAGAGTATGATCAGAACGCCGCAAGTGACAAAACAAGCAATTGTTCGGCCATCATCCCAAGCCCACTCAGCACCACCAAAGGTGAGAGCTAAAACCCAGACAGCATAAATTGCAGCATTGAGAACAGTTCCAAGCCAGTCCACTGCAGCCAGCCTTTGGAAAAGCTTCAGTGTCGGTTGGGGGTCAAGCGACGGGATGGCGAATATGTAAACGGGACACGTAACAGCGAAAATAACCAAATTAATGTAGAATGCCTTCTCACATGTTAGAAGCAGTTTCAATAAATAAAGAAGCTTGAAATCTTACCCAGCGCCAGGTGGCAGAGCTCTCTGCAAAGGCTCCTCCAATGATTGGGCCAAGAATGGTTCCAACGCCCCAAGAGACTCCTGTTCCTGCAATGTAGAGAGGACGTTCGCGTGGGGAAGACAATAACGACAGGATATTTAATCCTCTATAAACGGTTTTAGCTTAGAAACGTGAAAACATACTGGGGCCTCCATCACTTACCCCAGATATATACCAGCTCCTCCGGCACCAGCAATAACTCTTCCGATGATGAGTGCCTATACTGTTGTCAGCAGATTGAATAGAAAGACTGCTGGGGTTATTCAAGAACTGACGTTCATATTGGGTGCAGCGCCGCAAATTGCACTACCGACTTCGAACATCACAGCTGTTGCAAAGAATAGCCATTTCACATCGAAAATGCCGTATGCTTTTCCCCTGAAAGATGTTAGTTTGTCGATAGCAATTAGGTGTGGTAAGGCGTATCTCACATTGACAAGATAACGGCAACACTACCCAATGGAAATCCAACTCCAATCCAGGCCAGCTTTTCCGGCTCACCGAATTGTTCAAGAACAGTTCCTTGAACATCTGCGGCAACGGTCGTATCAAGTCCATATAGAGCGCCGGTCACGTATACGGTTATCAGAGTTAATACCCACTATATGAGGAAGGACAAGCCCGAGACGTTAGTGCTTCTGTCAACTTCAGTTTCAGAGCTGCATTATTGGTACCTTCCAGGTCGAGACGCCTTTAGCTTTTCGGACGTCTGTGACAACCTCCTCTGTCGATTCTAATGGGTTCTTCTCCAGATTCCGAAGCGAGCTGTCATTATCGGATGGTGACTGCTCTTTGGAGTTGTGGCCGGAGATGGTACTTTGGGTCTCCGGCGACGACGAGTCGCTGGGGTTCTTGGCGTAGTCCATAACTTTTGGTATGTGCCTATTCAGCAACGGGACACAAGACCAGGTGGTGACGGAGTGTAAGTTCTTCACGCTATACAAATTACAGGGCACCACGACTATATAGGTTTTACTCTTCGACAAGGAAAATATAAAGAAATTTCATATTCTAGCGCTGACACGATTCACCCATATTGCAGCTGAATCCTGCCAAAATTGGTCCCGGCCACTCGGTGATCACTCCGCGATACTTCCAAAAGAATAAGAAGTTTGCCGAAATGTCCGCGCGCTAGCGTTGATTTGGTAGAGATGGCCCGATAGACAGATAAAGATCATTTAAATACATGTCTTTATACAATTTATACAAGGGGCCGATTTCGTTGGAGTTGAAACTCTGCGGTACCGCGCATCTGACATCGCCGCGCGGGCCGCGGCGGGCCGCGATCATGCGGGCGGTGTGAGACATCAACAGGGTTGTTCTTCGCCCTACTTCTTGATAGGCCATTCCGGTCCATTACTTTTGAATGAATACAAACTACTGTAGGTGCGTGTATTATTCCGTTGCCGACTCGCCGATCTCACTCTGCTCTAGTGGATTATTCCACGTTGCCCAATAGATGTCAAGCGCTATGACATTCTCGACCCCGAATCCGATGCAAGTGACGATGGAAGTATGCGATAACTCCGAAACGTTATAGCAGTTACCTCGAAAATTTGCAATGGAATTTAGGAAAGAAAGAAACGCAAGAGGGTAGATAAAAAGTTACAGGCTGAGAGAGCACATGTCGAAGCAAGTCAATATGAGGTCAAGATGGATAATAGATTCATGAAGTCAAACTCGTCTCCGTCCACGAGGATAAATTGCTTGCATGATTGCAACGTTGTCGTAACAACTGTGGAGAATTTTCGCATATTGAACTAACTTGTCAACATGGCTCATCTACCCACCATCACAACGGTAGATGCAAATCTTGCCATAGCCATCTGTAAGGGTGCAACTGCCGTCTATTCAGGGTCCATTTGGCTCCATACATTGAAGAGGCTTGTTCATGCCATGGCAGAAAAGAATGGACCCTAACAAATGTGATTGTTGGTCGCATTATTAGTGCTTCGACGGGATATTTAGCTAGCCTACGGCGAACGGGGTGTAAGACCCCGGCAGGAGTTCCTCTATCATTCCGAACTGCACGCCTGGTAGCCGGCATTGTACTCCGTAGTCGTAAGTTATCACAGTAGCATTAAAGCCCCATAGGTTTAGCGTGGCTGACTCTTTCAACTGATGAGAAATTATGAGAGCAATTGTGGTCATTCCAATATTTGTGGATAGTCTGACAGCTACAGTACTCTCTTAAGGTATGGTATTTCACGAGAATGCACACCACGTTGCAATCAATGTCTGTGCCCAGTCCGAGTCAACCATGGTGACCTTAAGAGAGACAATTCTGTAAAAATTCAGTGTTTTAGGATTATTCGGCATGGTCCAACTGGCGGCTTTGATAAGTAGATGCTCTGGGCTTGAGTAAGTCTAATAGTATAGGGGATAGCGAGCATTTAGTGATTGAGATTTCTGCGAACATTTATGAGTATTCCAATTTATTCCAGACTACCGAACTGTTTATTCAGAGAATCGATGGTCAAAAGTTCCATCTTCTTTCTAAACTTTCAGCATCAGCCATTCTGGTGGCAGATTTGAAGATTGAGGAGTCTACCAATTCCTTCATTCTATACAATTATATCAATATTTAATGACTAATAATATGAACGGAACACGGGGGGTTAAACGGAAGAGCTACTTATGGGAAATATGAAGAATCATTTACCAGAATCTTGACCACCTTATGAAGTGGTCGAACATACCGAACACTTATAGCGCGGCGAGCGTTGTTAGTCAGCAGCCTCCGCAAAAATTGAATATTGGACTTTCCTCAAGCTCGTCCATGATTCAAAAGATTTTTTGACATTTTGGATACTCAAATATATTGAGCTTCATAATGATATAGCTCAATTCATCCAAGAGCGCAATATCTCGTCTTTCTTGAGCGGGAAGAGCATATATCGGCCATGCTGGCTGGAACCGCAAGATTGATAAGCTTCATCTCAGCCTTAGTTTAAGATCCACCATGGAGTAAGACAGCATCGAAGGGTTCCACAGATCACCCTAACAGGTCGAAAATCTCCACATATGTCAAAGACAAGGCGCAAGCAAAGGCGTCGTCCACTGTAGAGAGAATACAATGAACATTATATAAAGATACTTTCATATTAACACCGCTGGCGGTGGTTCAAGGGTTTGATACATTCTTAGTGGCCATCATCGAGCCACAGTATCTGTATTCAATGTCTCGAACTACACAGATTACTTCCCTCAGCAGGGACCACGATCTAGAGAGTTCGGTAACAACTTCAATCCAGCTCCAGTCGTTCCCACAAAGCGAGATTCAGCAGCGCGATACACACCGCCATGAAGCTTCTGATAGGGAGCTGTCAGATATAGATCCGGTACTAGAAGCCTCTCGCGCCGCGGACAATGATGTGCCGGATGGTGGTTACGCTTGGGTCGTTATCTTCGCTTCCGCCATTGTCTGTTTTTGGTTCACCGGCAATGGCAACTATACCTGGGGTGTCATACAAAATGCTCTTCTTGAACAGAAGTTAGCATCGGCAGCTACGTTATCCTTCATTGGATCTCTATCCCCTACTATTATGGCTGCCTTGGCCATCATCAATGCCCGCGTGATCCGGTGGCTGGGTATCCGCGTGAGCGCCATACTTGGAATCGTCCTCCTTGGAGTCGCCCAATTGACGAGTGGATCTTCCACGCATAGTGTGGCCGGGCAGTTTATTACACGCGGCGTTGGTGTCGGCCTTGGCATGAGTTTGTGCTTCATGGTGACCTCAACAATCCCAGCGCAATACTTCAGCCGGAAGCGCGGCCTTGCAAACGGGATCGTCTCTGCTGGCGGCGGTCTGGGAGCAGCTGTCCTCAGCTATGTTCTGGATGCCTTGATTCAACGGTTTGGCGTTCAGTGGGCCTATAGGATTGTAGGAATCATGACTTTGGTCACCGGGCTTCCTGCCGCCTGGATCATGAAAGAGCGCACAACTCTCCCAAGAGCTAGCTTTATTGAGTGGCGATTATTCAAGGACCTGAAATTCGTATTGATCTTCGTTGCAGGAGCTATTGCAACTTTCCCGCTTCTTGTACCAGCCTTCTTTCTCCCATTTTATAGCACTTCCATTAAGCTGCCTTCAAGCACTGGTGCTGCTCTCCTGTCTGGTTACAACTTTTCGTCGGCCGTCGGCCGTATCCTCGGGGGCTTCTGTTCAGATAACCTGGGGCCTCTGAACACGCTCATCATCTCATTAATTCTCAGCGCCGTAAGCATGCTTGCACTATGGCCGGCTTCCACCACTTTAATACCACTGGCATTTTTCGCCATCATTAATGGTGCCTCGAATGGTATGTATTTTGCCACAGTGCCGACTGCTGTGGGCAACATCTTTGGATCTGCCAGGGTGTCTGTTGCTTTGGGCATGATTGTAACTGGCTGGGGAGCAGGCTATCTGATGGTTAGTAGTTCCAGTGTAGTAACTGTCTTGGAATCTGAAACTGATGTGCGAATCACAGGGAGCCCCAATTGCGGGATATATATTGGACGAGCATGGAGGATCGGATGCTGGTCTCAAGGCCTTTCGACCCGCCATGTTCTACGCCGGCTCGCTCGCTATGGGGGCGACTGGCTTTCTTATACTTATGAGATCTCGGATAAGCTCATCGCTTTTAGCCAAGCTTTGAATTTGTAATGGTAATGCTCAGTACATATTGAGGAATGGAAAGAAACGAACATTTAATGACAGCAAATAATGCAGTGAAAGCCAGAGATGACCCGCAAGTGTGGTTTGAGAGAACCAAGTCTCCAGATTCCTCTCATTATCTGCCGTTAAAATGCCCCTGTTATCAAGCTTTTGCCTTTAGCTTTATCTTCTTTAAGTAAAATAGCAAAGAGAACTGCGTAGCATATTAGTCCATCACGAACATTTTTACCTCATGAGTACTCACTCATACGTGTAAGTACATAGGCACCTGCGTGTCAGTCCGAGCTCAGCATCCATACCCCACCTTTTCACATCATTCACTGCGCCCTACTCCGTCTATATTCTCCCAGCGATTCTTCTGAAGACCGAAGAAAGTTGGTTGCGGTCATCACAAAACACGTCGAAAACTATGGATAAGAGTTCGCACTGGGACGTTGCCCTCTGGGAGACACATGAAACAGAAGACGATTGCACGCTCGTCGTCAGAACCGATAATGGGCGTGCTTTTTATTGCCAAATCTCGCCATCACGGTTCCATCAATCACCCACGTTTAAAGATCAATATTTCAGGTGTCTCAATTTATTACGCTCGGGTGAAGAGGAAGATGACTTCTATATGGAAGATGCGTGCGACTGGCTTTCGAAGCCCTTTGAGCCTCTCATTGCGCGTCTGGCGCCTTGCACGCAAAAACGACCAGCAGATGAGCTGCCGACATTGGCCGAATATCTCTTTCCTCCACATTTCGTGTGCTCGCTGTCTGCTACAGATGAGAAGCTAGAAACATTTGAGATAGATTCTAAGAATCTTGATTGGGGCAGTCCCACGATATTTGTGAAGCAAGATTTCTTGGACGACCTAGACCGTTGGACACCATCTTATCACCCAAATGAAGTAGCCATATGCTATGACAACCCACGGGACATTCTTATCAAACCTCCAAAGCGTGTATTGATCAGTGCGAAGGATGGCAGTCGAGTTGAATGCTTCTTCAAGCGGTTTGAAACCTCATTTGGTCAGAAGCATGCGAAAGCGGGGCTTGACACTCACAAAAGAATTGCCCAAGCGCATTTACCCCCTCCTCCCAAGACATTTATATGTCAGCTACACGGTGTTGTCAGGGATGGAAATAAATTGGCTGGCATGCTATTTACTTGGATCAACAATAAAGGCGTGCTGTCAAAAGCTAGAGCAGATCAGAGTACAGTTCAGCTGAAAGCACGTTGGGCAACGCAGATCAAGGATACACTAGAGATGCTTCACCATCGCAACATTATCTGGGGTGACGCCAAAACTGAGAATATCTTGATCGACAAGGACGATAATGCATGGATTGCTGATTTTGGAGGGAGCTATACTGTAGGATGGGTTGAAAAAGACAAAGCTGGGACGTTGGAAGGCGACGCGCAAGGTTTAGCTCGGATTCTTGATATCTTTTCTTAATGTACATGAGACAATTTTTGAAGACGACTTAAAGTTGCCACGAATCTTGCGTTCTTGGTGATATGTTGAAAAATCGGACCATAGTCAACATCTTGCCTGTCAGGTTGAAGCTGCATACAAAATTCTACATTTTTCATCTTCGGACCTCTAGGGTAAAGCCTCTTAATGTAGAAAAAGACCAAGTGCATCCAACGAGCCGCCTGAGCTCAACCGGCAGTTGGTGATTGGTTCAAAAGACCAAGTCACATGACTTGGCCCGGTTAGCTCAATCGGTAGAGCGTGAGACTCTTATGAGTGACACGTTCTGATGTTGCGATATCTCAAGGTTGCGGGTTCGACCCCCGCATCGGGCTCTTCCTATAAATAATACACCGGTTGAGATATCAGGCGGCAATTCTTTTGCCTTTTTTGAGCATCATTTTGCCTGATTTCTTCCTTTTTTCTTCCTCCTTCAAGTTCAGGGTAACAGAAGAGAGTCGCCAGTCTTGGATGTATCTCTTTTCTCTCTATATCTAGCAGACAAAGAGTCAATGGGGAGTTTGAACAACCGGATGGTCGTGAGGGTTTGAGACAATCTATACTGTTGGACTATTCTGATTTATTGCATCTGTTTACTACCTAGGTACTTTCATTCATTTGTGAATACAATACAGTACAGCTTCTACCCAAAGCTCCTCTTACACTAGCATACAGCCGTATATTTTCCCTTGTCCAATAAGCCAATGCAGCTGCATCCCAATTGCCTAATCCACGCCCTATCGTATCTGCGTTCCTGTCGCAGCCCTGTAGCAAAAAAGAGTAAACGCCGAATCTCCCGTTCCTAATAATACATGGTGTACCGTCATGATCCCTCTGCGCCAAGTGTCCTGCCTAACTAATATTCGTTTTGCCCTTTGGTCAACACTTTCCTTATTCCAACTTTCCTTCATTATTTAGACATTAAAGATTGATGATTTACAGCATCCAGGCTGTGGGGTAGATAAAAGAAAGGTATTCATATCATATAAGCGTTAGTGTCGTGAAAGTGATGGCGATAGCCATTGTAATGCAGGCCCTAGTGAGCCCGAATTCTGTTGCTTTGCTGCTGGCGACAAAGTCAAATGGGCTTCCACCACCGCTGCCTGGCTGAGTATTGGGCCTGCGTGTTGGTTTCAGATTCTCCTCACTTGTGGACGTGGGTTGCTGGTCATTCGTCGTTTGAGAAGTCGCCGCGTTGGTAGTTTCGGTTGTAGACTCGCTCGTTGAGCTAGGTATTGTCACTGATGTGAGGGTAGTAGGTATCGCACTTGTAACTGCCGTTGTAACTGTTGTAGAAGGGACAGACGATGTTGTCGATATTGGTTGACTAGTTATGCTGGTCGTACTGATCGTACTGGTTGTACTAGTTGTCTCCTTAGATTGTGATGATGTTTGAGGCGGTGGCGGAGTTTTTGTTGGAGGAGGAGTGGGCGTTGATGCGGTGCTCTTTAGTGGCGCGTCCTTTTTGCAGAGAGCATCAAGGATGTGGCCTCCCTTGACCTCCGCGAGAAGAGAATTTGAGGCAGCGTTGATGTTGGTACAAAACCCTTGCACAGAAAACTGCACCGCTTGCAATCCTGTGATGCAGCCTTCAGAGCACGTCGCGCCGCTGCCGAAATCGCTGGGGCTGCATCCTCGAATGGGCAGATTGTAGGCGTAGAGGCATTGGACGGATACCGACGAAGTCAGGCTTTGGAAGTTGGACAGAGACAAGGAGTTTGCTGAAGCTGCCCCTGCCAGAAAGACGAGGCTGGCGAGGCTGGGCCGCTGCACTGTATGTTTTCTCGCCATGGAGGTATGATTTGGGCGGGTGTGGTTGTAGATGGTACGACGATGAGATTGTAGTTTGGTCGTCGTTGTGGTTGGAAGAAGGAATACTGCTGAGACGGCCCTCTCCGAGCATCAACTGCTTTAACAAAGGGAGGGAAAATGTCCCAACCGGCAGTATATGGGAAATACGGATCATCAAGTAGGTAGCATTCCAGCTTGAGGCCCTGCTGTCATGGGAAACGGCCGGATCGCTGGATCAGCGGGTGCACCGTGGCAGCGCGATGCGAAACACGGCGTGTCTCAGACTTACAATATGACGCCAGCCACGCACGATAGCAAGAGCGATTGGCGCCCTTGTAACCGTTTATCGGACGAACTTCCCGCATCTGTCAGGATTGTCGTTTCTCGAGTCTCTTTTGACATGTTTCAATCAGGGGCTCATGTTCGGGCAAGCGCGTGGCAGACAGGGTGCCTATGACGAGTCTAAGATGGAGATGGAGATGGAGATGACGATGGTGACACGGATGGAGTACAGGGCGGGAGGACAGGTACATGTACTAGGTACTTTGGAGAGCACGGTGTTTCTACCCTTGGACAGAGGTATTCTATACAAATATGGAGATACAGTCTGGAACATACAAAGAGCGCCCGAAACGAATTCGTATTGCTTGATTAAATGACGTGTACTGATGTTCCTTTCTTCTACAATATGTGGGTGTTAAGCGTATGTATGAGCATTGCATAGAAAAGAACCATGCTATCTTTCCCTTTTTTTTTTCCTTGCGAGAAGAATCAAGAGGCCTCGATTCTAATCTCCTTTTTAAGTGTGAAGACGCTTGCATGCGATTGGCCTGCAGTCGTTGCCTCAACTAAATAAAGTCTGACCATGTTGGACCAGAAGGGCGTGAGACTCCCGTTAAGCGTTCTCACTAAGTTAGCCTGATCCTGCGCTCCCGCCGGACAAAACGTTTCTTACTCATCTTGCACAATCGCATCATGGGACTTTCTCCTAAAGATAATGAGAAGATGGTATCGTCAACCTTGGTAAGCGAATCATTTCCAGGCAAACGTCGATAATCTCCAAAACCACGTTTGCCCCGGCTCTCATCAATGCGAAACGAAACTCAAGGGCGACTGAAACATGCTATAGACTGCTTAGCCAAAGCGAGAATGGTCCAGGTACCGCCACAGCTTTCTCACGCGATGCCCGCCATCCCGCCTGTCCACCCGCTTGAGCTGAACTGGAGTTAGCCACGTCTCTCTAAATATAGCGCCTGTTCTGCCAATCAGAGCCCAATTCAGTCCAGCAAAAACCGGTACTGGTGCAAGCTGCAGCTCGCAGGAACACACCAAGGATGCGAATCCCAGGCTCGGTACGGCAGACAAGGGCCACCAGGCAGAAGGCGGAAATGAATGAATGGCTTCTCGTTTTTGCGGTCGAAGATGGAACATCTTTCCTCTTCAATCTACTCGTTCTACGACCTCCATGAAATGAAACCTTCGTGACGCTTCTGCGAAATCGACAAATATGTCCCACCCCGACGGATTTGCAGGCCCAGGGCTGCCAGGATTAACACCCCCGCGTCAGGGTGCGTATCACCAACTCGTGTCCCTAAGGAGAAAACCTGTGCCGGCGAGAGCGGGGCCATATCACCAGAGTGTGTATCCTGTCCTGGATTTGATACGACATAGACGGGGCTTGGCTGACGGGGCTTAGCTGCGCAAAACGATGAGCAAGCAGAGATCGAGGACGAAGAAGAGGCTCTATCAGTTCCAACACTTTACGGGTCTCATGAGGGCATAGTGGCAAGCAGTGCAGGCTTTGACCAGCCTTCACTGGCGCCTCCTCCCAAATGGCCGCGGAGTTCTCATTCGGCTCTCTGGGCGCCGATATGGCTCAGCAAGGTCACTCTCATCGCCTTTACCGTTACATTCATATTGATGTTGCTAGCCACTGCTTTGCTTTTCCATTTTTCTGAAATTCACAACGGAATTAGCGTTCAGCGGGAGGCAAACCACTACGCCTGGAAGTATGGCCCAACTGCGGGTAAGTTGCTGCAGATGATATCTTTCTATTCGGGTGCTGACTATAGATTCATCTAGTTCTTGTGGTGGTGGGAGCCCTGTGGCGGCAAGTCGACTTCGCAAACAAGATCCTGATGCCTTGGGAAGAGCTGAGAACAGGACCTTCGTCGGCGGACAAGACATTGCTCCTGGACTACATCTCCCCACTGCTTCCCGTTAGTCTGTGGATGGCTATCAAGAATCGACATTGGGCTGTGGCATTGTCCCTGGTTGGTCAACTGCTAATACTAGGCACTGTTCGTCTTTCCTCAAACTTTTGCTCCTCTGTTGTCCTTTCAGCTATATACTAATGCTACGCTAGACTATTTCTTCGACGGGTTTACTCATTCTAGAGCCAACTCAAATGTCCAAAGGTGATCAAAAGTTCGAACTATCATCAAAATTCCAGCTAAACCAATCTGTTGATCCCCGAGTGGGCTGGGCGGTCGGCCCAGGTCCTGCACAGACTTACTATGGCATAAACTTCTATGGACTGCGCTATCCGCCCGGCACGGCGCAAGACTTTATCGTCCCCGAGTTTCGAGTTCCATCCATGGCCGCCACTAATCTGGATTATACAATGAATACGGACGGCCTCAAGGTCAACTATGATTGCGAACTCCTTCCTCTGACTAATGGCTCAACGGCGTATATGCCATGGCGAAGCATAATGGCGCCATTCATTGTTGCCAATGTCACCACCAAAGATTGCGACATCAAGGGTGTTACTCTGGCTGAAGGCCCCGATCATGGCTATTATCATGACCCGAATGCGACACAGAATTATCAGGCTCAGTTCGCCGTCTATCCTTGCAACTACAACTTCGATTTCAGTAAACAATATATTCCCCAAAACAATTTATCCTTGGAACTACAAGTATATAACATCAGCAGAGATTTGCGTCTTTTCATGTCCGTGGTTGATGTCCGGATTTCAGCGCGTGATCAGTCTCCTGAGTACATGTACCTCCACAACGTCACATCTGCTCTTTGCAAACCATCCTATGAGGTCGGCCACTTTGATGTTGGCGTCCCAAACGCCGTCAACGGATCTGCTCATGCTCGTTTCTCATCGCCAGCGAATACGCTAAATGCTGTTAAAAATTTTACTCAAGGATCACTCGCCTTGGGCGTTGTGTCTTCGAGCAATTCTTGGGAACTGAGCAACGGAGGAGTTGACTATGTTATTTCAGCGACTGTGCCGACATTTTTCCAACTCTTGTCAAAGAAAGCTGGGGTGGAATCTATCGGAAGTTTTATGGATCCACATCTTCTTGTCAATACAGCGTCGGATGTATTCAAGGGAATTGGGACTCAAGTTTTGAACGAAGTTATCGTCCAGCCGGCGAATCGCACTGCCACTGGAAGCATTACCTATGTGGAGCAGAGGCTGCACGTTAAAGGCCTTTCGACCGGCTTCATGTGTAGCTTTCTTGGGCTGTTGGCCATCTTATCTGTGGGAATGATATTTGCCCGGCCAGCCTTTACGGCTCCAGACCGCCCAGGGTCGGCTCTCTCGATGGCTACGCTACTCGTCTCAAGCTTTCATCTCAACAGAATCTTGTCGCCGATGGGTGCTTTGAGCAATGAAATGCTACAACAGCGCCTTGCGGAATACCAATTCCGAACAGCTAATGTTTCAGATAACGGCGCGATTGTCTCTATCGAACCAATTCAGCGTAATGAAGGACAAAGCATAAGCCATCCTCTTGAAAAGGTTCAAGGCACGGTACCGTCATGGAGGCCCATGGCTAGTACGACCTGGTTCCTTGCCCTTGCGATATGTTTGCCACTGCTCGTCATTGCGTGCCTGGAGGTTGTTCAACATTTTTCAGACATAAATAATGGATTTATGAGCATCGGTCAATCGAGTTCACTTGCGTTTGCTACCTACATCCCTTCAGCTGTCGCTCTAGGAGTGGCTGGTCTCTATAGCGCAATGGAAATGATGGTAGCAATTTTTGCTCCCTATGCCCCTCTCAAGCGAGGAAGAGCCAATGCAGAGAGAACCATTACACTGAATCTTGTTGGCCAGCTGCTCCCCCGTGCCTTTTATTTATCGCTCAAAACAAAGAATTTCGCGGTAGCTATTGCGCTATTTGGCACCTTTGTTGGAAGTTTTCTATCCATTATTGTGTCAGGTCTGTATAGCGCAACTAGTGTCTCAATTGTCCAGAATATTACACTTTACCAGAACGACACATTCAACTTTAACAACGCAGACCTTTCATTAGATGATAACGAGGCCACTGCTATTGACAATTTGATCGAATATCTCGGCTTGAATAGTACAAAGTGGAGTACAGGAGACCTCGTCTTTAATGTACTCAACCAAGACGCCATCCTAACGACGAATTCGAGCGACAACATACCATTGACGGTTAATATACCTGCCATAAGGCCGTCGCTAAACTGTACCTCGATACCGAACGATGATAGAAAAGTGACGATACTTAATCAGGACGACTCGGGGATGTTCATAATGCCTGGGCAAAGCAACCCCGTGAGTCCCTATGATGGGTTTGTTTGGGTCGGGTTGAATACAACGATGAGATATGCCGACTGGTGTGAGACTACGCCCAGAGGAGCGAAAAAAGAGGAGCCATGGATGCAATACTTTATGCTTCCCAACGATACAAGCATGGCATACGTCGGTAAGGGCTCGATCATTGCATGGAGCAACGGCCTTGTTTATGGAGATGGATTGTTGGATACAAACCCATCATCTGGATCGGCGGGTAATGGAGTTCAGATAACAGACAATGGATGTCCGACCTTTGCCGTCACGTTTGGTCTCATGAAATTGAAGAAATCGGGCAAAGGAGCCAAGGCCAAAATCACCGGTTTCGAGCAAGATCTCGCCACCCTTGTCTGTTATCAGAACATTGAGCAGGTCATGACAAATGTCACCTTACAGCTTCCCCAGTTCAACTTCGATTCCACTCAACCGCCTACAACAGATGAGAGTACCGCGAAGTTCTTAAAGACCAATCGCAGTAGTGAGAGGTTTCCCTTCTTGCCAAACGCTTGGCTGAATGGCCTAAGTGCTCCTCTGTTTAATCAGACGGTTCCTGGTCCGAATAATACCGATGCGATAAATAACCACCTAGACACCTTCATTGAAGCTCTGGTTCTAAGTAAGAATGGTCGACCAGCGAATGAGCTCGCAGGCACTAAGAATATCGAGAACCTCAAGAATGCTACACAGCGGTTCTACAGCGTGTACATGGCTCAGGCCATATCTCTAAACATGCGCGACAACAGTACTGCTGGCGGTGAGGGCTCTCTACCTACATACAATGGCATGGTAACTACAACTGGCCATCGGCGACTACAGCAGAATCGCGGGCCCAAGATTGCGCTCCAGGTTGTTCTCGGGGTCATGGTTGCATGCGGTATCGCAACGAGATTGCTTTTGCCGGTGCGAGATGTATTGCCGCATAATCCCTGCTCGATTGCTGGGACGGCAACGTTGATGGCAGGCGGAGAGGTGGTGTCTCAGCTAGCTGATCAAGCTATAATATCTAGCAGACATCTGAGTGCAAAAAGTCTGCCGGTGGATGGACTATACAGTTTGAAGTGGTGGCGAGATGAGAAGGGCGGAGATCGATATGGCATTGATCTGGAGCCGTCATTATAGCCAGCAGATAATACAGCAGCTAGACCAGTATCGCTGGCGTGCAGGTCTTGAACTATTAATGAACACTGGTCTTATATAAATAGTTATGCAATAATCACAAAGAACCAAAATCTAAAAATTTGAACAAACGATTGTTCTTCCTTTCGCCCATGTATCATCTTGAAAGCAGATTAAGCGCGATGTTCGCAAATGATTGGTCGCTGCGTGGTGTTTCATCCTTTGGGCGGCGCTTAGACTCAGTGCATGCAGACAAATCAAGTGGTGGATGAAAGAGGCAAGACAGGCAGGGGCAGAAATCAGGCTGCGTTTAAAAACGAGGCGAAATGCTTGAGCTGAGACTTTAGCTCACTTGTGTTTCCCTCGGCGTTGTTTCCTTCTTTTCGCTACTTTTTGAATTGTGCTACATTTTGGGCTCACTTTGGGTGGTGCTTGCATGCGTGTTTGCTTTTAGTCTATGCGCGCTTCCCACTCAGAGCGCTTACACAACACCACAAAAACTTCCTATAATCATCATGAGACTACTACTCTTCATATATACGCTTATTACTTTCTTCAAATTCTCTTCCTCTACAGTCGTCGTCACAATCACCGCCGCCCCAGCCATCCCCTCCGGCGAACCATCCTACTCCAACTCTGCATCTTTTACTTCTGCGATTCTTAATTCGACTAATACCTACCGCCGCGAATACAACGCCACTTCATTATACTGGAATACCACTCTAGAAAAATTCGCTACTGCATATCTCCAATCGGATACAACCTGCCGTTTCGCCCACTCAGGCGGCCCATACGGCGAGAATATCGCAATTGGATATGCGAACGCGACAGCGACGGTAGAAGCTTGGGGTAACGAGGATGAAAAATACAACTTCAACAATCCTGGCTTCACGGAAGAGACGGGACACTTTTCGCAGCTGGTCTGGAAAGCGACGAGGGGCGTTGGGTGTGGGAGGAAGTTGTGTGGTACGAGAGGCTGGTTTGTAGTGTGTGAGTATTGGCCGAGGGGGAATGTAGGGGGTCAATATGGGGAGGAGGTTGACAGAAGAGTTGGAGGTGGAGGTGCAGGCGGAGGAGCGACGAGACTGAGCGGTGGTGTTGTCGCCGCTATTGCAGTAGTGGTAAGTTTGCTGCAGTGTGGTGTAGTGGTTGTGGTATTTTGGTGGTTTGGGACTATGATGATGTGATTTGGGAAACTCTGTTGTTTGTTACTGTATATGGTCTTTGTTAAAGTATTTATTTTGTTTGGGTATATTGTTAACGGCATTAGAGACTAAGGAATATGGTAATGTTCATAATCGGCTTCCCACTATTGTCTGCTGATAACGTGCCATGTCTGGTGGTATTTCACATCTTCTACTTGTATCCGTGTATCTTCCATACTTTTCCATCTTGTTAGAATTACGCGCCTATTTACACACACGTATCCAATGGGCGGCCATTGTTGTTTATGTTGGGGCATTGGAAGTTGAGGGTTGGGGATCGGGAAGCCTGTGGACTAAACACATACGGCTCCGCCTCCAAGTCATTTCATACATACCTAGTAAATTATGAACAAGGTTTTCATGGTCTTAGACATAGCAGTACCTTGGACTACTGCCGAAAATATACCCCCTTTGTGCTATACCTATTCTGCTTTACTGGAACATCTCTCTTGAAGAAAACATTACAGCCTTAGTATCAACTCGTCGGTTAATTAAATGCTCACCAATCTGGAGTATTATAAGTCGTTCAAAACGGGATTATAGATCTGGAGATCGCATTGCTCGAGGTGGAAGAGATTGATCAACATTGCTATATGTAGATAGCCACATGTTGGTGACTACCAAATTGAAGCAGGTGTATAGCTTCCCAAGGAAGCATATGTTAGTAGAATATTACATGTAGTTACGGAAGCTCGTTGCTTAGTTCTATTGTATACTGTCGATCATGGAATTAACTTCTCCATGTCGCGTCTTGGTCATACTGTGCGGGCGATCGGCCGGTTACTCTCACCGTTTCCGCGGCTTACTTCGCTCGCCTAATTGGAAGTTATCACAAATGACTTGAATCTAGCCGCGACTCCCACGAATAGCAGCTCAAGCAGCTAACTAGATCTTTGGTTAAGTAACTTGAAGACATCGTAGCTCGGTAGTTTTAAGTTTATCCCCTGCATGAGTGTTTTATATGAAGAAGCTTAATGAATGTCGATCACTATACCAAGAATTAGTCAGTGTCGATCACCGCGCTAGGGGCCTGTGGTTGAATTGATTGAAAGTCCAAGAAATAATTTACTGGCACTGCGATACTAGGTCCTCAGGAATATCCATTATAGCTCCTGGTCAGAGAGTGGAAGAATATCGCCAGCATCAGAAGAGACATCTCTTATCAAATCTTTGCAATATAGCCGAATGGTTGACTACAATCAGCTTGCTGATCTGTTGTAAATAAATATCCACGGTGTATTTCGGGGATGGTTTACACAAACAAACAATTTTATAACGACCATAGGTTAGTGAATACGAGATTCATGTAAGCTACAGGCGTAAATTGCAAGGTGACTGGGCCTAACTCATGCATGAGTTGCAAGCAACGGCAATAATAATCGTTGGGATTATATCATTTCTCAAGTTACCCCTGCTAGAGTTTGAGTTTCAATCCGTGATCGCCAAATAATCCATCCGATTCAGGTGGCTGAGACAAAGTATAACATCATAAAGTTCTATAGCCCCTGTCCTCTATGGAGTTTCAGTTGAGATCCAAGAGATTCTTGGGCACACTCCAAGATATAAAACGCAGCAATATTCCTACGATTCCCAACACATCATCCCATCAACTTCTACCAGTCTTTACTTCATAATCCAGTTACCATCGTCCAAGTCTCAGTTTCTTATTTCTATTTTAACAATATGAAGTACACTACTGCTCTTCTTGCCCTAGCTGCCACTGCCATCGCCGTGCCCACCACCAGTAGCAACAAAGGTAATGGCGGTGGTAAAGACAACAACGGTGGAGAAAGTACCTGCAACACCAACCAGGTTGCAGTTTGCTGCAATGGTCTTCTGGGAGGCATACTCTGCAATATTGGTATCCTCGGAAACAGCTGCAGCAGCGGCTCATATTGCTGTGATTCGAGCGCAGAACAGGTGAGCTCCAGATTGACTTATCTCAAATCTCCCCAGATCACCACTAATAAGAAAATGTGATATTTAGGGCGGCCTTATCAACCTGAACCTTCTCAACTGTGTTGCTCTTTAATCAGGAATTGCCCAGAAAGTGGTCTATTTGGCCCGACTCTTGTGGTCAGCACAACGAGATTACCCTTATCGACTTATACCAGACTCGATGAGAGTCAGCATTCATCCGCAACGACTCGGACATATCAACTGGAGATTTAAGTTCCCTTCGCTACGCTCATTTAGATAACTTGGAGAGCCAGTTGTTAGCAAAGTATTCAATGGGTTTTGGTACTAAATATCGACTGTAACTGTGAAAAAGTGTTCTTCTGAGCCTTGATAATTATCGTATTTCCCATCGAGAGTAACGCAGTTCGTCACACAATGTTAAATTATGATACAGAGTTGACTCCAGTTTAGGCTAACCATTTAGCTCATGCTATCTCAAATTTACACAATGAATGCTAGAATTAATTGCCATCGAATCTAATAGAACTAGCGGGCTAATACCGACGATGCTGATTAGACTAGCTGGAGGACTATAACCTTTTCAAAGTGTTATATAGTACACAGCTTTTAATGTGGATTGCAGGGTAGAGTAGTAAAGAGAAGTGATCTAATCCAGCAGTGGAGTATACTACATGGTGGAAACCTTCCAGTCCCTTCTGTAGCCAAGGATAGAATACCATCACGATTCGCAACGCTATACAAGTCCAGGTAGCTCTCTGTGCTATCAGTATCCTACGAGGCTGAATTAGATTAGAAGACTTCATGTAAGGTTTATTGTCGGCAGTCTAGTTTAGTTGAGTGCAGAAAATCACTGCTAGATATCAAGTATTATTTGTTCAATTGGTACATAACAGAGAGGGGGGAAAGGGAACCACTGAAGAACCTATCCCCCTTTGTCTTATTCAATCTGCTTCCTTGACTGGGCAATTGAACTTAAGACAATTTTTGTCGTTGTCGACAACACATGAAGCTTATCCTCTGTGGCGCAATTGGCTAGCGCGTCTGACTGTTAATCAGGAGGTTGGAAGTTCGAGCCTTCCCGGAGGAGACAAGCATCTTTTTTTGTCCTTTTTGACATTTTTTCTCCCATAGAATATGTTATCAAAGTAGGTACTGTGGCATAATAATTCGGCAACATTGAACCATTATACATCTTGTGATATAAGCGCTTGCAGGGAGAGATTCTACTTTTGCATATACAAGCTCACTCTAGGCGTCAATGCGTCGGCAACAATGGCAGGTGACAATGCCGTGCTGAAGTAGGAAAATAATAAATGAAGAATCACACGCACCCAAATATATGCATTGAATTCCACCCTGCATGTCTTCGCAATTGTAACATGTGGCAACCTTCTGACACCGAAGCCAAGAGATGATGGACGCAGAGCTATTGCCGATATGCCGAGTCTCTCTACAAAGGAACGAGGCCGGCAGACATGAGCATTCTACTTGATGGGACATTCTGTTGCTAGGAAATTGCTAGGAAATAATCCGTCAACTCGTTAAGGTTGTGCCGGGTTACCACAGTTGCTCCACAGTTGGCAGGAACGCTTCCTAGAATATATCAAGTCACATAATATGTAATGATCGAGATTTCTGTCCCAGCCGTTCCAGAGCAAGGCTATGGAGGAAGCGAAGATAATTGTGCTTTCATTAGATTCGACCTGAAACACTAACTCGCGGATAGTATGGTGGATGTAGTCAAGAACGTTGAGGAGGACCGCGCAACGGCAAATCATGAGCACTGTAGCGGCATCGAAGTCACCCGAGCAGCGCTCTATGTACAAGGGCCTGGTGATGGGTGTCACGATCGATTGGGGTACTGACTCGCCAGAATACAATGATCCACTCTTCACTGACTCAATCTGGGGTGTCTCGACCAACAGCATCAGCTGGGGAAATTATACTTACAAAAAGGGCAACTCATCCGGCAGCTAGACTTCCCTGTACGAGTCCGTCGTTGTAAGATGTCATTCTTCGACATGTGAGTCCCAATGTGGAAGCCTCTTGCTCGTTTTAAATATGATTTTATTATTCCCGAGATATCTCTGTAGATTGAATCTTAAGGATTCTCCCTGCTGGTACTGCATTTACCTTGTCATTGTTGTTATTATTTACATCCGGGCTTGCTGCGTATGCTGATTGGCCCTTGTCAGAGTGCATTACGTCGAGTTCCCATCTCAGATTCTCCTCGCTCTCCGTAATCCGTTCAAAGTCCTTTCCCCTTCCTGATGCCAGTCTCGAACGGCTATGAATATTCTTTCGCAGTCCCGTATTTGAAGAGTCACCGGATATCAATCTATTGACAGGTGCGGAACCGTTTCGGGGCGTCTCGCGCGAGGAATTGCCAATGGAGAGCGAAAGCCACCGGCCTACGGTACGGTCAAGTACCGGACGGAGGAGAGGCGCAGAGCAAACCATATTGGCGACGCAGAGTTGGATAACGCCGATAATGGTAAGGGGAAGAGACGAGAACGAAATATCCGTGAAGTCAAGGTTGAAGACGAAGTATAGGCGGATCGCTGTGAATACGACAGTTCTGATCGATGTGTCAGTCCAATCAAAATATTATGCCGGAATAGGTATCGTTCACCGAAGACTTACATGAGACCAAATCCGAACACGCACATCAGGGCTGCCTTGTACGGTTTCCTCATCTGCAGGTTTGCAACTAATCTGAGCGGCAGGATTATAATAGCCAGATCGGTCACAATATCGACAATGCTGACTGCAGCAAAGGCATATGTCTGATTGCCACAGTGGCCTCGTGCAGTTGGATCCCAGTTCATGGTGATAGGCCGACAGATCAGGATACCAGTAAGTATAGTTTGAGCCATCCAGGCGACATTGAGGCTCAGTACCAAATATGCGATCCATGCATAGTTCTGTGTGAAAAAGATGCGCTTCAACATGCATACGAGGCTGTTCTTGGTGAAGCCTAGAGCGAGGGCATACAACACCTGTGCGGCGAAGGTCGTTTGCGAGAATCGTTTAACTTGAATGGGCTGGAGCTCACGAAGATGGTAGCCGCCGCCACCAATAACGACCACTATAGCATGTCTATCAGCATCATAGTCGTAGAGTACAGACTTATTAGAGAGTGTATAAGAAGTGCCAACTTACTGCAGATGTAATTGATACCAACGCCCCAAAACACAAGCTGTTTTGACCGGCTTGGTCAATCATTGATTCAGGGTCCAAGCATTTGCCATTGAGGGAACTTACAAGACCAAGATAACAGAGAATATCCTCCAAGAGAAACGGCGAGATGCCTCTAAGCCGTCGAGTCCAAACTCTCAATCCCGTCCACCCAGTCGCAACCAGAGGCATCAATACACTGACGATCAATACACCGACCCCCGCGCTTGTGATGGGCGGGAACTCGGCCTCAACAATGTGCGACGGTACCGCGACCGCTGCTGCAGCGACATCCCCACTGCGCTCGTCGCGAAACCATGGAGTCTGCTCGTGTAACATTAATGTATTTCGTTGGTTGTGCAGAGCTCAGGTCCGGATCTGCGTCAAGCATTCGGCGGACAAAGGAAAGCAGTTGATTGCCTATATGTGAACTTGAGTGCACGCATATGCATAGTCGGTTAAGGTGGGAATAGCCGTCAGCGGTTTGTTGATAACTGTTGTAATATTTATTGCGAAGACATACATGTACCTGTATGCCCCCCGATTCATGCAAAATTCATCCGGGTCAGCAACCAACAGGTTTCTGTTGGTGCGACCAACCGGTTATGTTGCATGTACTGCAGAATCTGCAGGTGGCCGGATTTTCTCATTTCAAGGGAGAATTGCAACCCAACCAACACCCCGAGGCTGACGGGACTCCCGGAGAAGAACCAACAACAGCTGAGAATTCTTCGGCGGAATCCATGTCCTGTGAGAAATTGGGATGCTGTACAAGGAAACTGTGTCGACATTACCCAATTCGGTAGGCAATTCGGTCACACTAATTTAACGAGCCGGGAACTAGGCAGATCTCCAAGCTGGTCTTTCCGCTTTAATTTTGGTGAGTTTGCGTGGCAAGACGGAAAGCCGCCGAATGGCAACCCACGTTTTGACAGCATTAACCTCGTCGATATGCTCGCCGGCTCGACTCGATGGCCGGGGTGAAGCGAGGTCCATACGATCATCATGGGGGGTTTCATTACCAATGGTGCAAAATCGCGCAACAACCTGGAAGAACACCCCAGTTTTACGGCCAGTCATGCCCAAAAGAGCGTTCCTACTAGGGGGTTGCAGATGGAGGCTGACGTGCTGACAATGGCTTCAGGTACTTTGCAGATGCGGAAGCCGATCCCTGCTTCCTAGTACTGTAATGCTTGAACACTAAAGATGGCACCATCTATCCCTGTTTGTCTGTTGGTTCACTGAAGATGAATCCTTCCCAAACACTTGGCTTAGAAGTACTTGGAGTAACATCGATCCTACGAATGGAGCGTTGGGTGATGATTATAATAATCCGGCTGGATGCCTTTGTGGCTGAAACTCTGAAACCTTGTCTGTATCGAAAGAAGGAAGCCTCTTCCACATCGATCGACAAGTTCCAGGACTCAGATTTGAAAGAAAGATTCCCGTTCAGGGTCCAAGAAAGGAGCTCCGCTAGTGTTTCTGGAACAAGCTAGCTGGCCCGCAGAAGCCAGCCTCCCCCGGATAGTTCGCAGGACTCTATCGAATTTTGTCGAAATTGACAAAGGAGTCATATTGGTTGTTGGTTGTGTTAGTTGCCGGGTTCCTGGAAACCTGAGACTGCTAAGGATCCGATATTCCGGTCGCCTGCATCAGGTAGATTTTGCGATTCTTCTTATAATTAGCTTGTTTTACCTTCTCGTGTGAAAATGGCGGAGCAGAGTAGCACTCCTTTCCATACATCGGTAGAGGAAGCGTCCGCCATGCTTTGGGATTACATCTTTGTTGGCGGTGGCCTCTCGGCCTCGGTTGTGTCTAGCCGTCTCCATCACCTCGACCCAGCACTCAAGATCCTCGTCATTGAAGCTGGAGGCAATGCCAACAATGACCCCAGCGTAGTTTACCCCAACTCTACAAACCTCATTGGAGGCGAGTACGATTGGAAGTATCAGACGATTCCTCAAGTGAATTTGGACAATCGCCAGGTTGATCTGCCATGTGGCAAAGCTCTTGGAGGTGGCACTGTCATCAACTCAGGTAAACAAAGATTTCCCCTCCAATGCATACACTAGCAACTCCGCATAAACATAATGCAGCTTAGCTGTGTTATAGTTAGGAGAGAGCGCAACAACCGGAGAGCACCGATTTTCTGCAATTGAAGCCTGTGGACTAATGCGACTTTCTAGGTGGCTGGATTCGTGGTGACAAGTTTGACTTCGACCTGTGGGGTGATACAGTTGGCGACCACCGCTGGTCTTATGCTGGTCTGCTCCCGTATATGAAGTTGACCGAGACTGCTCCTGCTCCTGTCAAAAACCCTGATGAGCATGGCACAGATGGACCTATGCTCATCCAGAGCATTGAATCGACTCACCGGGAGTTCCCTCTGCGCAACAAGACTCTTGAATCATGGCAAGAAGTTGGCGTCCATCCGCTTCCTAACAATGATGGCAATGCCGGCAACCCTCTTGGTATTGGTGACCTCTTCGAAAACAAAAACCAGGGTCGCCGTGAGATCGCTGATAATGTCTTCAAATTGACCGGCATAACTGTTCTCACGGAAACTCTAGTTTCCAAGGTCCTTCTAAGCACCCCCAAATCGCATAACCAAGCACCTGAAGCCACTGGAGTTCAGCTCGCAAACGGCACCAAGATTCAAGGCAAAGAGATCATCCTCGCAGCCGGCGCTATCCGAACTGCCCAGCTCCTTATGCTCTCTGGAATTGGCCCGTCTGATGAGTTGCACAAGTTTAAGATTCCCGTCGTTCTGAACCAGCCTGAAGTCGGCAAGAACTTTGCGGACCACGGTCTTTTCGGAGCCCTTTGGGCTCTGAAAGATCCCTCCGCTGGATATGCCATTGGATCTGCTAACCCGCTCTTCAATGAGCCTCAATATGGCTACGGCACTCCAGCTGATTTCCTCGTCTCCACCGGTATCACCGATAAGGCGGGACTGGCTGCTGCTATCGAGAAGGATGAGGGCAAGAAGCCTGATCCCAAGAAGCACCCACTGCTGAAGCAGGACCGCACTTTCAATGAGCATGTATTCCAGTATGCCGGTACTCCAGATGGCTCAGCCGTCACCTTTGCTCTGATCAATCTCTTGCCCACATCTAAGGGTAGCGTCACTCTCAAATCCGCCAACATCAATGATGTGCCCAACATTGATCCTAACTACCACGCGACTGAGGTTGACAAGTTTGTTGCCCGCGAGGGTATTCGTCTGCAAATTGCATTTGCCAACTCTAACCGTACCGTTATTGGTCGGGATATTATTGCCGGCGAGCTTGGCGCTCCTGGCTTCAATGAAACATTCACTACTGCATCAACAGATGCTTACATTGATGCCCGTATTGCTGCTGGTCTTGGGTGAGTACACGCGCTCTATGTCATATCACCAAATCGCAGACTCTAACAGCTTGATAGATCTACATTCCACCCCATGGGGACTGCAGCTATGGGCAAGGTGGTTGACACCAACCTCAAAGTTAAGGGTATCAACAAGCTTCGTGTTGTTGATACCTCTGTTTTCCCTGTTGTCATTACCGCCCATCTTCAAGTTGCTACATATGCAACAGCATACCAGGCAGCCGATATTATTTATAATAGCCTTAAGTGTTCCACCAAATAGATTAGAAAGGATACAACATTATTTAATCAACGGGGGTAGATGAATATTTTTCGAGGGTAACAAAGGGTTTAGAATAATGCATTCTGTATCATGGAGACTTTATCTGTGATTATCCAATACAAGATCGATCTATGAGCATCATGTTGTCGAGTAATTAGTCAAGAAAAGCATCATTAATGGGACTGGCACAGCCAAGCTAAATGATCAAGGACTTATTAACTAAACAGAGAAAATTATTATCTAAATTCTCCTCTGGTAGAATTTCCTCGACTTAGTAAACATAGCGAAAGTTCGGATTCTCTCGATCAGTCAAATCCTGAAAAGCCAGATCATGACTGATCTCGGCGACCTGCGCTGCCTTCTGTCGGTTTCTTGCCAAAAGAACAATCCTTGTAACCACCACCAAGAGCAGATACACTCCATAAACGACAAGGTGCACAATAAAGCCTGGTAGATATCTAGGAGCATCTTTCTCCTGGAAGATCTGCGGGGCGATCAGGTTACCCACAGCCCAGCCAACAAAGACTAGAGTCATGGTGATGCCCTTCTTCGTCTGCCCAGCAATGTTACGTGTGACGAGAGAAATGATCATGTTACCCTGGGCAAGGAAGAACTGTGTACAGTAGAAGGCGATAAGCATCCCACCAGCATTTGATGCATTTGGAGTTACGACGAGGATGACGATGGTGCCGACAATAGCTGGGATAGTCCAAAGCTGTATTGTGGCAACACTGTTAGTAAAATTCACCTCATTGGGGAAAATTGTGTTAGTCAAACGCAATAGAGCGAGAGCTTACCAGCATAATGAAACATGTCTGCCCTGATTTCTGAGATGCCCATGCCGACGAGACCATAACAATTATTGTCAAACCACCCTGGGCAATATTGAGAAGCTGCGTCTGGAGCAGAGTAAAGCCAAACTGTTCAATAATAAGATTGGAGAAAACACCAAGTCCGCCAATGACCAAGTTTGCAACCGTAATCAGCAGGACGCAACACCAGACAAGAGGATCCGTGAGTGCCTCAATAATCTGATACTTTTTGTATTTCTTGTTTTGGATACCGGTCTCGTTGTGGCGCACGCGCTCAACCATGAGACGCTTTTCTTCTTCGCTGTAGCACTTGGCTTTCATAGGGCTGTCGGGAAGAAGAATGGCTATGAAAAAGGACCATACGACTGCTGCTAGACCGAGGACGAGGAAGAGCAGTTGCCAGTTTTTAATGGGACCGTTGGTGAAATGCGAGACACCAAAGGCAAGGAGACCGCCAACCTGTACTGTGATCAGCAATTAAAGTATTGGATGTAATACGAGGAGGCCCATTGACGGAGGATAGCCTCAATGTGTATTTCGTACCATTAGCTGCAGTCCTGTCATGCAGTACCAGAGTGAGTTCAACATGGATTGTTCTTCTCTCGTGTACCACATAGAAGTCCTATAATACCAGACTTTCGTCAGTCTCCAGTCTCGCGGAAAAGAACCCAGAGGCAATGCCTCCCCATAATAGACCGGATTCGGAACAACTTACAGTAACATCATTGCTGGCTGCACACAACTCTCGAAAAAGCCCAACAGAAACCGAAGAGCCATGAGGCCACCAAAATTGGTCGTCGCAGCGGAACATGCCACCACGGTTCCCCAACAGAACACATTGGCAGCGAGGAGCTTTCCTACGGGCAATTTCTGCAACAAAAAGTTTTGCGGATATTCTCCAACGAGGATACCCAGATATAGAATAGTTCCAAGCCACGAATACTGGATGCTGGTCAGTGATATGCCGACACATTTGAGGGAGTTTAGGCCAGTTATGAAATATGACTTACTTGTTGCCCCACGAGATGAGCGTCAGTCTTGATACCCATGATAGACGCAAAGTTCAACGTTCCTTTATCCAAGGACTGACAAAAGTAGGTGACCAGCTGGATCACAAGAATGCGACGGTTAATCTTCCAAAACAGGCGCTTGTTGGTCGCCGCGTCAATCTCAACTCCTGGGCCATCCACATAGCGACTGGTTTCTTCATCGCCGTCGAGAGACTTCTCCGATATGCCAGGTACCTCTTGATGGGTGGCCTGCGGAGAAGCTTCCATGTCCTTGGAGGCGGCCATTGTGAGATTCTGAAACTGGGTTTCACAGTCTATCTGACTGCTGAGGAGGCAAATGTAACGTTATGACACAATTCCCAAGCGTAACTGCATATCGTCCATGATACTCTCGCTCCTTGATATATCTTTCTTCAGTGGCATGATATGGCAAATGGCTGAACATCGTCACTTTAGCCTAGTAGTGCAACTGGCCTCGGAGTGCCCCGAGTCTTCTTCCGACCTCCGCAAGCCACAAATATGCCCCTGCTAGCGTTTGTCCACTCCGACCCACCGCGCGGCCATGATTCCGGATGGTGGCCGACTGGACGCTCAAGCCAGAAATAATGAAGATGGCCCCGTTAAGAAGATTTGATTCGATGTTGTCCTATGGAACGAGGAGTTGATCAGTTTCTCAGAGATCAGATAGTTTTTGCATACCTGCAAATCTTCATACAAGACCACTATACCCTTCTCTTGAGCGATACCATTTTGAACCGCGAATCTACTTGCAAACAGGACTCTATTTATCAAAGATGCTACAAATAGAACCCCCTACCTCTGTGTCTGTCACCAACGGCACAGATCAGAATCCAGGCTACTTACCGCCAGATCAATCTCAGAATAGTCCTGAATGGCTGCCAGACCAAGTAAGACAGCACTTATAGCGCCAAAGTTTTTACAAATATGAGAAAGACTAACCTATACGCGAAAGAACACGACAAAACAACATCCTGCAGAACATCAATATCTTACGAACGGGAAGCATCCTAAACGATCGCTACTACAAGGCCTTTATTCTAGCAATGTGGTGGCCAAGATATGGGGAGTAGCAGCGCCTGCTCTGTTCAAGGTATGAGCTATAAGTGTGGAATATTGTAGAGCTATTCATCTGACCTTGGTGCCATAGTCAGAGCCGCCTACTCTATACCCCGAGTATACCAAACCTGGCGGTACACGATATGTATTTCGGGAGCTCGATTTCTGGACGTCAGGTTTCTTTCCTGGCAGTCTATACTTGCTCCTCGAGAGAGAACGGCGCTTCAAGCGAGAGCTTGCTATGATACAAGAGCCATCAGTGTCTTCTTCGACACTCCATCCTATGCATCTCGAGTATGTTTGTAACTTGAATATTATTAGTGGAGGCATTTTAGAAACTAACGTTAAAATTGGCAAGATTCGCTTGCAAGTGGTGGACGACCAACCTCCATCAGAACTCGACGCTGGCTTCCACGCATGACCTTGGTTTCATGATCTTCCCTTGGGCAAAGCTCGCCTGGACACTCGATCACGACGTACTTGCGCGAGATACTATAATACGAGCATCACGGATGTTGGCATCGCGATATGTGCCCGCCACTGGGGCGATACGATCCTGGGATAGTTGCACGACGTTGCGGTATTCGTTCATAGATCCGACAAAGGACTTTCTCTTCATCATTGTAAGATCCATCTTACCACTTTCTTGGTCTTGACTACATGTTCATGCTAACGAATAATTTGTTTTCCCCACCAAGGATAACATGATGAACCTGGACATGCTCTTCTGGACGGCCTCGGAGACTGGAGACCAAGAGATGTACCAAATCGCCGTGAACCATGCGAAGAAAACACAAGCATGCCACATAAGGGCCGATTACTCCACGACACATCTTGTGGTCCTTGATCCGAATACTGGTAGCGTCAAATCTCGACTGACAAACCAAGGATACTCCGACACATCGTCATGGACCCGTGGTCAAGCGTGGGCCATTGCAGGCTTTGCGCAAACATACAACTGGACGCGAGATGTATCTTTCCTCGAAACTTCTCGAGGATGTGCAGACTACTTTCTCAGTAAGCTGCCTGCCAACGGCGTGCCGCCCTGGGATTTTTGCGCTCCCACGGATTCTGAGCAACCGCCTGATACTAGTGCGGCAGTGATTGCTGCTTATGGTATGCTTCTCATCCATGAGGCACTGGTACAGAAGGGAGAGCAATCGTCCTATTTTGAGAGTGCGATTAGAATAGTAAAGGCTATCTGTTCGAAGCACATGACTCCACAAAGTTGCTTCGTAGCGACAACATCTACGTTGGACACTGTAGAGAAAACTACACGCAACGTACAGACGGAGTTTACGGTAATTCAGGATGATGCTATCCCACATACCATTCTTGGAGGCGCCACCATCAACAATTACGAGTTTGCTCCAAGGCGCTGGGCTAACCATGGTCTTGTGTACGCCGATTATTATTTCTTGCTGCTTGGAAACAAACTCCTGGAGATGCAGGCAACAATGTCCCTATCAGAAATACAGATATAGACCTAAAGCTCGCGCAAGCTCACGCCAGGGTTGGATACGGATTACAAAGGAAGGCTACCTTTCACAAATCTGGAGCTATAAACGATTAGACTCTTGTAGTGGGATTCTTTGGGGTGCTATTAAGATATTGAAACAGATATAGAATATGAACAGCTCGTAATAATTTAGAGCACTATTCAGATAAAAAGGCCAATCGGTATCATTCAGAGTATTTTACATGTTATTAGAGTAAGAAAAAACGCTCACCCTCTGATCGGGTGGAAAGGATGGATCGAGGAAAGCATCAACACCATCATAAGAGTGAACATCGGCCATTATGGGATCTGCAGACCGTACGCCTATTGCAATACCAGCTCGAGGAGAATCAATTGGCATGGACTTCGAGTGGCCGTTGTAGGACATTTGGCCCTGTAAACTTAACGGTAAAGGTGGAAATGCCATCGAGATGCTGTCGGGTGATGCCCCGTGGAGATCACTAAGTGAGGGAGTGGGCACGCCGACGCCGGTTGTGTCAATGCCATGGGTAAACGAGCCTGGGCCTGAGCCTGAACCCTCACGCCTGTTGGTGTTGACTGCCGTCTTATCAATGTACTGGTCGTCAGAATATACTGGCTCCCGTATATCGAGAATGTGCTGGTCGTGCTGCCGTGCCTGTGTTAGCCGTGTGGCGAACTTGGATGCCAAGTTGTGTGTCTCCCCATTTGTATCGTCGCTGAACGGCCCATTCCAGCGATTAGAGATGTTATAAAGACTTGAGACTAGTGAATTGAATGAAGGAGCCAGAGGCTGGCTGTGGTAAGAGGAATAAGCCAAAAGCAGCCTCCCGCAGATGAACAGACAGAATGCGAACTGGGGGTTGGTCAAAGAAGTGGAGCGTTGCAAGTATGCCTCTGCAATGATGCTCACTTCAGTTGCGGCTGCAAAGCAGGTTTCGGCACTCGAAAGAGATGGTAATCGTAACCGTTGACTCTGCCACTCAGGCAGTGGGAATGCAATAACTTGATGAAGTAGAATTACAGCGGTATTATGCGTCATATGCGCCAGGGTGAGGTTGGGGTCCATATTGCCGTCCGCGTTGAGAACACAGGCTTCCCGCCAAGGTTTGGGTAGAAAGATTTTCCATCTGATACCGACAATCATGATTAGTATAAGTGATTAGGTATAAGTAACGCTATGCCAAATAAACGACGACTTACTGAACCAATCGCAAGTCCAGCTGCTTGAAGCGGACCAACCACAGCTGAAACTGGTGAGGGTCGCTAAAGTCTAAGTCATGCTGAAGGAAGAACGAGGTAACCAGGCTCAGGCTCTCGGTTGCTTCAATACAGAAGGCGAAACCGCCCAAGAGATCCTGGTCTTCACCGTCAGGTCGAGCTGTCGGTACAGCTGGATTAGCCCGTGAAGTTAGGTCTGCGATGCCAAAGTAGGGCGTGGGTACGTCGAGCGGCTGGCCGCGTTCCCATAAGCTGCCTTCGCAAGGGAGTCTTCGTTTGACATCGGCACTGGTGAGAGAGAAGTTCCATCCCGTGGCAATGCTGCAGAAGCGATCCATTATGAAGATATTCCAAAAGACGCGTCGGCGCTCTTCGGTCTCGCTCCAGCTGCGGCATCGGGGGAGAAAGTTCATGCGTCTGATTAACGTCTTGGTGAGTGGCTTATTCTGGTCCTCTTCTTCTACACTGAGCTGAAGTTGCTCAACCGTTCGTGTCATGCTGCCAACAATCGACTGCACAAGAATAAGAAGGAAATTAGATTCTCAGTCATTTCACGATCGTGTCCAAGATAATTACTCACCCATGCAGAAGGACCTCGCCCGCCACCAATCTAGAGAAAACGTTCAGCAACATCCTCAACATTGAAGCAGAAGCATAGTGACCAACCAAGTCAAAAGAACAAATGGTCAAAGCCTGAAGATTCTCCACTGAGAAAGACTCCATGCTGCGAAGTATTACTACTTGTCGGCATTGCCGAGCGTAGGCCGTCTTTTCAGCGCCATGGCCGAGACGTGGATCATTAGAAAAGCGTGCACATAGCGATGTAATGGCGTAGAAAATGGTCGATGCGCTCTCACGCCCATTGGGCATTAATAACCGCTCGCGAAAGTGCCGAACATGAAGCATTGGTATCCATTGGTGCACCTGGTCGAAGTATATGTCGATGAGTGCGTCCATGAGTTCGTCCGGCGGCAAACGAGCTTCACTGGTAGCTCCAGGTGCACTGCTACCGAGAGACTTTGGTAATTGTGGTGGCCCTTCTAAGTCCTGTACTGCGGATTGTTGTTTGCTCTGTACAGTAGAAGCCAGTCGATTCCGCAATTGGGTAATTGACTGCTCCAAGTTCTCTTGTGTAAATCCATCGGTGCTTGTGTTCTCGACGCTTCCGCTCGTGGGAGAATTCAAGCCCCCGAACAGTTGATTCCACAAGATGCTTTGACCCAGGAACATTTGCTCCAGCGACGCTGGATGAAGGGAATTAGCGGGCGACAAGTCACGAAAAGGAAGATGAAATAACTCCTCCTGTTTCGAATTCACTCACCAATCCTTTGGTTGATGCTCTCAATGGCGCCAGTGCGAACACCCGTTTTGGCTCTTCCGTCGTAGTAGACACACTCGACATCTGCAAGGCAAATTTTAATGTCATGATTCTCCAGCTTTGTCCCAATTGACGTACTGTATCTCACGCATGCGGAGCATGGCTGGGTTCTCGAACATGCTGACTTTTTCTTTCGACAGTTCTGGCAAGCAGGGCCTTCATTTTCCTGATTATCGTCCCTGCTAGAGAGCTTTCGCTTTTTAGAGGCGGCTTGCTTATCCTCGGAGCCGGTAGCGGAGCCTTGCACATCCTCAGCTTCTACATCGTCGACAGGCATCATGACCGGAGAGCATCCAACACAGAGCAGGCATGCCTCGCAACAGAGCAATTGGCGATGATGTAGAGAAAGTTAAGACTCCAAGCTTGTTGCTGGATATTAGAGCGGGATGGCATGGGGCAAAAGGTACAGCAAATAGCACGGCAAATAGCGTCAATGGCTTCAATGACTTTGTGGAGTCCCCGCAGTAGGAAATCGTGGGGTAGAGCCACGAGTATGGAGCAGAATCACATGATTGCAGGGGGAAGTTTTGCTCTGTGAGTCGATCAAAGACATTTTCGGATCATATCAAACCGATATACGAACTTGAAGGACCTAGAACTGCTAGACGAAGGTAATTCGCGTTACTAGGAAGCGTGTAAGCTCTCACGTGTGCAGGAGAAGCGGGATGCTCGGGGTGTCTCCGAGACTTGGCCCGAGATATACACCGCCCAGAGAGCCTATAAGCGTGCCAATAGTTAGTTCAATTTTTGAACCCCCGGCTTAGAGGCTACAATTAGAGTCTTCTTCAACAGCCAATACTAGATGTGTAATGCCATTAACAAATCTCATAGGGCATCTCCGCGGGGTAAGTGTGGAGAAACCAGGGTTCTTCAGCAGCATTATTGTATGATCAGGATGGCATCAATGTGTGATTTGCTACATGCTCAATGTACATAGTAAAATCCTTCCAAGCGATTCTCTCAGTTCTTGAGCTCATGGCATGGTTTCGCAGCTGGATCCATGTTGACGTCCGCCCAGTCTGCAAAGACATACCCTCCTAATGTAATGTCACCCCTTGAAATAGGTGCGCTTCCGCCCTTGAAAGCTTCATAGCTCTCATATACAGACGCTTTGTGTGTTTTGCCTGGTGCCAAATTTAGACCAGGAGCTGCGAGAGAGATATTTGAACCATCAAGTGGCCTGTATCAAGTTAGCCAGCATTCTTGCATTCTTTCAGATGTGTGGATCAGGGTGGTTAAACTCACAATGGCTGGATGGCATTCTCAAAGACATCTTCAAGGATTGCAACAACGCCCCGGGCAAGCTGCTCATCGCTTAACTCAGGCTCAAGAGCCAACTTCACATTATCGACGCTGATCATGCCGTTGGGAGCCTTCTTGAGTACATGATCAAGGTGAGCTTCAGCCTTGCTACCGTATAAGTAAAAAGGCATGCGGTCAGGATAAGTTTGATCAAGCGCGTTGAAGAACATTGACTCTTGAACCACCACACGGATGTTAGACAATTTGAAGGTCATGATAGGTTCTTGCCCATCTTTCGGTATGCCTTCATCGAGGCGCCATGTGATGTCAGCGCCAGATTTGACCATGTCTTCAAGTAGTTCTTTTTCCGTATTGGCCACAGTGTAGAATTTATCTGGATTCTCCTTGCGGAGCTGCTGGTAACGCTGTTTAGCATCCTCAGGAAAGTCGGCTGTTATAATGAGCTGCCAGCGGTGGTTCGCCATGTGAAACATGGGTATATGAACAAGATGAATCTGGTCGAGACCTTGCATGACGAATCCGTGGAAATCGGGCTCGATCTTATTGCGAATAATACATTTCTATGGCTGACGCTTAGTTCTTCATCCTCTGTTGTAGTTTAAAGAGCCAAACTTACTTGCCCAGATAGCTTCAGGATTGGCTACTGAACCATCCTATTTTGACGATGTCAAGATCGCAATTAGCAATGATTTCATCAACAAAAATTGCGAAGCCACTTACACAAGTAATGTGGGCCCAGGGCGTAACATTTCCTCTCTTTCTGTAACCTAGCATTTTGCAGAGGTCTTTTCCAACAGTCCTTTCCTTCTCTGTAGTCAAAGGACTTGCTTCAGTTGCGACATTGTTGGGATTGTACATCATCGTCGCCATGTCTGACCCAGTTAGCTACACTGCTCGTCACAAAAGCAAAGATATCTTACACCCAATGATGCTTGGCAATGCGACATCCATATTCATATGAGCATTGTATCGAGGCGACCAAAATGGGATCGAATGCAATGCAAGCTTCTCTGATAGCGTGTTGACATAGCCTCGAAGCTCGTCAATACTCTCTGTATACGTCGACGCTTGCATCATCGAAGACGTGATAAATTCAGGATCATCGTGGTAGAGATTTTGGCGCACTGTCTTCTGGTCTTCCAATACTTTGCCCATGAGTTCACTCAGGATATGAAAGTTCTCAGCCTTGGGTCCTAAAAAGTAGGACCCAACTCTTGCATGTGCAAGTCTGTCTCTATGATGAGGATCATCACCCATGGTTACTACTTTGCAATGGTCGGTCTGTAAATGTTGAATCCAGTACTTAACTAGTTGTTAATGAAGACCATTGCACACAGTTTTGCGGGAGAGGGCCTTTTACTTTATATATCAGGCATTCTCAGTAGCTGAGCTGCCATCACAAACCTCCAGCTGAGCCACCTTCATGCTTCTAGCTCTTTCTGGTAACCAAAATTCTGAATTGGCGCCAAATATGCACGGTAGTGGCCAGTCACCGTCTCAGACATGTTTTGACCACATTATTGAATGTGATATACAGTGTAGTAGGTGAGATTCTACAGACGCCTATAACTACACAAGGCATTTAAGCGAACAACCTTTGCAAGCCTACAGAAAGAGGCGTATGGAGTATAAGCCGCTTCATCCCGCCTTGCATACGATAGCGCATTTCGTATCATAGTGACAGCAAAATATCGAAACGCCATGCTATTTTGGTCTAAAAAGCGGCTATTAAACAAGCTCGTAGCCTAACCGATTGGCTGTAATATATCGAAGTCAAGTGGGCTTCAAGTATTGGCAATAGTCTCATGTTCCTTCAGCTTGTATCTCTCCTGCCACTAATTCTGCGCTCCGCCGGCTGATGCGATAATGCGATAATGCTCTTAGGACACTTATGTTAATATCTCGTATCGATGACATTGGCATTCACCTCGCCGCTAAGATTGATAATAAGGTGCAATTAGCATGTTTAATTTCTTTATAGTCATATTTTGGGGCAACACTATCTAGAAAGGATGGAATACAAATGAACATTTCAGTACCAGTGACCAGTAGAATACACGCAAATCTTGATGAGTCAAATCAAGTTCATTCCTCGCTTGATGCATTAGAGCTTCGAACAAGTATCCAACTAGTTCCCTTTGCATGCGATGCTGATGCGCTAGGTGCAAGTTCCAACTGGCTGCTGCTTATCCCAGATGTCGTGATCCGGGATATTCTCCTCAAAGTATGTCTCAGCGACTCTCTTAAACCCCACGACTGGCCCATCATACGGCCAAGGTTCTCCAAGTCCTGTCGCAAAAATGGCAAATGACGCGCCCGAGAAAACAAAATAGTTTGTTGGTGCGAATGCTTGCCATGACGAAGCAATCTCCGCTATGTAGTTTGGCTGAAGCGCATTACCTAAACTGTATCCAAGTTGGTAAAGTAGCGGAGTGGCGCGAATGTGTAACACGAGGGGCTCCGTCAACCTTGTGGTGTTGAGGGGAATTTGATGATACTGTTCAAGTTAGCCTCCATAAAATGCAAATGCTACAATCATTGAGTTTTTCAGGAGTGGTGAAGTTTCACCTGCGATGTTTGGTTCTGCCAAAGCTCCGTATATATGCAAAGCCCTGTGGTGTTCGCGCACCCAGTGACACCAATGTCCTGATGCTGAAACTCGGAGAGATACGAAGAGATCCCGACCTGGTTTTTTGAACCCAATGTCTTATTGAAGCCCAATAACTCTGCGGAAAACGTCATATTGAGGGATTTCTGCTTTCGGAGCAGCGCCGCGGGTGTGTCCCTATCGCTAAGGCTGAACACATTTGGCCTCAACTCGATACTACCTTTGTGCACCTTGAAGTTCCGAGTATACGGAGTCCTCAGCTGGTACCACTCAGAATCCAGTGTTTGAGAAGAAAAATCGTCCACGAATGGAGGCGGAATGCGGCGCTTGCCAGTTACCGGCCCAACTTCTTCACTCAGCAGAATTGGTTTCCCGTCGTTGAATATTGGCCATCCATCTTTCCAGGTGACACTTGTGAGAAAAGTTTCTCGTCCTAACAGCAGTAAGCATTCGATCCATCGTACCAGAGCGCCTAAGACCTACCCAGTGGAGAGCTTCCATTTATCTTCCTTCGAGCCAAGAAAGCTGCATACCATTTACCCGATGGGGTTTCTACCATCGTAGCATGTCCCGTCGATTGCACCGTCAGATTATCGAAACCATACGCCCCATTGAACAGAAGAGGATTGTTTGGCCCAGCCTTGAAGGGGCCTTCCGCCGACCTGCTCCTGGCAATAGTCGAGCGGTGCAGGTCATCAGTTCCACCTTTGAAACAGCATTAATTCTCATTCTTCTTCTTTGTGGATATCTTCTCTGTAAAAGGAACTAACCTTCAGCAATTAAGAGGTAATACCAGCCATCTTTAAATGTCATCTTTGGCCCTTCCGGCCGAGCTGTAGCATTGTGGGTCAAAGTACCGTTCCACAAACTCCGATACTGCCCACTACAGTTCCCGTCTTTCAGACTGATCTCACACTGGTAAATGCCCCAGAGTCGGTCTTGGTTGTTATTCGGTGCCATAAGACTCAGGTATGTCTTTTTCGAAACGGGATCTCTGAACAGTTCTGGGTCAATGCCCCATGGATCAGCCCAAGTAGGCTCAGACCAGTGAATCAAGTCGACAGACGACGCAAAGAATACGCGTGGCCACACTCGGGCGACTGGATCGTATGTCCAGCGCGTCATAGAAGCAATCCAGAATTTTCCGTCAAAATGAGCCAATGAAGGTGCCCAGGCTCCTATCAATAGTCAATAACTACATGATCTCACTGGCTCATGCTGAGTTGGTATACGGACCTGCTCCTGTGGGTGTGCCATAGAGCTGTAGTTGGTCAGGTCGCGTAAAAGCATGTGATATTAGTGACCAATTGGACAAGTCACGACCTGCTCCCAAGTTAGATCATTTACCATATGATTTGAGTCAAGCTAACTAGTTCTGCGCTTCGTACTTTTGTAGATGGGAATTCCAGGAAAATATTCGAAGCTGGATGTGGCGATATAGTAGTCATCTTGAACTCGAAGAATAGAGGGATCGGGATTCCATCCTGATATGATCGGATTGTGAATTGCCCTAGCGAGGCTAGCTATTGTAAGCCAAATTCCGAAGAAGATATTATTTCCCCGCATGTCGTGGTGATGGATGGGGACAACACCCTTTGAGTTGTCATGAGGGCGTCATGGTCGCCAGTAGCCAGTATAAGTACATGAGGGGTGGCTTCAGTCGAATTAATCAATCGTTGAATGTTTGCAGCATATTTTCACTATCCGGCTACGCAAGCAAATGCCCCTTAACCTTTCTTCGACCTAGAGTAGACCGATTGAAGAATGAGCAGTCTTCGGTACAAGTCTCGGACCAACCTCCGGCGGTAGCTGTGATGCGGACAGACTACCTGTATGTAGTCGCTTCCTCCCCTGGCTTACTCCACGCTGCTAATTCATCTCCAATTACCCCAGATTCTCCAACTGCTTCGGAAAGTATGCCGACAACTACCTTTGATCCCCGGCCAACTTGCGCGTTGAAGATGGAGTAGCAGATTGCTTACCACAATCGGAACAATGTTTACTTCAGAGTAGGAGATCACAAGTCTCCACACCACAAAAATCCAGTTCTACATATGATTAAGTATCTTAAGAGCCATGCGTGCTTATTCTCTACCAATTATCTCTTCGACCGGTAGCAGCCTGACACCACCACCTTGTGGGACCGCCTTGATTAATGAACCATGAAAGAATTTTGACGCACAAACGAGGCATTGTCGTTGAACTATGACAAATCGCTACCAGTTTAGAATACTGGAGCAAAACTTAGCTCTTGTCGATTACATATTCTCTCCTTCCAGTTACATCGTCTTGTGCTGAGTGGCGTTTGTAAATTCTTGGTAAGAATGACAAATTAAGATGAGTAATTGTCAACGAGGATCACTCTCATTGAGATGCTGCAAGAAACCCAAGGATAGTCCACGCTTGATGAATGCATATCATTTATTGATTACGAGTGCATGTAAAACTTTATGAGGTAGTGCATTAACAAAGTTTCCATGAAGCCTGTGGCTACTATGGCTAACACTTTCATTTTTGCTTAGACTTTGATGAGGCTTTGCTCAGTCTTGAGAGCTCTATTGCAATTTGCCAGACATTTTGATTATCATGATTAGTCTATACTTGTTGATCTTTCTCAATCTAGAAACGCGAATATTTTCTATCATCTTCTCTACTCATTTGCCATGAGATTTGGCCCAATCTCCCAATGATATGCTCCATAGTAGATAAACTGCATCCGTAGAACAAGATGATTTTCTCAAAGAGCATAACGGCCTTTTTTTCTGATTTTCTCACCAAACACAAAGAGGATCCAAGGAATGGGAATCAGACCAATGGCGATGAAACCGAGCAGACTAGCGGCCCATTTTGTCGTCATTTTATTGTACACTAGGTGACGTAGCATTAGTATTGTGCCAAGAATGGTAACTCTTCTTTGTATGGTCAACCTACTTTGTATGATAAAGAGCGGAAAAGCAGCAGCAAATACATAGCGTGTAAAGGCATTTGCTGATAGCGCTGAGGCGCCGTATCGTGCACCGTAGCAATCGATCATATAAGTAATGCTAGTGGCCTTGATCATGTATCTTTGTCAGTATATAGCACGTGAACTAGACCACAAGAGAGCAACTCACGAATATGCAGAGGTTTCCCCAGTTGAAGGGGATCAGAGCAAGTACCGGACTGATCCAGTGGATATCTGAGCGAGCTGTCCAGGCAAACCAGAAAAGGCCAACGGCGACTCCCAAACTTCCCATCATAGCTGGATAAAGGCGCTGCTCAGGTGGCAGATGGCCCACATCTCCCCTTTCGCGTGCCTCAATGGCCTTCCTCTGATATATGAAGCGGTCACAAAGAACGTTGGTCATAGTTGCAATCAGTGTGCCAACACCCAGAGAGATAAAGACAAGCCCGTTCTGGTGAGAATTAAACCCATACGTCTTCTGGAAGACCAAGGGAAGAGATGCAAAGAACGCGTAGAGAACGGCAAAGTCGAAGCCAATGTACAAGCTCAAGAACAGGACGATGGGCTCGGTGAAGAGAAGATGCATAGGTCTCACCAGCGATTCGGTCACCCATTTGTGCACCGCGCCCCAGCTCAACGAGGGCATCTTCTTCTTGGAAAGCAGCTTCTCTTTGATCTTATCTTTATTGTCGCGCTCGAGGATTTTCTTTTTGTATGTTTCCTTCATGCCGATGGCAAAGACACAGGTCGCGACACCCCAGAAGACGGAGACCCATTCGAGCCACCGCCAGTTGAGTCTTTCCACGACAAACCCGCCGATTATTGGAGCTGGTGACAAGTTAGTACCATGTCTTTTACCATACTTGAGACAGAAATGAAGAATGATCTGGGGGCATTGACATACCAATACAGGGTCCCATAAAGGGGGCCATAACAAAGAGAGCCGTCGCCGGTCCACGACGTGCAGGAGGCCACATATCTGCCATTGTACCCCCGCCAACGCTCAATGCCGGGCTTCCAAAGACGCCGGCAAAGAAGCGGCAAATGACCTCGGCGGCAATGTTCTTTGATGTAGCAGCACCTATGAGAAAGAGGGTGGCAATGGGCAGCCCCAGGCGGTACACAATCAATCGTCCTGCTGTCTCGCTAAGCGGTGCACCTATCATCGGTCCAAAGGCCAAGCCGAGGCAAAAGAGTGAGATGCCGAGGAGGGAAACCGTTTCGGATACGTGAAATTGTTGTCCTGTTGCTTTTGCTCCTGGTGCGTAGGCTGAAGACATGTACGTGCTGATAGACCGCTAGATTAGCCACACTCCTGTTGCATGTGTATACGTGCTCTGTTGTCATGATATCTGTCCCTGTATACTTACACGGTAAACGCGTAGAGAGAAACACAAACGGTATGATATAGTCGTTTTCCATCACTCCAGTTGTATGGATTGCGAGGGTCGTCTTCCCAATCCAATTCATGACTACTTCCAGGTGCGCTTTCTGGGTCACTAGTCGGAGACGAGTCCTCTTCTTTGTCGGTAGGCAGTTCGTTCTCCATTCTGTCTTCTATGGCGTCCATCTTGACTGATGACTGAAAAGACGCCTTCTCCTTCAAATCAATCGCCAAATGGCCGCGTTAGATTGCCAAGACAGTAGGGCTATATATCCGCATTGGAGAAAAGGAGCAAACACGAGGGCAGAGTTGGGGTCCCCAAGTTTGTCCATCTACATTAGTAAGGCTCGATCGCGTCGCCTCCACCCTGGGATAAATGTGCCGAACCGCGGCATCTCCCGTACACTCATTAGGGGAATGGATGATCCTTGGGAGGGGGTCACACTATTCCCAGCTTTATTCCCCAGGACAACCGTGAAGGTTTCGGTTACGGTGACAAATCATTTCCCAGTCCGGCTACACTGACTCAAAGTGCAGAGTAATGGATGTTTAGTCTTGTGTTGTTTGCCGGTCTCAAGATGCGTCTTTGGGCTTGTAATAACTTTTCACAGGAGCTGAGCAGCTGAAGAATGATAATATCTTCATTCAGGCTCATACTGCCGTATATACAGCCTACATTTACTCACAAATGGGCTCTTATTCCTTGTCAAACAAACGATGTACAGGAAAAGGTCCATCGTCCGCTATTAGTAAACCGGAGAGTTTCGATGAATCCTAATCCCCGATTGCCTCTTCTGGCTAGTCTATGATTTTTCAATTGGTAATCAGCTTCCGAATTCGGCGGATGAGGTGAGCAAAGGGATAAAACCCGAACTTCTATAAATTCCCGACCATCCCACCCATCTGACCAATGAAGCCTGGCTGACCTTTTTCTTGGTAAGACGCACGACTCAAGTAGGGTTCAAGAACCATTTGCAGTTTGCGGCTTAGGGCAGAAGAAGATGCTTCTCCTGAGAGAATACTCAGACGATCTACAAGGGGGTTGGCTATAGCGGATGACGCTGGTAATGACCAAATAGCCAAATGCTACATAGAGAGAGCTTCGCCTTGCGCGCGGCTCGTATGTAATACAAACGCTAGACTAGCAAAAGGAGTCGAATGAACTGAACAGGGTTCGGTGATCGCAAATCAATCTGCCTGACGCGAAATCCGAGGACAAATCATTCACCCCACTTGGACCAGATTCCGCTGCCCGTAACAGAAACTAGCACCGATTCGTACATACATGGAATCATGGGCTTACTAGCTGCAACTATTCGGAATCTATGACCCAGCTGGGCAAGGCGATCCACTGGCGATCTGCGAAATACTTAAGGCACGGAGCCCAACTCTTGCGCTGAATCCAGCCGTTTTCGCATATTACTTATCACGATTATTATTCTCAAGTGCTATTAGCCGTCACGTGACCGGAGAATCCGGCCATTTGGTTCTTATTAATAATCTCCGTTTGCCATGGTCGCGTGGTAGCACAACAATATAATTCTTCCCACCCCTGGAATATCGCGACCCGGAGCTTCGCGCAAACACTCCTCCAGTTGTAGAAAGTCTAGCGCCTCATAAAGAGCTGCACAAGCTATTGTGCGTAGCCTCAATCCGCTGAGGGCTCCTCGTATAAGGCTTCTAGCCCCCAGCCAATCATGTCAGAAACACCACCAAGAGGGAAGAGGCGGCGGACTGAAGAGTCGGATACCGAGGGCACCGGCTCAGTGATTGAAGTTGGCAGGTCAATCACCGCAAAGCCGCAGCCCAGAAGTGAGGATACAAATGGGAGACCCGAGCCAATGACTGACGCAGGTGAGTCCGGCACCGTATGAACTCGGTATGAGATGGTTCTGACGAGGCGCCGTTTGTATAGAAAAGAGATATCGAGCTTGGCGCAGTGAGTTTTGCCCAGTCTCGTTCTTTTGGTACTTGTTTCAAACTAACTAGGAGGTGCAGAAAATGGCTCTCCTCACGATGCCTTCTGCTTCGTCTGCAAGCGGGAGATGGACTTGCTAGACTGTTACACATGCCGAAGGGCCTACCACCAGGATTGTCTAGATACACCCGTCGATAGGCTCACCCACAGTGACAACTTCTTCTGTCGAGTCTGTGTCAATCGCCAATGGCACGAGCATCTGCCTCCGCCGAGCCCGCCGCCATCTCCACCGCTGGAAAGACAAAGGGTGGCCCTGCCCAGTCACAGGCCGAGCACGCAGCCCAACGTCGAAGTGCATGCGACTTCGACTTCAGCTTCGACTTCACCAGCTCCTTCAGCACCAGCCCAGAATGCCCAGGCTTCGGGCCCGACGTCCTTCACCTGGCTATCGCAGAACCAGTTTACGACTCCTCTAACCCGCTCCACTGCGATTTCAAGTCCCCGAACCCCAACACCTCTCTCGGGTGTCATTAACCTCAACGGCCCTGGTCGGGGGATCGTGGCTGGTCCGCGCGGTCCCCGTTCACGCTTTTCTACACTGTCAGCTGAAGTGGATGATGCCGTTTCCTTAATCCTCAGAGAGCTGGAATATCTTGGGGACGCTAGGCAGAAAATCACGCAGCTGGAGGATGTGATTGTGAGGTTACAGCAAGATGTCCGGATCAACGAGAATGCGCTCATTTTGGCGCAGCGCAACGCCGCTTCGTCAAACCAGCGCAATTCAGAAAGCCTCCGTGTGGAAAACGAACGTCTAAAGAAGGAAATGGACGACATGAACCGATCACTAGCAGATGAGAAATCACGGTCACAGTACTACAAGGCTGATGCGGACCACTGGAGAGCGCAGGCACAGAGCCGGCAGGGAGAATTGGAAGAGCTAAGGGGGAAGCTGAAGAATCTGCTTGGCGGGTGATTACGGGAGAATGGTACGACTAGTTTGCTAATGTATTGTATGTATGGAGTATAAGCCGGAGTACGTGGATCAGGGATACCAGTTTGGATTACATGTTGCTCTGTATTTTGGATTTGTTGTTATTTCGCAGCTTATTTCATCAACCTGCAGTTGGCATGAGTTAGGCCTGTGTCTTGAAATCATCTTACATCTTCCCGATCCTGTACGGTGGAGACGTGTAATATAAGCATAAGTACGACTTCCTCGTAAGCAACAAGCCTGGGCGAGATTTCCATGCGGTTCATATCTCCCCGGCATTGCGGGGTAATATACAAATTAAAATCTCCTCAGACAAAGAGATGAGAAATCCCATGGCTGACCTTGCTTGAACAGGCAGAGTTAGGCGTCCGTTAGTGCATGTAGTCGGTGACAGTTGAGTCTGTTTTTGTGAACGGCGTTTGTCTTATTTGTCTGCATAGCGCCGTTTCTGGTCCCAATGTAGACATTGAACTCGCTTAGACACGCCAATTGAGATGGCATCCGGTTCTATTGTTGGTCTCGGCCCGCAAGCTTCCGCCAAGTATTGGGGGCTAGAGGCATTCGTGTTGTTTGTCATTCGTAAGACTCTAAATTTGGCAACTGACAAACCGTCGACTTCATTTGATCGGATATCGCTTGCGAACTCCGTCGTCCACGGTCAGTTGCGCTAGTCAGGGTTTACATATTGCCTCTAGGTACGGCGAGTAGAGATTCATGCAATCGATATATATTGAAGGATGCTAATACAAAGCTTGAATGGTTTAACCAGCAATGTTCTAGATGGATTATGTATAAAGTAAGAACGCATGCAAGTTCGTCTATAAAAAGCAACGCGAAATTCATCTTAGCCTCTCTCGGCCTTTAGCAAAACCCATTACGCCTCGTCAGAAGGCTCGCTCGTCGCTCTGTTCCACGATGTTCCGATAGCTCCCCAGTACTCTTCATTAAACATTTGCATGTGGCGCACATGGCCACTTCCCTTGAACATGTGATTATCAGACTTGTATCCCCGTTTCCGTGCTTGTGCAATATGCTCTTCAATGTCCTGATACGGGATGATATCATCATCTTCGCTGTAAATATACAAATGGCGCGTATCCTTGGTCTCGTAGTATGGATTAATCACCGCCTTGACGCTGAATGCCGGCGCGGGCTCCTTGCCAATGACCCATTCGATGAAGCGGTTTCCACAGAGGAATCCAGCCCAAAGCGTTTGTGTGACGGCAAACGGCCAGGGGAACCAGTTTGCCGTACCCAGAGCCATGGCGCGCGACCAGCGGCCCAAGTTCTCGCGGGTCATGATGACGCTTCCGGGCGTAGAATCGAGGACCAGCAAGTGATGCGGCATCGGCTTATCGTGGACAAGACGGTAGGCATTCAATGTCGCCGCATAATTGATACCTCCAGTGTTGGACATGATGTGGGCCAGCACACGGTCCTCGACCTTTTGAGAGTCCTTGTCGTCTTCCGATTCCTTCGGGAAGATGGCGTCGATGACGGGTCTCATGGACTGCGTGCGTTGGTCGAGATTCGACCACATGGCCTTTGAGATGGGGGCCAGGACGACGATCTGCGTTGAGCAGGGGAAAAGATTCCGGTATCCATCTGCATACTTGACCAAGTTCTTTGGCTGTCCATCGCCCCATGAGTAGATGAGGACAGCCCGGGGATCGGTTGGGCGCTTCACAGCCTCATTTTGTTCATCGGGGTGACGGATATAGACTTGCTCAGACAAGGCGCTGAAGCCCGGGAAAAAGTCTTTCTTTTCCTCAATCATTGTCGAAGAGGTACCGCTCTCGCGCGAAAATAACACAGTGTGACAATGACAGCAAGTATTGATGGAAGAGGTTGAATCTTCTGGTCGCTGGCCTGCACCCGAACTGCGTATTCACCGGTCGTCTCGGCCTTGATAAAGATTGTCGAAAAAGATACAAGTCAATGTTTGTCTGGCTTTGTTGGGATGCAGGCCTTGTTGTTGGGCATAGTTTTGACCCGCCCCGTCGGCGAAATGAACATATTTGTTAATCCTTCTCCGTGCCTCGGTTCAGTGGCGATACAGTGAGAGTTGGGAAACTAGAGAGTTATTTGCGGCCAGTTGCTTGTCGATGAAGCAAAGAGAGACACCAGAAGAAACGGACGAAGAAGATGAAAGCTACCCTTAAAAAAGACACGTCAAAAATAATGACATTCACCTACTACCCTTCAATGCAACAGGTGGCGCTCAGACCTTGAACAAAAGACCCCAGATCGATCTGAATTGATCGCTTTCACATGCTTTGACAGCTGATGGATTGGCCCACTTGCAAAGGATCCACTAAGCGACAGGGCCTTAATTTAGTTCTACGAAGGGTCTGTCCATGATGAGAAATGGAGGTGCCAGTTGGGTATTAGTGCTGGGAATAATGAGAAAATGCAGCGACATATCACGAATTGTATGCATTTCATGCCTTGATCTAGAAGTTGGTGGATCCCTGTCTTGGCCTTAACTACCGAGATGTAAAGGCCCAACATTTGTGAGGTTTCATTCAAGCTGACAAGAGGATGAGGCCTGCTTACTATGGATTTCATAGCCCATCCTTCGGGTTGAATTATCAGTAAGCAGGAAGCCTACTGATATATTAGTTCCAAGGGCCATTACCTTCTCAACCTCCACTATGGTTTACCTCAATGTCAACCCATAGAGCAAGCAATTGAAAAGTAATCATGCTTAGTCAGGCATCCTGTAAGACAATGTTTGTCGGGATGAATTGCCTCATTGGTTAAGAGAATGGACAGCATATGTACTTGAAGACCTAAAATTAAACAGGAACTCTACAGCCCAAAAGGTTTATTTCTCAATCTCACAGCCGTCTACTCCTTTCAAGCCTCGTTATAGTGGAAGACGCCGTTATAGCCATAGCTTACTCCTTCGCTACCATACAAGGCTAATGGTAGCCATCAAAAGCTGCATTCCTTCCCAGAATGTCTGTCACCTAGCAATCCCTTCTTTTATTTCTGAAACTCGGGCCTGACCTTGATCTCTTCAACAACTTGTGCCGCATCAGGGTCGCCCTCTGCCGCCAAACGCTTCAACTCATCCGTGTTATCCTTCACCCATTGCTCAAAGCCACCAGGCTACACGATGTTAGTAATCATAATTGCCATTTCGCATTTCAAGCTTACCAGAGGGAGATGGAATCCTGATTCCTTTGCAACGTCCAATTCTCTCTTGATGAAAATTTGCCTGAGTTGCGTCGCAATAGAGCCTTTGCCGACGGCCTCATTCCAGAGATCCTCTAGCTTGTCGGCCATGCCCTCCAGCTGCTCTTGGGTGCGGCCACCACCACTGCGGAGACTGACAAAGAGGCGGTTGATTTGTCTCTGTTCGCCGCCAATGTAGGTATCCGTCAAGTTGGCTTGGGCCACGTCCATAAAACGAACATTGACAATGAACCGCGGTGACCTGAACGTGGTTGCGTGCCAGTCTGTGATCTTGTTGACCAAAGCCATCTTCTGGGTTTGGGTGAGCTTAATAGCAAGTTCAAAATGGTACATAGGCATGTTGAAGGTTTGTTGATAGTAAAAAGGATGCAATTCTCGAGAAGATGGCGGGGTTGATGTTCAGTAACAGCTAATTGCGTATGCTTGTGGTGACTGTATGTTGTTACGCTCTTACTACATGTACTAATATACCTCTTAAGTCCATCGATGATACCGATATCGGCTTTCCTACGTGCATTCCTCCGTTCATCCATTTGGAATCAGCTTCGCGATAGTTATTGAACCCCCACCTAAGAGATTGGTCATCATCCCGAAGGAGAATAGATCAATGCAGATGCAGACAGGATCGATGATTCTTTGCGGATACTGTCGGGTTAGACAGAAACAGGGGCTAGTTGGTAGTAACATTGGAGACGAGAATAGTGAGAGGGCGTGATGATTTGGAATTGATTACTCATTGACTTTACCTAACCATTCTAACCTACCCGGGAAGTTGGAGAAGCATCAAAAAAGCAGCACTTAAAAGCCACAGTCATGCACTACAATATCGTTGGCGTTCCCCCCTGCACCCTTCTTTCTTCGAGAGAGAAACGGTAGTGTCGATCTTCTGCTCTCCCTTTTCCTACTCCCATACTCCGAGACTTTACAATTCGAAACACCCGAATTGTCTTCTAAATCAGCTATCCCTACCAGCATTATCTGGAGAGCAATTGCATCTGGACAAAGTATTCTCAAAATATTCACGAGAATCACTCTTAAATATGCAAACATTCATCCATCAGCGATGGCATTATTCATCACGCTATATCAATTTATGGCTATTCACTCCGTCCCAATGCTTTATAATTGATATCAGTTAAGGGGTGGAGAACACATCAGGCATCGCTGCTTCGGCATTTACTCCATACACGCGAGACATGTGGATGACATAATTCAAGCCTCAGCCTACCTAGCTAGGTAATTGTATGAGAAGCTGTGTAGTAGCACTCGTACGCCCGGCTGGCATTCGTGGCGCCCGGTTGCGCAGTAATGCGGAATCTCCATGGAGAGAATCGGACTTGATAACGTTATAGCGGGTGGATCGGAGGCTTTCTACAACACCGCAAAACACCGTAATACCGCAACACCGTAATACCACTAACACCGCAACGCCGCAACACCGACAAAGTTCGTCGTCATAGTAGCGTCTACTCCGTAGAATCTGACATACTGCGATGACAAAGCTTTGAGTCAGGAGTAGAATACTATCCTCGGTTACCCAGTTGCAAAGCTCATAGTTGAGTTATCCAAGCTATCAGTTTCAGGAAAAAGATTCCGTCCAACTATACTGCAGTTCTATCGAAAAAGGTTAATTTAGCCTCGAAGCTTATTTGTATATAACCTCAGCTAGAGTTCCGTCATGTTTTGCAATCAACTCATACAATTTCATCTCATCATCAATCCAATACAATCTTCAATCGCATCTTTTACAACTGCCAAAATGCAGGAGAAAACAGCAGTTCTGCTCATTGACCCTCTCAATGACTTTTTGCACCCTGAAGGAAAAGTCTTCCCTGCTCTCAAAGAGAGCATTGATGCTACCGGTACAGTAGACAACCTCCAGAAGTTTGTCAAAGTTGCCCGGAGCAAGAAAATTCCCATCATGTACTGCCAGCACAAGCTATATGAAGAGGGCCAATTCGAACACTGGAACCACATGTCCAAGAGTCATTACAGTATCCAGGCATCGAAGGCTTTCGAAGCAGGAAGCTTCGGAGCAGAGATCCACAAAGGACTTGAGCCGGATCGAAGCAATGGCGATGCGATTGTATCACGTCACTGGAACAGCAGGTAGTTTACTTCTTACGATCATACCCTTTACTCTGCTGATTCAGTATGACTAACAATCGGATGTAGCTCCTTTGCTAATACTGACCTTGACTACCACCTTCGTCAGCGAGATATTACGCACGTTGTCTGCGCTGGAATGGTTGCCAACACCTGTCTGGAAGCTACCGCCCGCTGGGCTGTCGAGATGTAAGCATTAGTATTTCTAGTGTGCCCAAAGCCTGCTAACGAATGCACCAATTCAGGGGTTACCATGTCACAATTATGTACGTATACTTGTAGCTTCCAGAAACCTAGGGTATTAACTATCATGCTAACTCCTTTAATAGAAGCGACGCAACTGCCGGCTTCTCCACTCAGTTGAAAGATGCCGCCGTAAACATTATCTGGCCTACTATTGTGGACGAAGTACTGAGCTTGGATGCGTGGTCTGAGAAGCTGAACAAGACAGCCTAAAAGCAGACGCTAAACTACCAGGCATGCTCAATGGATCATGGATGAGTAAGGATGATATTTCAATCAGAAGTTAGATACAATGAAATTCTCTATACTTTGCATACTCTCGTTTAAGAACCTTCTCGCATAATTCCTTTAGCGCTTTAGCACCATACTCAAAGTCCTTGAGCTCAAGATACACCTGAGCTGAGAATCTTGCCCACAAAGACCCGGAAATAAATCCAATATTAACAAACGTATTGTAGTCTTGAGCAAGGTGTTCCAGAATGAAGTTGATGACATTTGAAACATCTTTCAAAGGGATCGAATCCTCATTCTCTCCCGTGCTAGATGAGGAAATCTTAAGAGGAAGCTGGACATTGGCAAAAGCAACCCGTTTTGTCTCCGGCATGGGCAATGTTCGAGTCTGCAGTATCTCCACCGCCAATTTCTCACCATCTCGGGCCAAGTCTCGGCAATACGCTTGAATGGCTTCTTCTCCCCCACAAATGTCCCTTCTAAAATCTAGAGCTGCAGGAATGCACAATGGAGGCCCGTTATCAATTGTTCCAGTATAACTGAATTGAAAGACAAATGGGTTTTTAGAGGCTGGAAGCTCGTATGGACTCGTGTATTGTTTCTTTTGCAGAATCTCAGGCAGCGGTTGAAAGCCATGAGATGTTGGAAGAGAGGATCGCATAAGCCCCTGGTTCTTTGATGCGACGTATAAAATCGCGCATGTATGCGGTACAAAGAGCCACCTAAACACAAGGTCAGAATCTGAGATGTTTCCACACAAGACAATATTTGAAAAAGACTTACTTGTGGCAGTTAGAGGTAAGAAAGTCGGCACCTAGCTTCTCTAAATCAAGATCGATCATGCCGATGCCATGAGCCCCATCAATTGCACTTAACACACCGAATTCTCGACAAATTTCTGTCAGGCGCTCAAATGGCATCCTGAGTCCTGGCATGCTCAGGACGGTATCGAAAATGGCCACCCGAATGCGGCCTTGGTGTTCTTGCAACACAGACCGAAACGCTCCAACAAGCGTATCGTCATCATCCGTAGTAGGATCAAAGGGTACACGGACACTCTCTACAGGTGTGCTTTCAACCAGATAATCCACAGTCTTCTCGATTGCTCCGTAAGTCCCTTGTACGTAGGCAATCAAGTCTCCCGGCTCATACCTCAAGTTACGAAGCACGGTATTCAGCGCCAATGTTGCGTTTGGGACGAGCACAATCTCATCGGCATTCGCAGCGTGAACAAGATTTGCAAGCCGTTCACGAACTTCATCAAGTTTTTTCGGATACGTATATCGAACAAAGCTATCCGGCTCAGCCTGCACGGCGTCCTGGACATAGCGCAGAGCATCTCGCACAGGACGCGGATATCCACCGTATGAGCCTGAATATGCCATTGATTAGATACCTTATATGATTTATCCCACTTTCTTCTCATTGGGCCGAATGTGTAACTCACCTTGGTTCAAATGGATGAAACCCGGTTTGAACATGAAGTATTTCTCTCGAAGTGCTCGCCCAAATGGGGGCGAGTTGGCCACATCCATTGATTCAACCATGACTGTTGTGAAATATCCTCTATGGCCTACTAGAATAGAAGAGTTTGTATGCGGCTGTTGATTCGCCAAGTAAAAAGAGTCGAACAAGTATGTGAGAGGTTGAGAGCTCTGGATCCAAGACTGTCCCAATTCGATCATCTTAGCTAATATATCTGACTGTACATCTGCCCCCACTGTCACACCGATCACCGTATCGCAAGTTCAGCTCTTCGCCGTGATCGGCTTCCTATCAATGAGTGTCATTACACCGTCAAAAAGGTCAGCGCCACCGGGGGAAGGGATCGAAGGATATTCGCGGCATTGCTAATTCAGCGGTATGACAAAGCCCCTTAGGTCCTTATCACCGGCGCCAATGACGCCTCAAATATTCCATCCAATGACAGATTCGTAAGCCGATCCTACTAAAAACTTGTATGGAATCAATGGCGCTACTACGCCCTTTGGAGCGGGGTTGACATTGGGATCGGAGATCGAGGATCATGGATCAAAGCAACACAATAATTCTCTTGCAAGTTCTTGAAGATAAAAGTACGAAGCGCTCATAAACCAGAACGCAGAACGATAAGCAAACTCATATTCTTCAGCTTTCTTCAGATCCTGTAACCAGACAGAACCACCAGACTCTTCACAACAGCCAAGATGCCTTCTCCGCAACCAGTTTCGACAGACGCCGCTCCTGCGCCCATTTCTCTCTTCTCCCAGGCTCAAGTCTACAACGGCCTCGTATATTGTTCTGGAAACATTGGCATCGACCCAAAGACAGGCAAACAAGTCGAGGGAACAGTAACAGATCGCACTGTAAGAGATCATTTGCAATTATAACAATAAAAGAATCCATTAACCGCTAACTAATCTATAGGAACAAACTATTCGCAATATCTCCGCCACCTTGGAGGCCGCCAATTCGTCTCTCAAGCGAATCATTAAAGTTAACGTTTACTTGACCACAATGGACAATTTCGGCCCAATGAATGAAGGTTACGCAAAGTTCTTTTCAGCTCCTTTCCCTGTAAGTTTACCATCTTAATCATGATAAGCGAGAAAGTTTTAACACAGTGTAGGCCAGGACTTGCGTCAGCGTCGCAGGTTTGCCCATGGGCTCTGATGTCGAAATCGAGTGCGTTGCGGCATTGAACGAATAGATCTGCTGAGCAATATGCTTCACATTTGTACCTTCAACTGAGCACATTCTATGACAGCGTTCAGAGGCTTTCGGTAA